GACACTCTTTTCTTCCCCAGTAATTATACACACATACTCTGTATTTGGTGATGAATACATGTGTCAAATAAAATGAACTTCCAACTTCGTCAAGTATGATTTTTGCTTTTTTTGTGATGCATAAAGTAGCTTACACCGGATAGTTTGACTATTAACATCCTTGTAGCTCCTCTATGTTGTGTAATTTACCATTCTCATATATTACTTCACCACCAAATAATTGTGTATGTTTTCCATCTCCCCCATCCCCAAAATTAAGACGGAATCCATCAGTTGATTAAACGTTATAATCACCAAGTGATCTTTAAATAGATAAATAAACTTCCAGATCTCATGCTAAAATAAATCAATGCTATCCTCTACGAGAATATATATAAAAGTCTAGTCTTCTGCTTCAGCCATATGCATGATGTAATAATAGATTGATGTATGTGTCGCTGGCATGTTAATGGGATTATGTCAAGGATAGAGATGGAACTTTGACAAGGTCGGCTTCTTAAAAGAGTAAGTATCACAATCACATTTAACACAAAAACTAACTCACCTCAAATAATTTATATCTTGGCAACCTGCTAGTGTGTATATGCCTGTTGATCACACATAATTCAAGTACAAATATGTTATATAGGTGCTATGACCAAAGTTTTGCAGGAACTTCATCTGGATTTAATTTGAACTCCTTCAAATCCTTCTTTGCTTTGCTTCGCTTATGTTATTATTCTGTGGCTGTTCATCCATTGTTGATATTTGCTGTTCCTGTCTTTTAAGCACTGATTATCATACGTAGTGGCGTGGTTCAATACAAAAGAGAGGGAAAAATTGTGTCAATTTAATACATAATGGTGAAAGTCGTTATCTATGGAAACGGAAAAAGTATATTGGAGCGTTTTATTTCCCCTGCTAGTCTTGCCTATTCTTAGATTTACGCTTGTTGAATGTCTGCTTGGTGAAAGAATAAAAATTAGCACCTAGAAATTTCTTGAAATACTGAAAAGATGGAATGTACGACTTGAGGTGTAGCTGGAGCCATTTCACGTCATCAAGTTGTACAGGCGTATTTACCGGCCACAGCATATAAGGCTAAAAATTGAACGTTGCGTTTCCTTCTATTTTTGTACACCGCGCAAAAAACGGCTAAGGAATGACCATCAGCCCAAGAGAGCGTACCAGATCTTTTTACGCACAGCATTAGTGTAAGTTCGCAGTTTTTTTTTGATAGACAGCCAAGTGTCTTGACGCGACAAAGTCCTTCTGCTTTAGACATTTCTGTGTATAACATAGGTTTTTTAACAGCTGAAAAAAAAAAAGACCGCACCTCTTTTTTTTTTTCTTTCCCCACCATCTCGCAAGAAAAAGTGTAGGAAGCTTTCCATTTTTATGCCACCTTTAAAACCAGGTCAAACAGGTAATTGTACAGCCATGGGGGCTCGCTTTTATTTTTGTTCTAATTTCGTTTCTGGCTTTCCAGTTTAAAACATCTAATACCGTTTATCAGGTATTTGACCTTCTTTTTGATAAATGTTTGGCCTGCTGATTTTAGTGGATTAGCAGCGTGATAATAGAACCAGCAACTGGAAATCGAGATCAGGAAACTTATAACTGAAACAGATGGCCAATAAATTCTCATAATAGATACCATCATCTTTGGGAAAGGATCGCCAAACGATAGTTTGGAATTATAGGCAATTGCTATATGCTGTCTGTAGACAATGAAGATAATGACGAAATTTCATTGAGGATTATGAAAGAATCGAAGGCCGGTCTTCCTTTTACGAAGTATTTATTTACAACAACAGTAGACGTAATCGGACAAAGGAGAGCAAGAGAGACAAGGTCAGAAAGTATTAGCAAGATCAAAAATACATCAATTTCAAGAAAAGAAAAGCAGAAGGTGGATACGAGATCAAGTATAACATGCATGAGAAGCATAACACGAGAGGGCAAATGAATACGATGCATTAAAAATACTTCGTGGATAAGGGTGTAATATACAAGGAAATAGAGGTATGTTTTGGCTTGATGATATGAGGATGACAAGAAATAAGAAAAGAATGTTCTGAACAAGTAATATGGAGGTACCAATAAAAGTTAAGATATATAACTACTGTAAACAGTTTGAGGGATTGATGCGGGAGAATATAAAAGGGAAGTGGGCCAAAATGGTGTAATCTCGAGAGTGTGAATCACGTTGAAAGTTTCCTCACAGGGTTTACTGTAAAAAAAATGACAACAGATGTATATCGGTATATAAAGAACGAAGAATTCTTTTTTTTTCTCTGTTTGCTTAACGTAAACTGTGCCTGAGGAGAAAGGGGGATCTTTCAATTGAAAGCACAAAAGCTCTAATAACTTGACGTTATGACAGCTGCTGTTCTTAATACAAGCAATTTTGACAGGCGGTAAGCAAGCCTAATGTAAAAAAAGTTACGGCAATTAATAGCACATACATAAGGCTTTACGATACGGTGTTTTCGTATTCTGTACGTTTGTTTTCTTTTTATAGAATTCTCTTTCGCCAATGACAAACCAATGTTAAGGTCAAAGTTTTGGAGCTTTCTGTAAACTTTTTATGTTGATCACACTGAGTCTTTTCAGAAACGGCTGGTAAAAAAGCGCTTTGAACTTCATCTTAACTGATGTTGTTATCCTTATTCTAGTAAGAGTAAAAAAAAAAAAAAAAAAAAAAAAAAAAAAAAAAAAAAAAAAGGTATTTCGCAAAGTAAACAGTGGGCTTTCCCTCCGGAGAGATGTTGTGCCAAAAATTACAATTTAGATACAGCCAAAGTGAACGTAGTCACAGCGTAGGATTGGAAACCTTTTGGCTGCTCCTAAGAGATCACATGCTGTAGTGGCTGTCCCTTAGGCGCCTTACACTGTAAAAATAAATATTGACTTGAAGCATTTAGAAGTGTCTGCTCCTTTGCCAACTTTACCACCCAACGCCACCAAAAAAATCAATAGCAATTTTATTATAAACTTTGCCCTCAAAAACAACTTTGAGACACTAATTGTCAACATCAAAAGGACAATTGCAAATATAATTGTCCTTATTATATTAAAGTAAGAACCACCAAAAATGGAGGGGGGTTTCTCATGCTCAACCTATCGAGAATGAACGTTTACGAGCTCAGTACAGAAAATATTTTTTTGAGGAGTAATGGAAACTGTGGTATTTGACAAAATATTACATAGAAAAGTAATGAGATAAAAGTATATTTTTATTAGGGGTAAAAATAGACTAAAAGAACTCTGCTGCTATGAAATAATTGATCCTTTTTATATTGCACAACTCTCCTGAGTTTTAATGATGAGTCAACCTTTCTGGTTTTGGAATAGATCTATACTTTGTTTCCCGCCTTGGGTTAAATGGATACTACTCGTTAGAATTGTTTCCAGATAACGTTGTCCCATATCAGTGGATCGGGAGCATGAGTATGCTAATAAATCTTTAGTATTACGAGACACTTATTTATCAGATCATGCAACGGTTACTGTAAAAGATGCATACTTGTTTGTCAAGTGTAATTGGCAATAGAACATAATAGTTGATCATTTATTCATTATCTTTGTAATGAATAAATTACGATCACAAATATAAAATGTCTTATCGATATTTGTATATTTGGTTGTAGAAGCTAGGTATCCATTAATTCATACACTATTTCTTTATACTCTTTATCAGCAGTATAATTATATCAATATATAAGTAAATGAACCATTTATATTAATAGCTGTTCTATTCTCTCTCTGGGTAGCTAATCCATTGAGAGAACTATTAATATTAAGTTTCTCTTTCTTATAATTCTTGATTGATCTGAGAAGTTTCTCTTCTCGATCGGTGATATCGTAACTCAGTGGTATAGCATTCTGTATCCAACTGTCATTCGTATATCGTATTTAGGCCAATCATGCAATCTTTTATATAGAAGTATGTACTCGAAGTAGGAGAAGTTGTATAGCAGTATACAAGCGTATGCTGATATGCAACATCAGAGGTTGTTTTAATTTCATAGTTTATTTATTTAAACGATTTGCTTAATTATTCTTTAAGTGAATCGTACCCAAATACGACAGAAACAAAAAAAAAGCACGCGTCTGACTATGTTACAGGGCATTGAGCAGGAAATTAAAAGTATCGCAAAACCCAAAAGAACAAAACTTTGGGGTAGGGGTTTCATGAGCCTGATAAAATAGATTTAAATAACTCAGCTCAGCTATGCATGGCTGACACAATCCGACAGGTAGCATATAAGAAATTTATATTTGGTATATTTCCAGTGCGTGTAACAGGGCCTCTTGAAAAAATCCAACTCTTTGGGATAGCCAAAAGGTACCCGATCCTAAATGACCCAGAAATTTAAAAGTGGCTGTATGTGGAAATCGATAAAATAAAAGGGGGTCTTTAGATGCACATAATTTCAGACATTAATAACAGACAGGCTGATGACGATTGTGGGTAGATTTATCCAAATAATACTCGGATGTAATGATCCCGTATAGAAAGGCCATAATGAGATGTCAATAACAATAACAATAACATTCATTCTTAAACTGTGTATGTCTTGTAGCACAACATTCAGGGGAAATTGTAGTTCTTATTTAAGATAGCTGTGGCACCTCATTGTGGCTAATGTAACCTTCACATGTTTTCATATTAATGTTATTTTTTAAATGAGTATGCCTTATACTTGTATGAAGGATGATATGAGATCAAGCCTGTACATAAAGTAAATGTTCAGTATTTAATATAAAGTATCGATAAGAGTTTTATTTAGGGTTATCAAATGGAAGTTTAGGAAGTGTAGATAGAGCCATATATTAAGTACATAGCCTCAATCACGACATGTACCTGCATCTCTCATTGTGCTTTTTTTTCTTTTTTAGTATTTTGGGTCTGTGATGAACGGTCTGATGTAAATGATGAACTTATTTTAAAGGGTGAAATAGTCACTTTACCTTCATACAGCTAGTCATGAAAAGAGTGTCTGAGTACTCATGTTAAAAAAGCTATTGGTGGTCTAATAGAAAACATTATTTACTAATAACGCATTTGTATACGCGCATAAAAAAAAAGTAAGTGCTTATAAAATTGGTAACAAGCTCAAGAGATTTGTTCAACGAGTAAAGTCTTGCTTATTTAGGAGATATTAGTTACGCAACCCAGCCTTTTCATGCTTGAAAATTGTACTCAGATCTTTTACTCTTTACTGCCCTTCTTGTAGTTGTAACCCAGCCTTTTTCTGCCCCCCCCCACTCCCTTCAGATTTTTTTTTATTCCTTACTGCCCTTCTTTTCATTGCAATCCAGCCTTTTCCCGGTCCCCAGATTTTTTTACTCTTTTGAGAGTCGCGTATTGAGCGAGGGAATGCAGTTTCCCAGTCGGGTGGCTTGACATGACTTTTAAAATTTGAATAGCCTCAGGCAGACAAAATTTATTTTGTCTACTACTTACTTCCCTGCGTGTTTGTTATTTCCCTAATTTTCTGCACAGTGTAGCTTTTTTTTATGAGAGCATATCCAATACATATAGCCTATTGCTGTATGAGGTTTGCTATTATATATGGCTTTTTTATAGACATATACGTCTCTTTTCATGACTAGTGATTATGAAGGTAAAGTCACCTAAAGATAAACCCAGTACAATCCACATTACCAGCATTTTTACACTTTGTCAAAAGATAACCTGCCATGTATACAGTGAAAAAGGGGGGGGGGGCGAAATTATCAATATAAATGAATTATTCAATCTGCTTTGTTTTTAAATTTTTCACTTCAAATATTGAACCACCGTGCGTATGTTTATAAAATAAGTGCGAAGTAAAAGGATCAAAAAAATAAAAGGCCGACAAGTACATTTGAAGTGATGGAAATGGTCTGGTGCTATGCTACATCATCCATGTATCAAAATGATACTGTATCTATGTATACGAAATCAACAAGTATACTATTTAATAACTTTTGCTTATTTAATACACATGTAAGAAGGACAGTAAGAAATAAAAAATCTAAGTACACTCTTTGGGGGAGAGCCATTTTACTCTTTTTAAAAAAGTGCGAGTAAATTATTTTTATATGAACAGGCATTAATTATTCTCTATAAGAGAAAAACGATCAAATAAAAAGCACTGCTTTGTATGAATTATCTAGCATTTATAGCATGGTAAAAGGTAAGGAGAAAGAACAAAGGAAGGCTATCATGCTGGGAGAATAGAGATTATATTATACTCAAAGATACATCTGACATTAGGGTCCCCGAGGATTTTTGTATGGGGAGCTTTGATTGTGCTCACTTCATATAGTATGCAGTATATTTTTACTGTTATGAATTAAATAACAACCTATAGAAAGAGCATCTCCATCATCATCATGGGTGCTCCTTTATTTATCTTGCCCCAATTCAACAGCAAACTATCGTACTTGTATCGAGTTCCAAAAATAACCTTTTTTTTTTTTAACCCCCAAGAGAAAAAGAATCGTTTCGTTAATGACAGATGTTTTTTGTTGATGAGACAACTATTCATTTTCGTCTCTTTTTTTTTTCATTGTCACGTCGCTTCCATCCATGAACACAATTGTCCTCGAATGATGGAGGTATTTTTCTTTTATAACGTTTGTTCCGAATTATCGCACACACAAAAACAGTTATTTCAGTACAAACTCTACTGAAAATAGAAAACGATGAGAGCTTTGATTTTGGTGCCTACCCATCAAGGCTTTTTTTTTTTTTTTTTTTCTGAATGAACAACAGTAGAGACGCTGGTGCTGTAAGTCTTGTTTTTTTTTTTTCGCTTATACCTTACTTTGAGGTGGTTTAAATTGTATGTTGATGAGTTATTTTTCATTGATTTAAGAAAAAAGAAAAAGGATTTATGACAAACTTATTCTTTTGGAATATCTAGTGACTATGAGTGTTATGATATTATGTACCCGTCGATCAAGAATTGTTGTATACACAAATATCCCGAAGTGTATACAAGCACTATTCTGTGAGTTACATACTTTAGCGAAGAATCTCGAAATAGTTATTTTGTGTCACCTCACGTACACGCAACATCTGCATTAACAAATGATAAAAACAACTTATAAATAATACCACAGCTTACAATGCACGCATGGTCCACACATGCTTACTGCAATATGTTTACATTAAATCATTCTCTCAGCCTGCTCTATTAATTGACAAGTACCGAAAGGACTTTGTAAATTCCTATATAAACCATCCTCTAATTCAATAATAAAACGATATTCAATTTATCCAGTCTCACAATTACCTTTCTCTTTATTTTATAAACTGTCTATCTTGTTTGATAGAACAAGGATCGATGGAATGATTTTATATGCGATTTTAGTACACAAAGTATATATCTGTTCAAAAAACCAAAAAGGTTGACTCATCATTAAAACCCAGTAGAGTTGTGCAATATAAAAAGGATCAATTATCTCATAGCAGCAAAGTTCTTTTATTCTATTTTTAAAGATAGACTTTTATCTCATTGTTTCTCAAGTGTATTATTTTTGTCAAATACCACAATAATAATATAAAGCAATCAAGTTGTCAAATTTCTGAATTAGTGTTGTGATATTTAAAATTAAGGGGTGTTACTTCTTTGATGGTTTACTAGTGGCCGGATCGACATTGGGTACAAATCTTCTCTTTTTAGCTTTTGATTTCTTAAGCCGTAACTCGATCTCACGCGGCATATCTATGCCCAGGTCACTGTTCGGATCTGGTATAATAACCGCATTAACAGGAGGCTTGTTATATGTTATACGTTTAACGAAAACTGTCAGAACCAATCTATCCAATAAAATAGTTCCGGTACAAGAGCCCGGTACCGAGATCTATTATGATGCAATGGACCTCACAAGACCCAAACGAAGGTTTAAGCCAAAGGTCACGAAGACAAGACTAAAATAAAAAAACAAAACTGTATGTCATAAGAACTAATAAGCAAAGCCATAAACTATTTTAGCATGAAAACAATTGCGTACATATGAAACATCAGTCAAATTAGATAGTATAAGTAACCCCATATTACAATTATCTTTTACCACATACTTTATTTTGTACTTTACTTCGAAAGTACTCTTCTGGCCAATAGGAATAGGTTCACGTGATTGTCACGTGATTTGATAAAATTTATTTAATAAGGCTTAAGTAAACAAATAATAATATCATAACATGTCAAGGTTTCATAGTGTAATGGTTATCATATCGGTCTTTGAATCCGGTGATCCGAGTTCGATTCTCGGTGAGACCTCTTTTTGTTTTAACTGATCGATGTGGTGTATGTAGATCATTATGGTGGATATGATTTGACTTGAAAAAGTTTGCACTGCAAGAAATGATTATTTTTTTTAAAATAGAATCAATAGAGTTTCAAGATAGCATACAAAGCTTGCAGGTATTTATACGATCGCCTGAACCGATTCATAATTCACCACAAAAAACTATAATACTTCTAAAAAATTGCTTTATGGAATTTTCAATCACGCAGGAACATCATTTGGATTAGCGTTTTATTGGTTGACAAGTAAGGTAAAAAAAGTAAGAGCGTGAGTATACAACTCTAGAGTTAGCGCTACGTTGTTTTATATAATTGATTGAACGAATAATCAGTACGGCACCCTTATATATAAGGATATTATTCGAAGGAGTACACCTAAATACTAAATAGAGTAGCCAACACTGCTGATTTTCCAAAAAAAAAAAAAAAAAAAAAAAAAAAAAGAGACCATTGTTCTGTCAAGAAGGATAAACATTTTAGAATACCAAGGAAGGTAACTGTGAGTAACTGGGTAAATCAAATATTTTTTCATTATAGAATTAATGGATATTTTATATAAGAAACGACAAAGTCTTTTTAGAAGTTGTCAATTATTTGAGTAGGCTACGAGATTGTTTTAAAATGTGTATGTATTGCGGTATACAAGTGTAGACTATGCGGGAAGTTTGAATGGCTGTATAATATTTAAGTTGTTTTTATTTAATTTTAATGCAAATGTTGTATGTAAATCACATTTTGCGTGAACTGACACAAAATATCCTTTTTGAGTGACTTTTTTTAAATTTACTCACTTACTAAGGATTATTTGTGTATACAAAATTACAAAGACTTAAATGAACTATTAAGATTTCTACAGGTTAAGGTAGGAAATAAGCTAATACGAACTAAATTATTTCTATGGTTCATTTTATGATAAAAGAACCAAAAAGAGGTTAAAAGAATGTCTTAAAAAACTGGGTTACAACAACTAAAGAAAGGCATTATAACAATGACTAATGATGTACTTCTAAGGAATAGTTTAAATGCTTGCGACATGATCATTCTATTCAGCCAAAAATTAGTCTCTTAGCTAGAATAGATAATAAATAGTAGTTTATACATATTTATTATCAACGTGTTAGTAACGTGCCAGATGCGTACGTTTAGAATTAAGGAAGATAGACTTGCGTTTTAAATGAAGACCGAAAGCGTTGAGCGAGTTTTCACTGAGCGTTATTTGAAGCTCACACAAGTATAAGCTTTGGGGATTGGTGGTATTGGTTGCTTTTTGGTCCTTTCTTAATATAAGAACCCTAAAAAATATCTTTAGTTTCTTTTTATCATAATTCAATCAAGTGTCACACTATCTATTTCTCTTTTTCCCAAACTCAATTGATTACTTTAACTGTTTTTTGGTCATTCTTTATTTTACTTTTTATAGTCTTTGAGTTTCATCTTAATTTATAATCCTAGTTACTGAACATGTAATACGATAATAAAATAGTCATAAAGTGATTGCTCAAAATATGATGACACTTATAGGAAGGAAATATGCTAGTTCTTAAGCCCTGGGTAACATTGCTTTAAAAACTTTCGAAAAATGGACCTCCTATAGTTTAATGACCGAAAACATTGTTTTTGGATACATCAATGAGCATGTATGTTCTTAATGATAAAAAAATTGCGGCATAGTTTTAACACTTTTTTTTTTTACTAACACAAAAGCTCTATTTTCTCCATTTCTCGAAAAAATAAAAAAGATTTTGTGAAATTTGAACAAAGAACGACAGAAAGGGAGAATTTTTAAAGCGGTATTTTTCACTTAACTAATCATATGTTAGCCAATAATATGTTAAGTATACTTGATAATATAACTCCCAACATAAACCATCAAATCAAAGATACATCTTTATACTCATAATTTATGAAACTTTGCATTGAACTGATTTTATCGCTAAAGTTATTCAAAGCTACAACCTTTTATTAATTTTACATAATATGACTACTTCCACAGTCTGTTTCCCGTTATAAAGTCATCTGTTATTCTTCATTTTACCCCTTATTTTAAATTTCAAACCAAATACCATATAACACTAGTCTTATTCATAATTACAAGTTAGGCTTAATTATATCTGTTTTAGCCATTTTTAACTGTACAAAATTTCTTCCTAAAAATAAAGCCCTGAATGGTCTTTTCCAGTCATATTTTACCAGAATTTTCTGAAGACATTTATATCGGACTGGCCGAACATGTTTTATGTTTTTTTTACACTTTATATTTATTGAATAAATGCTTGTAGTCTGTTGGCCACTTAATAATATCTTTAATTTTCATTTATATTTTCACATTGCTACTTTCTATATAAACTTGACAGTAACAATGGTCGAGTCAGCTGTAAGAAATTGAGCTTCAGAACCATTGAATTTTTGGAACACAAATTATCCCCAAATAGATTGAACAGGTATAAGTGAAAGGGAAGGATTTGTTTAATTAGTTATTCAAATAATTCGATCCTTCATTTCCTCAATGATACATCACCTGTAATACATATTCGTAAGACTGGCATCTTAACTTGTTTAAAAACCCATCCTTCTTTACCATTGTATGGAATATGCTCTGTAAATTTGCTATCAACAACAATTATTTTATTTTTATTGTTATAAAAGTAACTGACACGAAAAGATTCTCCAATTAAGAGGATAGACTTTCCCACAGATAAGCAGGTTACATAATAATCTTTTAAAGGACTTTTATTTTTATCATGACAAACTCTCCAACTTATAATTTAAAGTATTATAGAGTCTCATTTCTTTACTTGCTTTATTTTCCAATTTACATTTCCCCTCAATTATCACAATATGTTTAGAAACTATTGGGTATTAATATTCCATCCCGGAGCTGCTATAAATGCAGCCCTTATGATTTGTACCCAGATGATTTAGGGTTTTCTTTACAAGAGAGTTAGGTGAATGTGTGAAATTAAATTTAATTCTGTCCTGATTGAGAAAGAAGGCAAGACATGGTTTAAGGTTTAATTCACTCGAATTTTTTGCTAAATAAGTACCAGTCAATGACATGCAACTCTATTATATCATTACTCGAAAGAAGACATATGGTGCATCTTTTGATAGCTTTTTTTTTTTTTTTTTTTACAAATACCGAGCATGACAGAAAGTTTTTATTTTATCAACTGAGTCCTCTTCTCTTTTGAAAACATAACATGTCATGACCAACTAATAGCGGTAATAAAACCATTGTATAATCAATATACTGAAAGCTTCTTCGATACTATTTGCAAAGATATTGACAAGTTATAAAAGAATAAGACGTTATTATACGTCATTGGTGGTGGAAGTTGTGCACTAATATAGCAAACAATGTATAAATTAATTATAAACTAGGATAAGTGGTGTACTGCAAAAAAATATCGCCGCCGGGCTATCCATTGTTCTTTTTCGTCGATGCTCTAGTCTCTGAGTGTGATTAAAAAGCAAAGTAAGTACTAACGTGAGATGACTTGTTTGACAATGCAATATGTTCATTTTCTTTTGTAAGGATTTTAACTTTAAATGTTAGTTAGTCGTCTGGTTCTACGATTAGGTGGTGCCTATACTTCATATTGTGTAAATCGCACTTGGTGATGCTATTGAATACCTGAAGTAATTTATCAAACGGAGAACTCTCAGGTCAATATAATACTACGTGATGCTTCGTGGTGGACAATGTAGTAGTATTTTAATCAAAAAAACAGCTTCACGGATATGTAGTTTGGAAGGTATATTTTATTTTTACAAGATATTGAAGGTGTTGAAACGAAAGACACAGAAACTAATTCAACCACCTGGTATTTTGTTTAAAGCTAATACGTTTGTTTAGTTTTATCTGATTTTTTTTTTTTTTAAAAAAAAAAAACAGGAAGACCAACCCCTTTCAATGAGGGGTTAAAATAACAACGCTGCAAGATATGACCAAGTCTCACGCACAAAATAGTCAGACAAGTGGAGAAAGTAACAGATCGATATAGGACCTTTTTTTTTTTTGATGGAATCTTTGAGATGTTGGGCTATTTAGAAAATAGCATGATTCACTGTGACTGGTCAAGCATTTTTTTCTTTTTAAAATAAGAAAATGGGATGACAGGACGTTTTTTTTAAGGATTTGTTTTCATGCAGTGCACATTGGAACGTGTAACAACAGCAACATTCTCTCTCCTTTTTTCCTCCTTTTATCTTCCCCCCCCCCCTTTTTAACAGAAAATTTTTTTTTCTTCTTCTTGTTCTTCTTGCTCTTCTTTTTTATTTTTATACTTTCTTGTTTATAAAAAAAAAATGTCATCGTCGTCTTTAGCTGTTGAACCTGTAGCGGTAAAAAAAAAAAAAAAAGGAAGAAAGCAGACTTGGAAAAAGAAACTAACTATCTACATTTTTTTTTGTAGTCTTCACTTCAAACTTCATTGGAAGGATATGTAGGTTTTGATACAATTACACAACAAATCGAGAAAAAGTTATTGAAGCGGGGATTTCACTTTAATGTGATGGTTGTTGGTAAGATTTTATTAAACTTCTTTTGTTATCACGGATATCTCATTGACATCGCCTCCCAAAAAAAAAAAAAAAAAATAGGTCAATCAGGGTTGGGTAAATCCACTTTGGTCAATACCATTTTTGCTTCTCATTTGATTGAAAGTAAAGCTCGTCTCTCTGCTGATGAACCACCTAGACAAACCACCGAAATCCAAACTGTATCTCACTGTAATGTATAAACATTTTTTTTTATATTCTTATCTCCCTATTTTCTAATTACAACTGCAGTGATTGAGGAGAACGGAGTACGTCTTAGACTGAATATTGTTGATACCCCTGGATACGGAGATCAAGTCAATAACGAAAACTGGTGCGTATTCATTTAACACTTTGTACCAAAAAAAAAACATTGCCAATATATATACTAAATTACAATTTTTGCTCTGTTTTAGTTGGGAACCCATTATCAAATACATTAAAGATCAGCATTCTGCTTATTTGCGTAAGGAATTAACTGCTACCCGTGACCGTTATATTCAAGATACAAGAGTCCATTGTTGTTTGTTCTTTATCGGCCCCACTGGCCATGCGTAAGTATTCTTTTTTTTTTTTTGGTCCTGCGGATGTACTTGTTTGTTTACCCTAAAAGAAATTTAGATTGAAGCCTATTGATATTGTTGTTCTTAAGAAGCTTTCAGAGGTAGTCAATGTTGTACCTGTGATTGCCAAGTCTGATTCCTTGACCATTGATGAGAGACAAGCTTTTAAACAAAGAGTAAGTAGATGAGCCTAAAAAAGCACGGAGAGAGAAAAAAAAAAAAAAAAAAAAGAGACTGACAAAAGCTTAAATTATTAGATCAAGGCAGAATTAGTTTTCCATAATATTAAATTATATCCTTATGAAAGTGATGAGGATGATGAACAAGAACAAGCTTTAAATGAGAGTATTCGAGAATTACTCCCTTTTGCTATTGTTGGTTCTGAGCGCAACGTTGTGATTGATGGTAGACCCGTGCGAGGTCGAAAGAACCGATATGGTGTGATTAATGTTGAGAACGAAGAGCATTGTGAGTTTATTTATTTACGCAATTTCTTGACTCGTACCCATCTTCAAGATTTGATTGAAACGACGGCACAAATTCACTATGAGGCCTTCCGTGCTAAACAACTTTTGGCTATCAAGGAGTCTACCCAACCTGCTAGCAGTCAGGCTTCCATGCATCCTGCCATGTCCAATAGTCCTAATAGTATGGCAAGTAACGCACTTAGTCCTGGTGGCGTTAGCTCTACCATGGGAAGTCCTGCTCAATCTGCAAAGTCTGTACCTGCTTTTGGGTAAACTGCACAAATCCACCAAATCTCTCTTTTCTATCACAAATAAAAAAAAAAAAAAAAACCTTTTTTGGGCTTTCCTTTTCTCTCTTTTTTTTTTCTTGTTAAAAATGTCAGACATGCGTAATGTCAATAATTGGTAAAGTAAACTGTTTGTAAAGATATAGTTCATATTAACAAGAAGCCTCCCACCCCCTCCACGTTTTTTTTCTTTTCAGGCATTGGTAATGATAAAAGAAGCAAACACACATCGTCATCATGCATACACACTTTTTTTTTTTTAATACCGTGTTCATGTCTAGGGTTAACAAAGATTGTCGAAGTTGGGCAAAGACGTATCTTACACAACAACTCGTAGGCCTGGGAACAGAAAGCGATAAAACCAAGATACGCATCACAAGTCTTGATGAATGTACTGGTGATGTCGACTTGAACCAACGTAAAGGAAAGTTATTGGCTATTTACGATGTTGCCTTAAAGCTGAGTTGGGAAGCTCAGTTACGTGACGGATCAAAAACCTATGGCACCATCAGTGTTCCTGAGGTAGCCTATGATACCGATATAGACGATTATGTAGTAAGTCCCCCCCCCCAGGAAAAAAACCACCTTCAAAATGCAAAAAGAATCAATTGCTGTTACTCACATTTTTTTTTTTTGGTAGTTTATGATTGAATGTAACGATGGAGACCTTAAATCATGGATCCGTCACCAATTGACACCTTTATTACGAACCAAATTTTCAAAATTTACAAATGATTTGATTCAAAGTAAGGAGTTTTTTTGGAACAGTAGAAAAAGAGGGGAATACACACGTCTAAAAAAAAAAAAAAAAATTCCCACCCGAAAAAAAAAAAAAAGATTATAGCGCAGATTTATATGCAGATGCATCTACACCACCCGATTTAGTTCAGCGACGAAAGAACCCAGTTTCTTTACCACCACCTTTTGTTTCGACGACAAAAAAAGAGGATGAGGTATTACGAACGACTGTAGTGAAGCACTCATTTGATTTCAATGGTGCTTCTGCTCGGGATATTTATGAAGCCTTGTTGGATCCAACACGTGCAGCCATCTGGACACATGGGAAACCCAAAGTGTCCAAAAAAATCGGTAGTCGTTTTGAATTTTTTGATGGTAATGTCCATGGTATTTTATTACAGACGGTAAGTCCCCAATGGAAAAAAAAAAAGCGTCACTTCTTTTTTTTATGATAATGATCTCATGCGTGTGAGTTAGACACCTGGGAAAAGTATTATACAATCATGGAGACTTAAAAACTGGCCCAAAGGTAAAAAAGAAGACAAATCTTTTTAATTTTCACACACAGATTTTTTCTAAAATTCTAGTTTTTACATATATAAAGATCATTATTCGAAGGTAACACTTTCATTTGAAAACAAGATGGATGGATCTAGTAGTGTCAATGTAGTTCAAGAAGGTGTACCCCTTGGTCAAGAAGAGATTATCAAAAAGAACTGGACTGGTTATTATTGGACTGCCATCAAGGACAACTATCATCAGTTTCAACATTTGCCTATACAGAGTGATCCTTACAATTACTCCACAATAAGTCTCGTAGGCTTTCTTCTTTTTGTTATTTTACTGATGGCATTTACTGCTTACCAGGTGTCCCCACTTTTGAGATTTTAGTAGTAAAAGCTTTTTTTTTTTTTTTCATGTTGTGTTACTATCTATCTCATGACTGTTTGAAAGGAAAAAAAAAAATAAGGCCTATTCCCCCGTATCTATTTAATATGTTTTCTGCAAAGGTTTTTTTTTTTTAGGAAGCACATTGTTCTGCAATTTAATGATATTTATATATATATATTTATAATGAAGAATCACGATTGAAATATGACCAAACTGAATTGAATTTTCATAAAATGAAAGAGGGGAGGGGGGGAAAACTATATGCGCTAAGAAGGTGTAACCCAATGAAGGCACATGTCCAACGTTACACTGAAAAGCTAGATGTCCATGGCAAAAGAATATTTTGTTGTTCTATAAAGAGGATGAGGGTCATAGTCATGTGAACTATTTAATCCAGGCATTAAAAAAAAAAAAAACTTTTTTTTCCCATTTTATCTCTTTTTCTTTTTTTTTTTACCATAATAACTTTTTTTAAAATGAGACATAGCCTTTTGAGTGATGAATTGGATGATATCACGCATGCTTATGATTATGGCATTGTACCTGGTTCAGCTACAGTATTTGTACGCGATGAGATTAATAATATTGGAAGATTGGATTTGACGTTATTAGAGGGAGTGATGATTGTAGTGGAAGTATCGATAGAAGGGTACAAGGTAAAGTGTGTGTGTTTTTTTATTAAAATGAGAGTGGGGACGGAGTTTATAATAAATAATAAATAATAAATAATAAAAAAATAATAGGTTGCATCATGTTCACCACTTTCTAATACAAAAGACGCCATGTTGGCAGCACAGGTAGTACAAAGGAATTTGGAATTGCTTTTTGAAACAATGGATAATTTACTGATGGCGGTATCCCCCTTGTTTCGTGAACGATTTCAACAAGCCTTATATGAAAAGTTAGAAAGTGTTCATCATATACAACAAGACCCATCATCACAATCAGATCTAAGTCATGCGTTATCACAAGAAGCACTGGATGATCTTCACAATTGGATACATTAAAGTCTCTCTTTTTTTATATATATATGTAATTGTAATATATTTTCTTTTCTTTGTTTTTTTTTTTTTTTTTTCAAATCTATATATATATACAATTTTCCAAAAAAAAGAATTGGGGATGGGGGGGGGGAATGCTTTTTTTTTTAAAGGAAACTCCACAAGGTACCAGTCAAAGCCATACAGGAAGCCACAATAAACAAAGTGAAATCCAACATTTTACGCTTGATGGACATGGAATCACTAAAGAGGTAATAATGACAAACAAGGGGAAAGATACCCGAGATCATAAAGGAAAAGAACGCACCCAATAATGACATGATTTTATCAAATCCGGGAATAATGTAAGCAAGTACAACAATAAATGCACTGATGCAGATTTTTCCAATCGCTGTCAAAATGGGTTCACGCCAGCTATTCTTGTAACACCAGTCCTCCAAAGGCGGGCTACGGAATAACCAAATTTGCCAACTCAAATTCACTGGGTTCACCGTCAAACCATATTTCGCAATGGGATTCATCGCAATTAACCAAACAGCAAGGCGATTTAAGGTTTGGTTGTATTCGGGGATTGAAACAATGTTTTGCGTAATCTACGTAATGTTACTCCACTGTGTAATGCTTACACCAAAAAAAGTTTTCTTTTTCTTACCTCTTGCATTGTGTCAGAACCAAACATTAAATAACCACATGCAGCCACGAGGAAATAAACAATAGTGGTGGCGACATAAGTCCAATTCACCATACGAACATATAATTTCGGGTTGTCCATATCACGATAGACGGTTGGGAAGACAGCATGTCCAGCAAAACCAGCCATGATCAATCCGAAACTAAGGGGTACAGTAGACCAATTTGAAGGCCAGATTTCGGTATCCTAAACAATAAGGGGGAGAGAAATAAAGAGTTAAGAAAAAAGACAATAGTAGTTTTATCCTTCCAAATGAGAAATACTTTACAGCGGGTTGGATTAGACTGCCAGGAGCATCCTTTTTATTGACACCGTCTACAATGATGACCACAATAATACTGAAGGCACTAATAATGCCCAATAAACTTGTATAAGATAAATGTCGTACAGGCAAGAAAAGCATGGGCGTCAAGATAAAGAATGATAAGATACGGATTTCTACCACGGTAGATCCGGGGAACAGAGAATCAATACCATCCCCTAATAAAACTACCAGCGCCACACTATGAATAAGTGTTGGTCAGTTCCCATGTTACAATGCCTATTTTTTTTTTTTAGTTTCTATTTACCTGCTGGTGATCAACTCTGTAATAAATAATGCTGTGACCCAAATGCGACCCTTTAATCCAAAGGCTAAGGCACCCATATCACCATATGTTCTAGATTCGGGATCAAGGTCTAAACATTTCTGTAGGTATTTGGCAGTGTAATTTGTTAAACCACAGCAAAAGATAAAGACAGACATACCGATAGCCCAACCCGCACACTGTGAAATGTTAGTTAAAAAAAGATAAGATGAGAGGGGGAGTTTTAGATATATTTTACCTTGAAACCAAGAGGCAATGCCAAAATACCAATACCAATCAAGATATTGATAGAATTAAAGATGGATTGTGTAAAAGAAGATTTTTCAGCAGCCATTGGATGCGGTTCATAGCGATACTCATCGGCGACGGTACAGATACTTCTGACAGATAGCACTTTATCCAGATGAGAGAATAAGAGAGCGGTGTTTTCATTGCTAGGACCTGATTCAATACGACTGAGACGTGACACAGAGTTTTTTGATGGAATCCTGGAAACATAACCCGACGAAATTGCAGAATATTTATCGTCTTCCTCATCCAACTTTGTTAAAAGAGAGAGAGAGTTAGTTTACCCTACATATTTCTCCTGTAGATTTGGAAAACTCACAAAAGGGGCATTGGGTACAGCCAAGTTTTCTGCCATAAACATCATGCTTGTGCGAGAATAAGAACCCACAAAGGAACCGAGTCTTTCAGAGAAGGAGCTCATGGTGCGTTCAATAGGTATATGCTCATCGCCTACATGGTCCGGTGAAAGTTGCGAAGGATGGAGATTGCGAATACGAGGAACACTCGAGTCACTCCCTTTAGGTATATTTATATTTGGAATATCCATAACAACAATAAAAGTATAAAAGAAAACCTAAAGAAAGTTTGGAGTAACTAAGTCAAGTTTTATAGTTTTTTTTTTTTTTTTTTTTAAAAAAAACGGTCCCTGATTTGGAACTAGACCATCTGAGATTGGGCGTTCTTGCACAATAAAAAAAAAAAAAAAAAAAGGTAAATGGATTGTTATTTAATATACGTTTATAAAAGAATCCTCCCTGCCGATTTGTTATTTGGAAGCATTTTAAATTGTTGGCGTTTCATCCTTTGAGACAAAAATCAGTTGTCTGCAAATAGCAATTTTAATTACAAGGCATGATGCAATGTAATCCAACGTTTTTGTTATCATCTCAAAATGGTAAAAGTGTTCGTTGATCACAACAAGCATAATTCAGCCACTGAATATCATGATCTATATAAACTTGCGTCATACCCAACGCACATTTTTTTTTTTTCTATTGTTATGAAGAATTTTTTTTTTGTGTTTTTGTTTGCAACAATTATGCTTGTGTAAGATTCGAAACTGAAATTCAAAGGCTGTTACATGTGCTACACACAAAAAGGTTTTTCAAACATCACCGCTTTCAAAACCCCCCTCCATCGTCTTATTAAATTGTCTGACATATATCTACTGTTTATTCTATATTAAACATCAGTTTTTTTTTTCATTCTCAAAACTAAAAAAAAAAATTACAGTTCACGTAGAAAAGTCTTTGACAAAAAAGGGGTATACCAGCATCTTGGGATTTTTGTGTGTGTGTGTTGGGTTTAAACTGCATTTGTCTGATACTGAAAAAATCATCCTATATTTTGTCATCTTCTCTCTTTCCCAGTCGTCGTATCACTGTGATATCTCTATCCTAGGATAGATTGAACCCTTTTAAACGCATTATGCTGAAAAAAAAAAGGGTCTCTTTTTTAACTGTGATTCTTTTATGAGGGTGCGGATACAAAACATCTCTCCCCCGTTTAGATTTCTCTAATTTAGCACACAATGGAAGTAAAATTTGATATTTGTCTTGTAAAAAAAAGAGATCAAAGGTCAGGCCACAGTCAATCTTTAATGTGCGTTCATTGTGCATCAATATGTCTTTTTCATCTCCCTGTTGTCATGCAACCTTGTTTTCTTTAAATGATCTTGTTTAAAACGGTCTATTTATCCCAGATGACAAGTAAGGCTCTCTATATCATTCATAGCTTATCCACGACTTTATTATTATTATTTTTTTTTTTTTTTTTTTTTTTTTGGCTTGGTATAATCTGATGTTTCCTAGTATAAAACACTATCCAAGGGAAGGGGTTTCTTTTATTAAATAAAGTGAGAGATGAAGGAAAAAAAAAAATATGACTTTTTTTTTTTGTTATTAAATCTAATGGCGAGCAGCAACCTTGATGTTGTCGAAAGCATCACGTTCAGCAGTCTCAGAAGCGACTGCATCAATGTAAGGTTGAAGATATCTGATATCCTAGATAATAGAAATAAAGTCTTAGTACACAATCAATCTTTCATCCCACTTCTTTTCTCTCTCTCCTTGTCTATATGCTTTTTCTTTACCTCGCTAGCAGTAACCCACTTATCCTTGGGTAAAAGTTGATGACTCAAAGAACATTGTTGAGCAACACGGATACGGTAAGCACGATCATAAGCAGCACGAGGTTCGGCAATCTCAAGACGACGAAGGGCTTCTTGAACTAATTCGCTCTCTTCAGCAATTAAATCATCATAACGAAGACCTGTTGAAATGAAGTTAGTCATTTTGAACTTTTTTAAAAATCTTTTTTTTTGTAATGTTTACCAATTTGTCTATAACCAGCAGCGCCGGCATATGCCTTGGCAACAGGCTTCAAGAAGCTTGAAAGAAGCTTAGAGTTTTGAACAAGAGACTTGAGAGACAAAGACATATTTTTTTTTATTTTATTTTATTTTTTCAAAAAAGTTGGAGAGTTCTTTTTGAAAAAAACTTAAAGAGTGGGGAGAAAAATATATAAAGGGTCAAAAAAAAAAAGAAAGGACCCCCCGATACTATTTGTCCTATTTTGCTCTACCAGCCCATCCGGGGATTTTTTTTTTTTTTTTATTTTTTTTTTCATTTTTACACACATTAAAAATTAGTGACATCATCAATTTTTTTTTTCAGTGTTGTTCATTGCTGGTTTTATTTGTTTTTTTTGGAGTTATTTAATACCTTTTATACACACATTGCAATGAATGTTGAATGTTTGAGCATGTCGCTCCGTATCACCTACAAAAAAACATGACGTGTCCAGACCATATGAGTGATTCACATTCTACTCGAAAATCAGCACGCTAAAAAGTGAATAAAGCAACCCCTTCATTCATTATGAAACCCAACCTTGACAGATTTCTTTTTTTTTTGTGGATCAGCTTGTTGAAAACCGGTATAAAGTCAACAGGTTCAATATTAGAACCCTTCATCAACTTTTTCATGTGCACTGAATAAAATAAACGCTTTTTGTTACACTCTGTCTGCGTGAAAAAAAAAAAAGCTACCCTCATCCCCTGTCCAACACACATACGACTCCCGAAAGCATTGTTGTGCGAGCAGTCTTATATCCTTCATAGACAGCAAAAGAAATAGCACCAAGGATCTAAAATACGAACTGGGGGGAAACGATGCTTTGACAGACATCCCTAATCATTTGATACACTGGTGTCATTTCACGATATATCTCTCTCTTTTATTATTATTATTATTATAATGATTACGATAAATTAGGTTTATAGTGGGATTTATTAGATGGTAGATTTTCCCTTATAGTAGGTAGACACGACTTTACCAAAGTTTTCACCTTGAGTAGCAGCGATTTCCAATTCCTTTTGAGAAGGTTGACGAGACCCATCTCCATTGGCTATATAAAAGAAAAAAAAAAAAAGTTAGAAAATCTTTAAAAAAGTAAAAAGGAGGAGGAGGAGGAGGAGCCTTACCAATTGTACCAGCACCATAAGCAGAACCACCCACGACTTCGGAATTATCAAACAAATGAGCACTTGCGAAACCAAAAGGAACATAAATCATGCCATGATGCGCAAAATAAGTCACGGTGGTAAGCGCGGTCGTTTCTTGACCACCGTGTTGAGAGGCAGTACAGAAGAAAGTACCGGCAAATTTACCAGCAAGTGCACCTGTAGCCCAGAGTTTACCAGTGGCATCCAAGAAGGCTTTTAATTGAGCGGGCATAGTACCAAATCGTGTGGGGATACCAAAGATGATACCATCAGCTTCTGTTAATTGATCTACTGTGATGATTGGTAAATCAAGCTTGGGAGGGGCGTGCATCTTTTGAAGAACTTCCTCTGGTAAAGTCTCTTGCACTGGAGAGAGAGTATGTGTGTGTGTGTGTGTATAGGGGAAGGTTAGTATATCAAAGCTGTTTTCATCATGAATACAATCCCCATACCTTGGAAGATCTTGACATTGACACCTGAGCTTTCAAGACCACGTTGAACCTCAACAGCCAACTTGTGAATATGATGGTAGAGAGTATAGATGACAATATAAACTGTAGGAGGCATGACTTATAAGGAAGTGTTTTATTTTAAAAGAGAGATTCAAGATATAAAATTACAATTTTTCTCCAATTTTTAAATCCTAATTTTACTTCATTTTTGTTTGTTAAATTTGCAACATGTATATTTTTTCCCTAAAAGCTCATCTATTTATTAGACTTTTGAAACTAAATAAAAGTCATTTTAAATTTTTTTTTTTTCGGGTGAACCCTTTCTTCGCTTTTCAAGTTTTACTTGTTTGTTATAGGGAAAATACAATAAAAAAAAACTTTACGACAATAAAATTTTTATTTTCTTTTGGAATCCCTTTCTTTCATAATTTTCTTTTTTTGCTGTTTTTTTTTTTTGGTTGGAAAGAAATCATGACAAAACCATTAGTTTATATTGTGATTTATTCACTCTACCACCACGTTTACAAATTATCTCTCTCCATTAAGGAAGGTTTAGAATCCAAAGGTGTAGACGTCCAACTTTTTCAAGTTCAAGAAACCCTTTCGGATGAAATCCTTTCCAAGATGCAAGCTCCCTCTAAACCCGATTTACCCATCATCTCTGTGGATCGTTTATCAGAACCCGATGGGATTCTCTTTGGTCTCCCCACACGTTTTGGTACCATGCCCGCTCAAATGAAGGCCCTTTTAGATGCCAGTGGTGCTCTTTGGGCTAAAGGCGCTTTGGCTGGCAAATTCGCCGGTACTTTCTTTTCTACCGCCTCTCAACATGGTGGTCAAGAAACAACCGCTTTAACCGCTGTCACCTATTTCGCTCATCATGGTATGATGTATGTTCCCTTTGGCTACGCCAATGCCGCCATGGGTTCTGTAGATGAAGTCATTGGTGGTTCCGCTTATGGATGTGGTACCATCTCCGATGGCGATGGCTCACGTCAACCCAGTCATACCGAATTAGCCATTGCTGAAAATCAAGGTGCCAATTTCGCTGAAATTTTAACCGTCTTTGTCAAAGGAAGAGATATCATGACCAGAGATCAACCTTATGATCGGTCAACGCATCAGTCCAATCCTACAACAGATCCACAACTTTCTTCCGCTGTCGATACGACACATCATCAACCCATGTCAGATACCAGCCACGTAGACTCACATACTGGAGCTGGTGTAGCAGCTGGCACCACTGCCGCCGCCGCCGCCGCTGCTACTGCTGCTTCAAGTGCTGGCAAGAGGTCTTCCACGACGGGCGATAACACTTTTATTGACAAAACTGATAATATTGAAAATGTATCTGTGGGTGAAAGAGGTACCTCTTTAAATACAACAAAGACAGTGACTTCAAAAAACGACATCGCACCGTCGTCAAGTGTAGAGACACCAGTTACAGATGGTTTCCATGGTGATCCAACCACGCATACTTTAGGTACTACACCTCCAACTTCTGCAGACGCAGTACGTACTGCTACAGCATCTGATACGACTGCAACCGGCACCACACCTGCTGCTACAACGGGTACCACACCTGCTGCTACAACGGGTACCACACCTGCTAACACAACGGGTACCACGCCTGCTAATACAACGGGTACAACACCTTCTGGCAATGTTGCAGATACAAATGTGACTGGTGCAAATGCTACAGGCAATTCCACGAATCCGATGAGTACAACAACGGCGACCGATGCAAGTAAAATGGGAGATACAATGGCGACGGGTGGTACTACCAATGCTGCTGTGACAGGTGCTACGGGTGCTACACCAAATACTGCTACTACTACAACGGGCGCTACAGGTGCTACACCAGGTACTGCTACTACAACGGGTGCTACAACAACAGGGGCTACTGGTACTACGGGTGCAACAGGCACTGCTGCTGCTACTGGAGCTGCAACGGGTGCTGCAGGTGCAACAGGAGCTGCCGCTGGAGCTGCCAAGACAGGCACGACTGCTGCAACAAACGCTGCGACAACAGCCGCAGGTAAATCTACAGCCACTAATCCAGTTAAAGAAAGTATAGTGAAGGACAAGGTTAAAGAGAAGCCAAAAAAGAAGAAGTGGTTCTGTTGTTAAATCACACACACTTTTTTTTTTTTTTAAAAATAATCATTCAAATTAATACATTAATACAAAATAAAATAATTCAAGTATCTAAAACAACCTAAATAAGAGATTTTTTTTTTATAAATAATGTGTATATGTACAGAAATAAAAAGAAAGGTGTAAGTGATATATATATATATACAAAAAAAAAAAAAAAAAAAAGATGGTGTGTGTCTGTGTGGTTGGGGTATACAAAAAATGATGAGCTGCATACTGTTATTTTGCGAGTGTGTGTGTGATGTGAGGATTTATTCTATTTTTTGTTTGTCAGCAAAGGATCCATTTACTGCTTTTATCATAAAGTCCATAAATCGTTTTCCATAAGCGATGGGATGCACGGATGAAATGGTATTTTTGTCTTGTGTGATACTTTTCCAAATATGTTCAGATCGTTTCATGAAATTATAAGGTGTTAAAATATCAATGACGCCCATATAATAGAGTTTATCCAAGGGTCGATTCTCTTCATCACTCGATCGAAATCCACCGTCATCTGCATAAAATATACACCACCTTCGTCTAAAAAAAAAAAAAAAAAAAAAAGTCATCAGTTCTTTTTTTTCTTTCTTCTTCTCCCTCTGTAACTTACTCTTCGGATGGACTGGCGGGTAGTTCTGAGGTATTGATATGGACTGGATTTGTATTCCTTAACGCTTTACGAATGATTTCTGCTTTTTCGTTATTACTACGTCGAATCGATGTACGTCTTTCCAGGCCCTCCGTCCTCGGTGTGACCATATGTAAACTCTGATCACGGATACCCTCGGTGTTCCCCCTTCGAATATCATGGATACCGACCAGCAGACTATAATCCATGATATTCAACCTCTTGAGGATCTCCACATCTCTTTCCAACTGGGTGAGAAATAAAGCTCGTTTACTTGCGCCCAATTGAATGCGTTCCTTGTTTTTCACCCAATTCTGATCCTTCATGACAGCATGTGGGTTACGTGCCACTTCTTCCTCCGATGTCAATCTTCCAAAGGTGGATCCTTTCAGATCAAAGGTTTCATGGATATCCTTGTTAGAGGGTAAGACATTACCCATGATGACAAAATGAATTTTTCGACCTCTTGGTAATTTAATTCGATGCAGTCCATAAAAGCGACACAGTAATGTATTTGGATTATTGGACACATGCTAAGAGAGAGAGAGAGAGAGAGAGAGAGAGAAAAAAATCAATGGGATGAGTTTTTTTTTGTTTTGTTTGATAGGCAAAAAACCTCCCTTTACCTCGTAGTAATCTTTCAAAATCTTTCTCATAAATTTATGCTCAGAATGATGAATGGTCTTGATGATAAATCTATAATCTCTGGAATAATAAAAGAAGGAACCACTTTTACCAGGCGAACCAATTTCACTGAGAATATATTTATTGGTCAAGGACATCATATAATCTGCTGCATCCACGTGAAATTTCTCACGCAAGTTCCTGAATACCCATGGCGCATAGTCCTTGAACTTGAAATCGTATTTCACTCCCGGTGTTAATTCATTGCCCGTACTATATATATATATGGGAAGAGATCCGATGAACAACTAACGAACGAAAACAATCCCCCCCTTTTTTTTTGTGGTAACTTACACATCAAAGACGAGTTTATGAGCGGCTGTAAAATCCTCAGGTGTTAAATCTCTCTGTATTTTGGCAGACACACGACCTACGGCAATACGAATACCAGTCAACATATCGTACATCATTTGATAGTTTCGATGTCCTTCTGCTACTCGTGTTCCTATGGTAGTACGAGACTGTTCCTCTTCATCGTCATCGTCGGCGTAGGTCCTCTTTTGCTGTTGTCTTCGTGCTAGACGTCTTGCTCTGATTTCCTCTTCCAATGCATGCTGTTCATCATGATCCAAGGGTCCTAAATCCATCATTCTGACAGAGGCAGAGGGTGACTTTAAGGGAGGGGAGACAGGATGATTGTGTTGTAGACTGTTGTTAGGATGATGATTGAGTTCTTCCAGATGACGCTTCTCTTGGATATCAATGAAGAGTGGGGGTGGTTTCTTTTTAGTGGTGGTAGTAGTGGTGATCTCTTTATTATCCGAAGAAGGGTCTTCTCCACAATAATACCTGTTTTTTAACAGGACAAGACCACTGTCCTTGGTGACTGAACCTTGATCATCAGGTGTCATGGACATGGCTTCCACTGTTCCTTTTTCCTCGTAATGGCTATGACGTGGTGACGACATGACTTTAAAAGACATTTCGGAAAGTTAAAAAGAAAGAAAGAAAAAGAAGAAAAAAAAAAAAAAAAAAAAAGAGAGAGAGAGGGAGGAGGCTAAAAAAAAAAAACAAGATAAGCCCTTTCTCTCTCTCTCCCATTTTGCCTATTATGTAAATAACGGTAACACATATTGACATCACTCATAAATCATTTTTTTCATTTCTCGATAACTTTTTTTTTTTTTCTTGCCCGTCTGTATGAATGGAAATAAATTCTCCGGTATGATCTACATGGAGACAACACACTGTTCAGTAATAGTTGTGGTTGTTTAAAACTTTCCGATAGAGTGGACGCTCATCCCCATCATAAAAAAAAAAAAAGGATCTTTCTCCCTCTTCTATCATATTGAACCCCTCCAATTTTCATCATTTTATATATACATATAAAAAAAAAGGGACCTTTTGCTATTCGTCTATCATAAAAGACAATGATGAAAAAAAAAAAAAAAGGCCCCGAGATGACAAAATAAAAAAAAGTGCATGTTGTGGAGCGTGTAACCTGCCAGAAATAAATTGAAACAACGCTCATTATGCAATGAACCTCTCTTTCCCATATAAAAATAAGTTATCTCCATTTATTTACAAGAATCTAAGCTTTTTTAGAACGGAGAAAGGTGAAGGAGATAAGGAGAGAAAGGGTTTAACATTATATAGAAAAAAAATTTTGGCGTTTTGATGTGTGTGTGTGTGTGTTGTCATGGAGAGGGAGGAAAAATGTTATAGGAGAGTTGTGTGTGTATGCGGGGACTAATAATAAAAAAAAGAGAAGAAAATATTTTACTTGTTACGGACATATTTACCAACAACAACAGCATGATCTCTCTCATAAGGTTCAAGAGTCAATTGTTCTTGAGGCTTAATTCTCTCTTCTTGAAGCTTCTTGACTTCACGAGCAAAGACAGTAGCAGCATCTACAGTGGAATCAATACAAGAAGCCTTGATAGAGATGACGATGTGACCTTCATTCTTGAGGAAATGATGAGCGTTCAAAGCAATAATACGAGCTTGATCGGGTTGAGCAACATCAGCAAAGATAACATCCACCATAGGTACAAGCATACGGTACTTTTGAGGATGACGAGCATCTTCAATGATGGGAACAACGTTCGTTCTCTTCTTGGCCATGTTAATCAAATCACGACCGGGACGATGAGAGAATTCAACAGCATACACAGCTCCCTCAGCACCGACAATATCAGCAACATGGGAGACAGAGGTACCAGAGGCAGCACCAAGATATAAAACCTTTTTACCAGGAGCAATGTGGATATGATCAAGACCACCTAAAACGGCAGCAGCCAACTTACTTCTGAAAGGATTCCAGACACGGTATTCGATCTTGGTTCCCTCAGGTCCATCAATAGAGATACGCTTCTCACCATAAACAGCTTCACCAGGAACAAGGTTCTTGGTCACTAAAAGATCTTCCTTACCACGGGCAACGAAAATACCAGCATGTCTATGGGGTTCAACAACGACCTTGGCTCCACCACGGGCTCCACCACCGAAACCACCACGAGCACCACCACGGGGGGCACCACGGCCACCACGGGGAGCACCACGTCCTCCACCTTTAATATCAATGAGAAGAAGAAAGGGTTAATGACTAATGAATAAAAAAATTTTTTTTTTTGATGTGTTTGCATGTTACTTACCACGGCCACCGAAACCTCCACGTCCACGATCTCCACCGAAACCACCACGGCCTCCACGATCGCCACCGAAACCACCACGGCCTCCACCACGACCACCAAAGCCACCACGACCTCCACGATCGCCACCGCCGAAACCTCCACGGCCTCCACGATCGCCACCGCCGAAGCCACCACGACCTCCACCACGACCTCCACGGTCACCACCGAAACCACCACGACCTCCACCACGGCCACCACTGAAACCACCACGAGATTCGAAAGCCATCTTAATTAGTTTTATAAAAAATCTGTGTTATTAAACAAAAGGGAAAAAGGGAATATTTAAAAAAAAAATTTGACACTTTTTTCGAACCCACCCCACCCCCCAAAAAAATGCTCTGAGGGCTCTCTCACATACGATACGGTTAAAAAAAAAAAAAAAAAAAAAAAAAAAAAAACTGAAATTAATCTGTGACTACTTTTCGGGAAGGCACCCCCCATTGAGTGGCTTTTATTATTATTTATTAAATGCTTAAAGTAATAGTTTGGGTACAATCAGGTGCGGTCATATTGGTAAATGTGTTGAATATCCACAAGGCAATTCCATTGGTCCAGCCAAAACCTGTTTGCGATACATATTCTCCTTGACTTCCTGATACGCCAATGGTATTCACATCAAACTTTTCAAACATATGGCCATCATCCGATACATTTTCAATCTTTTCTAAAAGCCCAGGAATCGATCCACCTGTATTATACCAACCGCAGTAAGCAGAGGCCGCATAACGTTCCGCAAGATTATGAGACAATCGATAGATAGACGTACCATGGCTCGTTGTGTAGGTCTTCTTATCATTGTTATTGTTCAAGTACTTGTCCACACGCAGCATACCTTCCATCGCCACATACGAGAGTGGAGGCCAACCATTAGGCCAATCCCATTGCATCGTCGTGTTATAATAAGACGTGGTCAAGATACCAGGATACTTACGCAAAGCATTTTCCGCTTCATCATACACATGCGATAAAATCTTCTTGTCCTTCAGAATACGAGGGGGAATGGCTCCTAACCAAAGCGGAAATAAATTGGCCGGAGTGAAATCCTTGTTCTGTGAGTTATCCGTTAAATTGTAATCATAAAAATTATAGTCGTCTTCATTCCACATGAGTCTTTCTATGGCGTCCAAACGTTTCTTGGCTTGGGTTTGATAATAGGCAGCTTTCTTTTTGGTCTCCTTTGACTTTTCCCCAAACTCTGTAAACCATTCGGCCAACATGGACTCGGTGTTCCATAGCAACGAGTTGAGATCAATAGGTACAATCTCAGAGGTATGGATCGTGCGTAACATCTCATAGTTTTCCTTTTGATCGGCAGCAGGATACTTTTGCTTAACCCAACGTGAGGAATAATCAAACCCTGTTTCGGCACCAGCGGCAATATCGGCGTACATCTGGTCCTTTTCGGCGTCTGTGAAATGTGTACCATTGTTCACTGTATTGTAGTCTTCGACATAGGATTCAGGACGAGGCGAGGTATTGAGCGTGGAATAATGGTTTAGCTTATACTTCTTGTGAGGATTTTCTGGATCGGGTACAGAAATGGAAGCGTTGGTCATCCAATGAGCATATTCTTTCTCTAAATGAGGTAAAGCCTGCGTCATAAAGTCACGATCACCTGTCTTTTCCCAGAACTCTTGTACCATTTGTGTTAGGAAAGGAGGTTGAGAACGGTTGAGATAATACATACGCGCTCCATTGGCTATGATTTTTTTTTTTTTTTTTTTTAATACTCTGTGAGCTTTTCTATTTTTTTTTCTTTTTCCTTATATACACTTACGAATAAAACCATAGGTCTCCACAAAATCAAAAAAGTTCAAAATCATGTTTCTGGCCATTTCCACTTGATCACTTAGTAACAGCCCCTTGATCACAAAATACGAGTCCCTATTCATAGAAATGATAGATTAGATATCTACTCTATTCAATAAAAACAATGTCAATCATTACCAGTAGTAGAATTCACGGAAACGACCGCCAGGTACGACAAAGGGACGTTTGACGGGTAAAATGGAACTAGAACAGTCCTCGCATAAGTCGCTTGTATCAAATGTGAAAGTCAGATTAGCCCAAGCTTCATTTAAATGACTGATCCAGCCTCGATAATCTGGATCGGTTACATTATCAATCCATCGGAGCGGGGGGATTGTAATATTAGGCAATAATTTGACTTCGGTTCCAGCCTTGAGAAAGTTTTCATTGAGGAATTGTTGTACTTGTTCCTTGGTGGCATTGACACCACCCAAGGCTTGAAAGTTTTGAAGTACTTGTGCTTCTGGCTTGGATGTAGGCTAGCATAGAAGGGGGGGGGAGGGGGAAATGAGTATATAAAAAAAAAGAAGTGCTTATAGACACTCCCATTTATAATAGCTTACCATGTCCACAAATGTCTTGGAGTCCGAAAAGATTCTGGCCATTTGCACAGTATGAAGTAAATCACCTTTACAATAAATAGGAGAATCACATGTATAGGTTGTATGGTTGTCAATAGCAACCACAGAGAAAGCACCTAGCACCAGACTACAGATCCAACGTAAGCGTAACATTCAAAGTAAGAAAAGAAGATATAAAACAAGTCTTGTAAATTTAATTTAAACTGGATTGAACGGAATATTTTTTTTTTCAGGGACAAAAGATATATGTATAAAAAAAAAGCCCGACTAAAAAAAAAAAAAAGGGGAAGGGGGAATCAAAGAAAGCAACTACTATTCTTGTGATGAAATGAAAAAAGAAGGTTGCTTTTATATCTTTTATTTTTTTTAAAAAATAGGTTAAACTAGAGTTTTTTTTTCTGTGGGTGCAAGGAGGGAAACCACGGAAAAAATAAAATGGTATTCTCTCAGTTAGGGCTTTTTAGATCTTTCTCTTTTTATTTTTTATAGCCGGGATATAGTATAAAACGGCATAAGACACAGTATGCATCGTTTGTCATCCTATATATAAAAAAAAAAGAAGCATTTCCGAAGGAGAGGTCTCCCCCATTCTTTCTAAAGTGCATTCCTTGTTTCTATCCAACTCACTTATTGTCATTTATATAATTTTTTAACCCGGAATAATAAAAAAAAAATTCTTGCATTGTCAGTACGTCAATGCTGTGGTACAACAATATTCCCAATTCGATCTAAAAAAACAACAATGATCATATGCTGCCTCTAAACGAAGAAGAACTGAAAAAAAAAAAAAAAAAAAAAAAACTAGGTGAGCGGGAAAAAATAAATAATAAAAAAAGGTTCCCTCGGTCAATTATTTGATTTTAACATATACGGCTCACTTTCAATGATTACAGCGAAAAGCGGAGGAACAAAAAATAATAAAAAGCTTACAATGCGAGATTGCATATTTTTGTTCCATCACTGAAAGATGAACAAAAAGAAATTCACGTAACACAGTAACACTCTTCTTCTTTTCTTCTTCAAAAACAATGCTAAAACGGATTGCATCCTAGTAACGTGCCTGCACTCCCCCCAACCCCCCTCCCTTTCCACCGGAGTTACAGGAGAGAAAAAGGAGTTACCAAAGAAAAAAAAAAAGTACTACGTAATACGGTTTTCAACCATTTTAAAATGATAAATTTTCGAGAGAGAGAGAGAGAGAGAGAGAGAGAGAGAGAGAGAGAGAGAGAGAGAGAAGCGAATAGTAAGCCAAATGTTGCCCAGTCTTTCCAATCATGCTTAAACTAATTTTATGTATTTGAATGCAATTTAAAAAAAGATGCTAAACAAATACTTTCTGTCATTTTTTTTTTTTTTCATTATTATTTATTTCAGTCGACATGCGAATATTCATTGGGTTGAGATCTCGGCTTTTTTTTATTAGACTTTCTATTTTAGCTCGGCAGATTTATAGATTGAAAAGGGGGGGGGGTAATATACATGCATTTTTTATATTGTTTGTTGACAACAAACTAACTGTGCATCTTACTTGATCTTTTTATTTTAGAAAAACAACCTTCTATATGCTTGGATGACACCCATGCGTTCATTAATGCATCATCTACTATTGACTGTAGTCATCGTATACGAAATCGGGGAGTAGATGGATTGTTGTTTCATCATGAGGTCTGTCTCTCTCTGTTCGCGGGGTTTAACAAACTGGGGGATTTGCATAAAAAGTGTGCACTCTTTTTAGAGCAACCAAGCCAAATCAATGGGAAAACGTGTGAATGGTTTGTTAGATAACAAAAAAAAAAATCATTCGTCTGGCAAGATGATTTAGGTAACTAGTCTGTCGTCATGATTGTGCTCTGTTAAATTTATCTTCATTATTGGATAACAAAAAAAAAAAAAGAAAAAAAAGAAAAAGAAAAATATTTGACTTAATCAAAGATAAAACACATCCGTGCATTTTTTTTTTTATAATCTCGCATCTACATAAAATAATACACCTATCCTCACCCATTTCGATCAAAAAAGATAAAAACCCGCACAGTGGTACATTCTATTGTATACAAAGGCTTGTCCTTTTTTATACAAATGAGGTGTTACACGAGCACATTGTAAATTATAACATAGAGACAACATGGATGGCGTAATGGTTAGACAATTTTTCACACAGCTACTGCACAAATGACATCAGCTTCATGTCAAGAGGGGGTCGTGTGTGGATGTTTATATGTGAGGGGCAGAAAACGATAAAAAAAAAAAAAAATCGTCATTCTGCACAAAAGAAACAGGTACTTGGAAGAGGGGGAGGACCCGTAGTCTTCTTTTTGTGTCCCACACACACAGACGGTGTCTTACTCATAATGGAAACCCTTTTGCCTTTTTTTATTTACTCAAGGGGAAAATTGAATAACCGTCGCCTTTTATTATACATGTAACTTTTTTAAACAGTAGAGTAAATCATATTCTGTTGAAATGTCTCTATTTCCTGTATGAATTGTAACAAGGCACGTTCTTCCGTTCGACCAAAGACAAACGCAACAATGAGACAAACGGGTAAAGCAACAGAAACAAAATTCATAAGCAGACTACCGATGAGTGTCACAAGCACAATCACGATTGTTTCGGGTACACAAGTTGGCACTGCGACAATGATCACCAGGAGTATAAATTGCAATACAATACAACTAAAAAAACAACCTAATAACCAATCCGCATCCCTCTTGGCTTTCATCTTGTCCAATACAAGTGCATCCACAATCTCTCGTACTGTCGTTGGGTCCAATTGCGTCTCATTAAACTTGCGTCGATTCGGTCTTGTCTGGCTAGGAGAAGGAGGATGATGGAGAATGGTAAAATGAGAGACGACACCAAAATGATCAGAGTAACTCATATCTGTGCCTGGCACTCGATCGGTCAAGACCACGCGTGAATCTGTACACGTAAATTGAGGTGTTTGGCTGTAAAAGATGTAATCCAGTCGTTTCCCCATCATCCTTTTGGCATGGATATTATCCGTGGAAGGTGAATAATAACGGGAAAACGTATTATATGGTGAGTTACAAGTGAAACCAAAATATTGTGTGTACGTCTCGCTATTCAGACTGTTCATGTCAAACCCGTTGGCATCGGGCTCACCATGCACTTGTAACCACGAATCTGTCATGTAGCCATGGTTACGAATCAGCTTGTAATTAAAGGATGACGGTACACTGTTAAAGTCACCACTCTATTATATTTACGGGTAAAAGAATCAGTTTAGTAAAGGGCCCCCTTTTGCTACAGACGACATTTATATTTTTCTAAAAAAAAACGTGGAGTTTACCATAATGATATGTCGACCCATGGCGGCGGAAGCACGTAATAGATTAGCCAGTTGCCAGCACTGGGTGGCACGATGTGCTTTATAAGGATCTTCCGGACCATACCCACCGTGTAAATGCGTGTTGTAAATATCTAATAAACCTAGTTGAGGATGATCTACAGTGGTTGTTGCACATCCTTTACCCACATAGTAATCAGCGTGGAGTAATTTTAATGGTTTTCCATTTAATGCATATCGGTGATAAGCGGTGGCAATAATTGGAAATTTTGAAAAGATGGCGAGACCACTGCCCAATGCTCCACTAAGAATGGTGAAGGGAGTTACAGGAAAAAAAAAAAAGATAGAATAACCACCACCACTCTCTTTTTTTTTTTTTTGTATATATTGTTTTTACCTGTAGAAAAATTTGGCATGAGGTAAATTGTACCTCAGTTTCTCTACTAGATAATCATAGTCCTTTTGTACCCACACTTCTTGCAAGGTAATGATATCGTAGGAGGAGTTCGTCAAGGTGTCTGCAATAGCTGATAGTCGATGGCGTCTATTTTTAGAAATGACGGCAAGTCCCCTTTCATGTATTTTCAGCTTTTCTTTTTTATTGTCTAATGGTCAAGTTTTTTTTTTTACCAGCAATTGAAAGAAAGAACTTGAATGGTGTCCATGTTCAAAAAAAATTTTTATTTTTTTAGTTGTCCTCTCTTTTTGTTCACATGAAAAAAGAAAAGGCGGTTATTAAATTTTACACACGAGGGGGAGTTGGTGTTGCTTGGGTGGGTGGAGAAGCAGTAAGAAAGAGCTTTAATTGGAAATGTGTTTTAAAAGCACATGAAAAATCAGCTGTGTGTTCCAAAATGAATTATTAAAGCGATTTTTGAGGGGCACGTAAATAATAAGTATTCATTTGTTTAAGAAGGGGGGGAGGAAGCATACGTGCACACACTTTTTTTTATATCATGGCAGTGTAACTTGACATGTGATGCCACTTATATTTATAGATATCGTCATGATTATCTCTGTATATCTGCGCACTTCTTAAAAAATGAATATAATCTATTACAGAAAAAAATAGATACACACACATTTACATATATACACACACACGATTAATTCATATCCCGCTATTACCCTTTTAAAGGCACCTGGTTACCTCAACTTTTCCTTTTTTCTCTTTTTCTTTTTTGTTTATTTATTTATACCCTTTTTATTACACCTTTTATTATTATTATATATATTTATACATAGTGTATACACGCCTCCACTCTATTATTATTATGCCACCTAAAATTGAAGAAGATACCAAGAATAAAAAACCTGCTGGAAACACAAAGAGACAAAAGATTGTAAAAGCGTGTAAAGATTGCAGAAGACGCAAGGTACACACTTAAACAGAAAAAAAAAAAAAAAAAAGAGAGAGAAAGGGGAAGGGGCAAAAAAAGTTTTTTTTTTTGCTAACTAAAATGATTAGGTGAAATGTGATGGTGCCACACCTTGTGGTACATGTCGAAGATCGTCTATCCCCTGTGTGTTTGAATCGACATCACCAAAGCGAGGTACGAGCAAGCATTACATTGAATCATTGGAGTATCGACTTTCGGTGATGGAGAAAGCAGTAAATTCATTAAGTGGGCCGACAGCGGACATCGTAAAAGAGGCTGTGCGTCGAGAAGAAGAGCAACAGCAACAGCAATTACAACAGACCAGTAGTGTAACACCAGGTAAAAAAAAAAAAAAAATATTAATTACTTGGATGTTGTGTAATTCTAAAATATAACCCCTCTCTTTTAGAATTGATGATTATAAATGCAGAAGATAGATACACTTTAAATGAGTTTGGCAGTCCATCTTATATGCAAGAATATTATCAAAGTTCATCCAGTTCTTCCTCACCAAAAAGTATCGATAGTCAACACTCCACCACCACCACCGGCCGATTCAATAATCGTCAGGATGAAATCGAGATCAATAACCATCTGAAATTCTATCTTTCACAAATACAACCTTATTTCCCTTTATTTGTACCCACTTATTTCAATCAACAGTATGCAGCTCAAGAATTACCAAAGATACTTATCTATTCCATGTGTGCTCTATCCTGTATATATCAACAAATGGAAGAACATTACAGCTACTACCAAAGAGCCATGGTCATGTTGGATGAGTCCATTGGTAGACCTTCCATCTCGCTTGTTCAGACTTTACTCTTATTAATCAAATACAAGGAATACAACAACTCGAGTAATTTCTTTGAGACCACCAAGAGTTTAATGGCTAGAACAGTCGAGGTCTGTAACATCTTGAGCTTGGAAAAGATCATGACAACCAATGATTCTGCTGCTGAAACAAGAAAACGTACCTACTGTATGGTGTTTACCTATAACACCCTTTTATGGTAAATAATGGGAAAAAGTAAACATGTACCCAGAAAAGGAAATTAACTCTTTTTTTATAGTGTGGAACAAGGCATGATAAATGATTTAACCTTGCAAAAGGAGCATTATCCTTGTACTGTATCCGATGAATCAAGCATTGATTGTCAGTCTCACATCATCAAGTTTGCAAATACACTTCAACAGATTCATAAACATGTCTCTCGTATGAATCAAAGACAGGACGTGCAAAAGTCCTTACGTAGTCAAAATCAGGTCTTGGAGGAACATATTGCCATCTTTGAGTTACAGGTCAAGATCGAATCCGATCTACTCAATCTGCCTTTAAATTTAACCTTGTATCAACAACAACAACAACAGTCTTACAAGCACCAACCTTTATTTCCCGCTGAGGATATCATTGTAACCGTATCACCCATGACAAGGTTATTGCACATGGTGTACCATCTCAATGTTATTTTGTTACACTACCATTATTCAAGGTATCCATTACCAATGACACATCCTAATAATGATTCCATCACGGTTTACCCTCATGGTCAACTTGCTTCTTCCTCCGCTTCCGTCATGATTCGTCTGATCGAAGGCCTCATAGCCGATCCACTCCAAAGCTTCCGTTACTCTCCTCGTGGCCTACAATTTCTTGTGCATTGTCTTTCATGTGCTTTTACTGTGCTTAAATACGAAATTACCAATCCAGCCAATCCAAAGACGTACTACGAAGAATATCAACGATGTGCCCATCTCATGCAAAAGGTTGGTTCGGCATCGCCGTCCAATGAGATGCGTAATTATGCAAGAGAATTGGATTTAGCTGCAATCAATTTGGATGTATCCTCTTTGCAGGTTTCATCCAATACGCCATCTACTTCGCCTGTGGCAGAAACAAGTAAGATACGACGAAATACCATCTCTCATCGCCCATCTCAACAACAACAGCAGCAACAACAGCAGCAGCAACAGCAACAAGTCGTACCACCTTCCTTGTTACAACTATCGAGTGCAGGTGTCTCACAGCAGTTTACTTTACAGCATCATCCTTTACATAATATCCATGCTTCTCCTCTTGCAGTACAACAACAACAACAACAACAACATCTGCAATCACCGCAACAGCAACAACAACAACAACAGCATCATCCCATGTTACGTGGTTCTACCCAATCCTGTAATGATCTAAGATCGATGAATCGATTACAGTCTTCTTTATCACCCCCTCCCCCACCTATCCAGACGCAATTTACAAGCAACTCATTTACACAACATCGTAAACCAGTGGGATCGGTGATATCTTCCAGTACCACGGGGAGTTCCCAAGGCCCTTACCGGGGTAATGGCAATGTTCGAAATGTGTCACCTTCTTTACCTTATGTAAAACCATTTGATCATCCACCCCAAATGAGTCAATCTTCTGGATTTCCACGTCAACCTACTTCATCCACCGGATCCTTATCGGGCAATGGTGTCGGCAGCGGGGCAGCAGCGCCCGGAAAAATGAAACGTATTAAAAAGAGTGTATCTATTCAAGGAATTTCTGCCTATCGACAACAACAACAACAGTACCAAAATCATCAGATACAGCATTATCAAATGTACCAACAACAACAGCAACAACAGCAACACCAACAACAGCAAATGAATTTCCAACAACAGTTGACGAGTTTATTGACAGAACCCAATTTATTGCATCGACCTTATCAACCGACGTTTGATGACAAGTATATGGAAGATGATTTTTCAATGAATGTGGATGATTTAAGTTTTTTGAGCAATTATCCTGTCATGGACGATCAACGGTCTGAAGGGCATCAATTATTATAGGATTTGCCACCCAAAAAAAAAAAAACAAAAAAAAAAAAAAGAAGAAACAGATAAACACACCCCAAAAAAAAAATATATAGTTATACCCCCATTCCCTTTTTTTCAATATGCCCCCATTTTTATATATATACATGTATGTTTTATACCTCAAACTATCAGTGGATGAACAATAAATGATAGTTTTTTTTTATAAAAAAAAAAGGGACAAAGGGAATGGTTTTAATCATCTACAGTGCAATTATTTAATGATGGGATTGTGGTAAAAAATTGTACATACAAAGCTGCATGAATGGATTACCTAAAAATTACAAGCAGCCAATTTGTTTATATGAAGATCATGTGTACTTGATTTAATAATTCATTATTTCATCCTGACATAAATATGTTCATCCAATATAAATAAATAAAAAAAGAACGAGAAACCTTCTCACACTTTTCTCTTATTCTCTCACTCTTTTTTTTTAAAAAAAACAGTATACTCTATTCACGTGAAGGTTCGTTAACAGAGGGGGTTTATTTACTTAATGGAAGTCCTAAAATAAGGCATGGTATAGCTACTGGAATATGTTTAAACGTTTTCACACGTAGTTTGTGTCCCAAAAGAAAAAAAAAAACCGAGGATTTTACCTTGGATGAATGTGGTTATCAGTCATTTGGTGTTTGGCTAAATATGAGAAGGTTCGAGTTCACGTTTAAGCAGACCCGAGCCGCGCTTGACAGTAGCGAGGGTGGTTTTTCAACAATGAAACACTGTGAACAGCTCCGAATACAACGCATTTGTCGGCCACCGTTTGCTCCTACTGCTTTAAAGTTTGCGGGAAAACAAGAACAAAAAAACCGTGTTTAATCAATTCAAGTAAGCTTAAATTCAATTTGACTTGCCCCACCTAATGTCAAAACGGCGTGCCAACTAACCGGGCCCCAGAATATACCGAAGAAGGTTTCCGATTATCTGTGCAAAGAAAGTAGGCTAAAGAATTTGTGTTGACTACTCGAGCTCGCCTCGCTTTTACATATATATAAAAAAAAAAAAAATGCTCAGCCTGTCAATTCTCATTATTTAATTAAGAGAGCTCTTGACATTATCATAGAACACAGCAAGTTTAAATCATGCCATAAAAACTGATTCGATTTTTGAGCTTTGGCATGAAAGAGCAAGCATTTACTTTTATGTTTTTTTTAATCTGGCTTTCATTTGTCACTGTCTTGCAAAGATTTTTTGATGTCATTCTATGCCAAATGTAATACAGCAGGGTCTGTAAGTATCTCTGACGAATGATACCGGACAACTTGTCTTGAGCTTGGTTAAATGCTACAAGAACGTTTTGGATTGATTTAGCTCAAGGGTATATTGCATGAGTGGGCAAGGCTTGGATGGATATTAAAGTTTTTACCGCATAAAAATGATCCACTATTTTTTTGATCATGCTATCAGATATTTGTAATGATGTCAGATTTTTTTTTTTTTTTGGTCTTTTTTTTTTCTCAAGGTGGAGTGCACAAGAATTGTTTCTAACAACCAGGCCCATTGTAATTCAAGATTGCTATGGATACTCAGGCCCTTAAAAAAAATACTATGCCAACTAACTCTGGGTGGCGTTTCCCCTTTTGCTCTCGTTTAGATCATAGGAGGAACAGGTTACACTAAACAAATAAAACTAACAGCTCAAAAGACATCCCCCCTCCACAATGTCAAAGACCCAATGAAATAAGACAGACAACCCCAAAACAAAAAATGTCAACGCTGGTTTTGTAGCAAGCTACGGAAGTGTATACGTGATTGCTTCATATATAAGCATATGCCAGTGATATATACATACGATTAGTCACGAGTAAGAAAATTTGATTGTTTTTTTCTTTTTCTTTTTTTATTATTTAGTTTGATGGTGGATGATGAGATGGTATAGGAGGTCTGTTACGAGTCCTTAAGATGGATACGAGGTCATCTAAAACTCTGCCTTTTTCACCCGCGACTTTTGCAGGTGGACTAGTTGATTTTTTTTCAGTTGGTGTTGCTACGGCTATTGATGTTGACTGTGTTGCTGCTGAAGCTAAAGCTGAAGATGATGATGATGCGAGAGGGGGAAGTGTAGTGGAAGGATGTGCTAATTTGTTTGACGAAGAATCCAATATGAACATTTTCTTGTTGGTTTCATCCTGTTTTGCTATCAACTCATGAATCTTTCTTTTTAAGCCTTCATTTTCATTCTCCAGTTGCTCCATACGTGTAGGCCAGTCAGCCATGGAATTCACTTTGGCTTCCAATTCCTTGACATAGCGTTCTTTGCGTTGACGAAAAGCTCTTTGCGCGGCTCGGTTTTGTTCTGCTCTTCGGGTTTCTATCACGGTTTTTTTTAAGGGCGAAGGAGAACGTGTTGCCTCTCTCGTTTCCACAGTTGCTTCTTCCTTTGTGCTTGAGCTAGGGCTTGACATGGTCCCTTTTTATGTAATATATATATTAAAAAAAAAGATGAGAATTAGCAAAGACTAAAAAAAAAAAAAAGAGAGAGAGAGAAAAAGAAAAAAAAAATATATCCCATTTCTCACGAAACACATTACGTAATTAGTAAAAAAAATTTAGTCAACCCCGTGCAAAAAATTTGTAATAATTTTTTTTTTTTATATATATATTTAATTGGGCGCAGAAAAGAGTGCCACACCTTATCTTACGACAGTGCGCCATATCATCCTCTTCTTCTCTCTTTTTTTTTCTGGTCGCAAGGGTACGCACATGTTAGCTAAGCGACAAAAAAAAAAAAAAAGATTATGTAATGTGATACAAGCGCCATTACTATCTCTTGATCTATCGCCAAGGCAAAAAAAAAAAAAAAAAAAAAAATTCAAAAGGACTATCATCAGAGGATGTTTGACGATTTGTTTGTTTTTGTCATTAGAGTTTAGTATGATGATATAAATTGCTCTCTTAGTGCAATTTGAGTTCTCATTCAAAGAAAAAAAGTATAAGCGAGGTTACCCTACAAAGAGTGAGAGAGCTGTCAAACTATGATAGATTATCACAGGAGAAAGTAAGCACCCTTTGTTTATGCTCAGCTTACAAAAAAAAAAAAAAACTATGTGTTTCTTTACAATTGGTTTAGAGTAAGACCTCTTTCTCGTTAAAATAACAGTTATACTGATAATACGCATCAAGGCGTGATTTCAACTATAAGTAGAGCTAGATTGATAGTCAGCTATCTCTATGTCAGCACGCACATGGGGGGGGGGGGGCACTAAAAGATACCCGCATCTTAAAACGAGGTAAAAAAAAAAAGACATCAGGCAATTGACCGCTTGGATGGGTCGGATAAAAGTTTTATTTTTTTAAGTCAATATAGATTAATAGATAGATTTAAACAACCGCCTTTTTTAATGCAGCTTTTGAAAAATGCTCATCAAGGTACTTATTGTACCGAACAGCTTGTTCTCCCGGTAGACCATGACCACTGCCTTCAAAAATCTCTAGTTGACAATCCAAGACTTGGGCAAGGTGATGCGAGTTCTTGGGATTAACCAGATTATCCCAGGTACCGGTCATGACCAGTACCGGGATACCCGCTTCCTTGATCTTGAGCAGTCTTTGATCAGACACATAGTGACGAAGACAGGCAGCAGTTTGGCCAATATTGCCACCCAATGTTTGAGGTCGACTACGCTCAATTCTTGCTAAAAACAGGGCAGTCGACATATCTCGATTCGTTTCGTAATGCTGTAAATCTTCTTCTTCGGGTTTCGATAAAAGCCATTCAGGTGGATAGATGAGTGTGAGAGCATGTCCTACCTTTAATTTTGGATCACGTACAAACATCAGTCGACTCAGTGTTGAAATAGCTTTCCACTAATTGGGAGTAACTATGAGTAAGGCAATACATAAAAAAATAGTGTGTGTGTGTGGGGGGGGGGATACTTTACAGGTGGTACTTGTCGACCTGATGTTGTACTGGTAAGGACGAGTGAAGCGATTCTCTCGGGCCAGGTGGAAGCCAATTCTAAAGCAATCATACCTCCCATAGATACACCGTCTAAATGGACTTTATCTTTCCAACCAAAATGGTCCAACAAGTCAATGACGTCTTGTGCCATTTGGGAAGTGGTGTATAATCCACCTGGTGCATCAGACAATCCCATGCCTCGATTCTCAAAAATGAGTACAGTATACTTTCCTGTCTCTGCTAGATATTTTGTCTGTCTCTCCCAAGCCAAACAAGAAGCGTTTAAGCCTATTTCAAGTTAATAACAATTTCTTCTTATGATAACTCATGGTCATACCCATAATAAGAACAACATGTTCAGGTCCGTTGCCATGTAGCTCATAGTATAATTTAACCCCGGGAGGCTCTCTTTCTTTGGCCACAGTGGCGTATCCCGAATCTGTTACTGTGGATAATGACATAGTTTTGTTTTAGCGTGAAAGAAAAAAAAATATATAAAAAAAAAAAGAAAAGGTCTTTTATATAAATGATCGGACCAACTATTCAGCCGCATAAAAAAAAAATAACAAGCTTTCCTTGGGAGGATTTATTACAACATTTTAGTCTCGGTAGGTCTCTTATATTCCAACTTCTCCACCTTGACCTCATCATCAATCAACTTGTACACATAAGTGACGACAGTATTACCTTGAATATCCATCAAAACAAAAGAAGGAATAGGATCACTAATATAGAAAGGCCATCAATTAAAAATGACTAATAAGATTCATGTGATGGGTAAAAAAAAATCACTTACGTCTCTTCAGGTATAGATGAGTAGGCGCCTGTGGCACTTCCAGGGTTAATAAAGAATCTTCCATTATATTCATACGCTTCGAATTTATGAGTATGTCCTGACAATAAAACATCCACTTCCATTTGTCGAGCTGTAATATCAAGTGACTCAGCATCCCCCCAAGGAATGACCTGATGGCCATGAATAATACCAATGCGTAATGAACCTTCCGTAATCACTTTGGTTTGTGGTAAATGCTGTCCTTCATCAAAATCTCCTTTTACTGCTACAATGTCGCCAGCAATCGTACGTAAATAGTCAAACGTTTCCTTATCAACCGTATTACCCGTACACAGAATCTTTTGGATTTTACCAGGAACCTTTAACTTTTGTCAGATTTGCTGTTTTACACCAAATTAAAACATTACAACACTTACTAGTAGCTTTTTGAACTTATTGGGTAACCCATGGCTTCGGTGGGGAATGTGTAAATCGCCAATAGCAAGAACGAGCTAATTTATATTTATTATTATTCCTGACACTGAAAAAACAACTCATCTCTGCATTACTTACAACCATGATTATTTAATTGTATGTAAAAAAAGGAACAAAGCAATTCACGCCACCCAATGGAGGGCCATGGCCACTAAAATATAACATTTCATTTTGATTGGCCATTAGAAAACTCAGCTTGAATTTTCGCGCCAAGCCAGACGATGCATGGCACAAAGAGCATGATTATTAGTGACTTTGGCAGACCCAAACTTACAGCTTCATCATCTTTTGATAGAGGCAACACTGTCGATAAAAAAAATTTCTTTAAATGAAAAGCCCATTTAATAGGCAAGCAATAAATCATAACAGACGGTCATAACAAACAAAAGTTCATACTGGAGCAAGAATACGAAAAAAGAAAGAAAGTCTTGTTTTGTGAAAAAGACGTTATAATTATATAAATAGTTTGTTCAGGCTTACGTAGATATTACATTCTACAGAGATTTTAACCGACACCTGAATCAGAGTTCCGCAAAGTAAATAAAATCACGCATTGAATGAATGCCTCGAATTTACGTGATCCCGGTCTCTTTTCTGCTAATATGTCTAGCCACACTGACGCTTTTCGGTACTCTCCTCAGAAACCGCCGGTCTTCCCCCACCCTTACAATGTCTGTATACACATTCATCACTAAGTGCGTCTCCTGCTGCATATATCATTTTCAGTAGCCGCCCATATTTTAGCTACTATTCCGTACTTTTGGTTCATCCTATCGATTTAGCCTGCCATCTTTTTTTTAAAGCCCCATGGCGTGGAAAGATGATTTAACATTCCATAAGACTTGCATCGATCGTTGGTGTTGGCTCTGAAAACTACCGTTGTCATATACTGCTTATTCTCCATTCTACACTATTGACGATAAAATAGAGTAACCAGTGATTTAGAAACTTTAATACAATATATAAAGCTTATTCTGTAATTAAAGCAACCGATTCCATACAGTTTGTATCTTTGAGTTTATTCACCGTATTGTTTTAAAATTGGACTTCTGAGGATAGATGATTTACTTACTTTTGACAAGATCGATTCAAGTATGTAATTTGCCACAATTTTGGGTAATTGTATTACCATTTATGCATCTCAGTTATGATACTCAAGTTCATTTTTCTAAACAATTGTTGCCGTGGTAAATCTTTTTACTCTTACAAACCATAAAATCATAGAAATTTTAATAAACTATAATTGGTATGAACAACAGATTAAATTAAAGTATCTGCTGACAACATGAAAGAAAATAATAAAATAAAATATTCGCGGAATGGGAATAACCCGGATAGTTTGTCTATTCCATAAGTTCATTCATATTCAATGCATAGCTTAATATATCCCGGTTCATTCAGTATGCTGTTTTCTTTTTTTAAAAAAAAATTACTACTTTTATCAGGTTCCGCTTCGATAGATGTGTGAGAACAAAAAGGAATCTTCTGCGGTTACTCTCGAATTTTTTTAAGTCCAAGTCCTGCTTGTTCTTTTTTAACAAAAATAAGCTTGTAAAAATGTGCTAGTAAAATTACCATAAAAATAAAGTTAAAGTAAATAGACTGTATTTAAGTTGATGTTTTTTTATTTATTTATTTAAGGAGGTGTTGCCTAATCACAATGGATTTGAACAACATTCGAGGGCGGGGAGGGGGTTTTGCTTTTATTAAATCTTATAAATGTTGTCTAATCCCATTTTATCAAACTTAACTGACGGACATTCTTAATATTAACTTTTTTAAAATTGTAAGTGTGTTGTATAATCTGTACTCATTTATCGTTTAGTCCTGGAACGATATACTGCCGGAGACAACCTTTATTACAATGATACTGTCATTATTTATTCTTAGAATGGTAATGTAATTTATGTCAATTTATTTCACCAATTAAGGTAATGTTTTTTTAAAAGTGAGAGTAAATGGAGGGAAAAAACAAGGATCCCATCTTTGAGAGATTAAAAACCCTAGTTTATTTTCAAATAATAGAAATGCTGCAGCGGGAACGAATGGGGCCTCTGAGTAAATGAGAGAGAACTTCATGCGGTAATATAGAATTTTATAATTCCAGGTATGGGTTTCCCCTCCGATCCACGTTGTCATGTAATGACATATTGTCCGTAATATAAAATAGATGGCGCGATATGTTAATAAAAGAATGTTATAAAAAAACTTGGTGGGTTGCATGTCAAAAGAAATATAAACAATACGCATGGATGCAAATGAAATTTACAAAACAAATCACATATTTCTATGCCCTTTTTTTTTAAAACCCCACCCCTTTCTTTTTTTTTTTTTCTTCTTCTCACTTCTTCAATCATCTTCACACACACACAAAAAAAATGCCTTTATTCTCGCATAAAAATAATCAAGTAATTCCAGCAGTACTTCACCCGACAGTACCACAAAGACAGTATCTTTACAATGAACATAATCGATTAGTACCTAGTCCTCCGCCTCCACCTTTTGTGGAAGGAAATCGCCGATCATTTTATAGTGTCAGTGTGCCCCGAAAGTTCAAAGGTACAGAGTTCTATATTATATCTTAATTTCTTTAAAACTGACACCTTTCAAAAAAGACATGGATGATGTAGAAAAGTACAACCCACAAAAGATGTTGATTAAAGAAGCAGAAAGAGCCAACAATTTGCACAAGATGTCTTGTACTCGTTTAACCTGTTGCTTTTGTCTGCCCTGTCTTCCCATGTGGACAAGAACCGTGTGCTGCTTCATCTTTCTGGTATTGTGTGGTATTGTTGGATTAATGACGGTTTTTGTTTTCACTTTCCGGAAACCCGAGATTGTTTTTGTGGGTAAGGATAGGTTCTCGACAACACCTGGGGAACTTCGATTTGAATACAATGTTTACAATGAAAACTTTTTTGAGTTTAATTTCGATAGCATCAAAGCGGTGGTAAGTGATTTGTGTGTGTGTATAGGGGAGGGGGGGGGCGAGTGCTTTGATTGGTAACATCACTCTTGGGTTTTATAGATATATTATCCTACACCCAACAAGACAACGATAGGTGTAGCAGAGATTCACAATTTAGTACTCGGACCTCAATCTGTCACTCGTGTTACATTTCCCGTAAAGATGATTACGGATACGGAAGAAGGAACAATGAGTGATGTGGGAGACAGCGTTTTTAGACAGATGATCACCAGTGCATGCAGCGACACGGATACTATGAACGAAAAGGAGATTGTGGTGGTCTTTGATTTGATGCCGACAATCAATATTTACGATTATCCAATTGGCACTTTGGCTTTCACAGGTCAAAAAACCAAAATGTCATGCGAAAAGGTAAAAACTCAGTTTTTTTCTTCAGTTATGATAACTTATTTGTTCTGAATCCCTTTTTTATTTTTTATAGCTAAACTTGTTTTTAAAGAATGACGCCGATGATCAGATCTAATTCATTGAGTTAGCGATGTGTACATATTAATATAAATAAATAATATTTAAATTGAAATCAAATGGCTCACGGATGATGTTTATCTAATTGAAACCTTTTTTTCTTTTTGCATGAGTATTGATTTTAACTGGCCAACATATATTCCCGTGTGAATATATCTCAGAGATAAGTATCGAAAAAACACTTAATAGATCTGGGTGTAATTAAACATCTACTATAAATATGCTGTTTCCAAGGCAATCTTTTTTCCCCCCCCTCTCTCTCTTTACTCTAACTTATGAATCCGTTAAAAAACATTCCCAAATTTCTTTCAAGAAATTCCTCCGGCCTAGTTACTCGTGCCATCATGATCGGCGGGTCTTCGCAAAAAGCGTGGTTATCCACTGCCATTGAAGCTTCTACAGACGTAGAGACCGAACGCATGCCCGATACAAATCAAGCCTCTCTGTTCAATTTATTCTCCATCGGAACTTGCATGAGTCCCATGAGAGCGTCCAAAGTTTTCATCCACCATCTAAAACAGCATGACATACTCCAAAAAGTGCACACACTGCGCGTAGGTAAAATTTAAATAGTAACACCAAACTGTTGAAAATCAAACTTATTCCCTTTTTACCATATATAGACATGTTTGGATCATTGACCAAGGATACTCGGGAGGCTATCCTTATGGGCGTTGCTACTGATCAGGTGTGCATGAAAGAGATATCCACACACCATTCAATATGTCTAGATGGAACGCATCGTATCCATTTTAACCCGGATAAACATCTCGTCTTTCATCATTTCAAAACAAGTCATCCACAGGGCCTCCGCTATTGTGCCTTTGATTCGGAGGCAGGTATGATTGCAACCAATGAGTTCTTTGCGCATACGGAACTGTTGTCTGCTCCGCCTTTCAAGAGCATGTCGCATTTGGTTCAAACCTGTAAACGGGAAAATAAGACAATCGCTCAGCTCGTGTATGATCATGAACTCAAGTTATCTACACCAAAACAGATCCAAGAAAAACTCTTGAGAATATGGAAAACCATGGATGCTAGCATAAAAAACGGTATAATGGCACAAGGTAGTGTATGTTATTATTTTGAAAAAAAAAGAGAACTCACGTGTAAATTGTTTAAGGTGTTTTACCGGGTGGTCATCTTAGAAGGGCTTCTTTTCTTTATAATGATTTGCTAGAGAACGGACCCAAGATACCCAAAAGATCACCGCTAGGACTATACCACCATTCACTAGGAACTTCATCATTTTTGCAATCCAAAAGCTTTCTTTTGCACCATCTTGAATATCTCTCTGTTTATCAATTGGCTCTAAAAGAGGAAAATGCATGTGGAGGTTCGGTTGTGGCGTTCCCTGAAACAGCAACGACAATTATTCCTTCCGTGTTGAAATACTATATTGATTTTATCTCAGATAGCCCTGAAAAGGATATCATGGATTACTTATTCACTATAGCAGCTTTGGGGTCACTTCAATATCGCACAGGTTCGTTTTCTTTATTTTTTTATACATATGAAAAACAGCAACTAATTTTTTCTTCTCTCTATAAAACTAAGCTGATCAAGGACTATCCATGGCAGCAGCGGGTTTTACGGCCGTCATGGGAGGAACGCTTGATCAAGTAGAGAAAGCAACCCAACTTAGTTTGGATCGGATCAGATTTCCTCATGACAACGATAATGTATCTGCTGTAAAAGCTATTGCGGTATCTCAACTTGCACTGGGTGCATCATCACAAACATACCCTTACTGATGGAATAAATTTTTTTTTTTTTTGTAACATGTATGAAATTTTGATGTAGCACAAATCGTACTCTCAAAAATGGATTAGGCGGCTTTTGGCATTTTGTCTCGGTAGCCAAGGGACAAAATGTATTGCCAAGCCCACATAGTATATATAAAGTAATAAGATTTTTCTCACAGAGCCAAAATATCAAACGACTTCTCACAGCAATACAAAATGAACACTGAATCTTTCTTCTACAAATTATGCACATTATTCTGGTAAGTCCGTCTATACAGTTATTAAAAGGAGCCATATGAATTAATGAACTTTTTTTTTTTCAGCGGTGCATTACCAAGTTCTATAGCGACCACTGCACCTGATATGGACAAGTCATGTTCAACACCTATATATCAAGAAGTGATACATAATGTCTATCATCAAGCACATCAGTCCCATACCCAGGAACCTTATAGCAAACATAGTGTGCAAGACAATCATAGAGTGATATTCGCACATCACCTAATTCCACCCTTCTTATCTAAATAAAAATGACGCAACACAAGTTTTGATTGGCCAGAAAAACTTTTTTTTTTTTTTTTTTTTTTGGGATGTGAAAAAAAGAGAGAGAAATAAACATTGGAAGGCTTGTACAAAAAACGCTTGCTTTTCCTTTTATTATTTTGCCTCTTCAACTCCGTTTTACCTTGAAAAAAGTGTGGGTGTTCCTAAAAAAGGATAGAAAGAACAAAGTTTCGCATAATAATTAGATTTTAGACATTTGACAAAAACAAAAAAAATAAAAAAAATAATAATCAACAATTCAAGATGGCACGTGTACACATGTTCAAATCGTCCACCGATAAACAGAGGGATATCGTATTGGAAACGCAAGAAGACTTACCGGCTTCACCCTCACTTAATAACGTCACAGAAGAACACTCGCTGGACGTTACTGTCCAATCTCCTAAACAAATGTCCTTGCTAAACAGGAACGAAAGCGCGGCGCTCACTGCGGCTCTATTGCAAAAGGCTTCTACCAATATGGACGTTGTCGGTGCCGTAGCGGCTGCTCTATCTGTTAAACCTGGTAATTACACCTTCTCCTCCCACTCCCCCTTTTTTTATCCTGTATTTAAATGTCGTCGGTTTTCATTGATACATTGTAGATTCCTTGGAGATGTTGAGTGAAAGAACTCAGCAACAATTACTGTCGTCGCTACAACAACAACAACAACAACAACAACAACAGCAGCAGCAGCAGCAGCAACAGCAGCAGCAACAACAGCAACAACTACAACAACAGCAACAACAACAACAGCAGCAGCAACAACAACAACAACAGCAAGAGTCATTACCTTCGCCGGAACAAGCCCGGGATGAGCAACAACTAAGTTTACCTCTACCTCCAGCACCAGCGCCAACGCTTGCGCCTTCTTTAACACATACCCCTGAGAAGGAAATCGTGCCAAAGCCATGCAGCAAGTCTACCGAATTTATGGACCAAGCAGCAGCAGCGACCGCATTACAATTACTTGGACTGGCGCAACAAAACAAGTCGCCAGAACAACAGCAAACGACACCGCCAACATCAGCGGCAACGGCATTGACAGCTACCACACCACTGGATAGTAATGTGATGATGATTGCCAATTATCCTGGCCTGAATGCAACACAATCCATCGAATCCTCGCTGGAAGAGATGAGTCAGAAACGAGGCGCATGGACACGTGAAGAGGACGATTTGCTATTAGCAGGAATTAAGAAATTTGGGTACGGGAGGTGGAAAGAGATTGCTAGTATTATACCCGGTCGAAAGGGAAAACAGTTGAAACAACGTTGGGATAATACATTGGCAGCCAAGTATGTGGATCAAGAATGGTTACAGAATAAAATACGAGATGAAATTGACGTAGATCGGATCAAAAATGAAGATAAAAATAATAGTAATAACAATAATAATAATAACACACGACAATCAACCACACCGAATAGTTCAATTGAATTAGCTGATTGGAATACTATCGCACAAAAGATTTCGGAAAAGTTAAGGGAAGGGGATCAGGTAGCTATTGAATCCTTAATATCCCAGGCGTTACTCAGTACTATGAACTCAAGTGTGGCATCATCTTCTTTTAAACCCAATCCCATGATGAATTTCAGCGACCCTTCCTCTATTGCTTTATTCTCTACGCAACAACAGCAACAGCAAAATCAACAACAGCAACATCAGCAGCAGCAACAACAACATCAACAACAGCAACAACATCAACAACAGCAACAACAGCAACAGCAACAAGCCGATAATTCTACCGCGGGCGGTGAAGAAGGTTCTTCTTCTTTATCATCGCATTCATTCTTTATACCTAATAACACCCAACAACAACAACCTTCTTCACCCAAAAAGAGAAGGCGATCAGATCCTGCTTTAGCTGATACCCAAAGTGATGCCATGTCCATTTACGCTTCTGCAACGCCCATCACCACCACTGTCAATAATCAAACCCAAACCTTTTACCCTTGCTTATTCCCAGATTGCGGAAAGACATTTGCTAGGCTTTATAATCTCAAAAGCCATTCGAGAACACATACCGATGATAGGCCCTTTATATGCCAAGTATGTCATATTGCATTTAGTAGAAACCATGATTTGAAAAGACACAGCAAGATACATGGAGGGGATAAACCATTCCGCTGTGCTGGTTGTAGTAAGACGTTTTCAAGGTAAGAATTAAAGAGAGAAAGAAGGGAGACAATTTTGGTTTTTAAACATACATACATAGGTTGGATGCCTTGAAGAGACACAAGAGTAATTTACGTAACAAAATCACTTGCGTGAATGCACCCATCATTCAATAAAAAAAAAAAAATGAAAACAAAAAAAAATGTATAGTTTATTCATCGGTTTCGTGTAACACGAGACGTTTTCCTACTTTTTTACGAGGAGATTGACTGCCAGCACTGGAAGTAGATGAAGAATCAAGCGACTGGTCCGCTAATTTGTCACTCAAAAAATCACCATTATCAAAATAACTATATCCATTGACGTGATCTCTTTCAGCTTCCTCCATTTCTAAGACACGCTGACGTTGAGAAACTCCCGTAGGGTATTTTTCCTTCATTAATAAAGCTTGTATATCCATCAAATAAGTCTTGAGCGTGTCTAAAAATCGCTGTGTTTGTCTATGTTTAGAAGAAGCCACGAACTTTTTATGTTTAGATTTGTGATTAGTGTTTGTTGTTACAGCATCCCCTTGTATAATAGAAATACTTACTGCAATACCATCTTCCTTAATGATGTAACCAATCCCAAAACCATCCGACACGGTTGGGCCAAACCCGAATAATCGTAAAGCCGGGTTTCCACAATTCGAGGTACTCATGACGGTATGGTTTAAAATTTTCCAACCACGATCCGTAAATATCTTAGGCTTCTTTTGCTCCTTGTATAATCGATCCCAGACGCATTCTAAAGCGTACAAGTGGCGGTCTTGACCCAAACCCATCGAACATTCTTTTGTTAACCTGGTGTGGTTTTTGAGTGCCGCACGCAGTGACTCCAATTTTTCATGGCTACTGGCATTCTTGCTGTAAAACTCCTTCACAAACTTGGAAGAGGCCTCAGACACACTACGGATGGCTTCAGTGCGACCATGTAAAAAGGTCTTGGTCATCGCAGGTTCATATGTGCATTCACTTTTACCATACAGACCATAGTAAGCTGCCTGGAATGCCATCTATATAAACCATTTTGCCCTGTGAGTCAACTTTTTTTTTTTATATGTATAAACCAGAAAAGACCCAATAAAATCATTACCTGAACAAATGCATCGGGACTCATCTTCATGTCCGTGATAAAGTATTTTCCGTACTTATTAAATTCAAGCACCTTAACCTCGTTCTGAAGGATCAAATCAGAAAGTCGGGTTTCCGCAAACCGAATGCCTAAACGAATTGTATCCGTCATATTCCATTCAATGCGACGAGGATTGCTATCGATTTTACTGCCAGGATCTTCACGTGCATTGTTACCGTTAGGCTTGTAAGAATGAAAGATGGATTTCGTTTGGCTGTTGATCGTCTTGGCAAACCGAAGAATCGTTTCTGTGTAAATATCGGATACATAGCGAAGCACAGTGTGACCATCCACGCCTACATATAAAAGTTAATATCTATATTTGTTCACATCATTAGCTTATGACTTGCCCGTGTGTTCAAAGTTAATACCAGCACTGCCATTTTTGCAGACGATAATCTAATTAAAACAGAGATGAGATGTTGATGAACCTATAGCCGAAACTAAAAAAAAAAAAAAAAAAAAAAAAAAAAAAAAAATTACCTGAAGCTTATCATACCAACGATTGGTGCAAGTGCCTACTTGCATGCCGTCATTCAAACGGTAAGTACCGCACAACATATTTGTACTCAATTCATTGATATCAGCTGGTTCCACGTGATCGAGACAGACAATGAACAAGGCGGTGTCAATGACTTTAAGAGAAGCGGCATTCATTTTATCCGATTGTAGTTCCTCACGTAATCTTGCCCAATTTAAGCGATTTTCGGTTGTCAAGACACCCACGGCCTGCTGCGCTATTTGTGATACGGGTGTTTGTGCTGCATCCTTTGTAATCGCTCTCAAATTAGCAGAAATTTCCTTTTCATTCAGGATGACACGACCTTGTTCGTCAAACACCTCAAAGTGATAAAATTGGGATTGTGCCATAATCACAATGTGTCGGGCTTCATCAGCAGGTGCAATGTAACATCCATCTTGAGTAGGAACACGCGCAGTAGAGAACAGACGACCGAATTGAGACATACACAAGGGGGTGCCTCGAAATACATCAGGCTCCAGATCTTTGGCTTGTAAGGCATCGATAAACGTCACGGTAGAGTAAATTAAGGACGAAGCACGTACAATTTGATCGTTTCGTAATGGTGTAGGGTCATCCTCCAATAAGAAGAACGGATTCAAGTTTAACACGACGGGATCTGTATGATGAAGATACGAGTCGTACCTAATGAAGGTTGCACCAAAAATTAAGGTTTATTTTGTGGGGTAAAATGAAAATATTATAACCGCCTCTCACTTACCAAAATTCTTCGATGTAAGATGATTTATCCGTAGCATACGTATTCAGTTTCTTTTGTAGTTCGGGGCCTTCTTTAGCAAGGAATTCAGAAACGGCAACTTTTGTGTCCTCGTGTTCTTTCGGCGTCTTTTTGTTTTGTTTGTGAGTTTTTATCTTAAAAAGTTTTTTTTTTTAAAAAATATATTTACCTGCAATGGTTGTAGCACTGAAAGATATTTGGCTGCCGTAATTTCTAATTCGGGAATAGGTAATTTAGGCAACTTGTCTTGAAAACGAAACGTAGCCCCTCCACTAGGATCTATAGGCAAGTTTGATTTTTTAGGTGATAAAGGAATCGTCATATTTTCCATGCAGAAAAAGAAAGAGTAAAGTAAAAAAAAAAAAAAAAAAAAAATACGAGATGAACAAAAACAAAAGAGAATTTATGTAATTTTCTTTGATTCTCCGCATTGTGCACCTGTGATCATCATCAACACAATATGAAAATCTTCTTACCCCAAACAAACAGAGGGCACTTTTTTTTTTCTTAAAAAATGTATGTGTCATGCTAAAATTTTAGCCGTCCCCTGATTACAGATCATTTTGGACGGATTTTTAACATTGAAGCTGGTTCTCACGGTGATCTGATGTGATCGCTTAATAATAACCAGACTGTATCCTGAAAGTAATTTTAAATGAATTTATAAAAGAGACATTCGTAAGGGATAAACGACTCAATTCTTTTTTTCACCCCTAAGATGAAGCTTATTATTGCACTTTTATCCGTTCCTTGCTTGTTTAGTCTTTACATATACCATAAATCTGCTGCTATTCCTGCTCCTGCTCCTCTTCCTCCGCCTCCCTCTGTTGTTGCACGCACAGTTGCGGTTATATTCACACCTGACTTGGATCATTTGGTTGGTCTCGAAAGCTTGAAACATGAAGTGGTAATATGTATTATGTATGCAAATAGTGATGCATTTCATAATCCTTGAAACTAATCAAAAAAGCTGATAGGACAACTGACAATGATTGTGAGCAAGACTTTTTAATTCAAAAGCTGGTAGATGAAAAGAAAGAAGGCTACCATCGTAAGTGCATGTGTGTGTGTGAAATTAAAAATATGAACTATGTGCTTTTTTTTTTTTTTTTAATCATAACTGTAAAAAAAAAGGCCAAACGATTATTAAAAACGGTGCGCTTACAGCCAAAGAAGTTGAAGATATTATTGAATCGTCTAGTCCACCTGGTGAGACGCAAGTGGAAAAACAAGAGATCAAAATGGACATTCACTACATTAAAATTGTTTGAATAATAAAAATAAAAGAGACATACGCGTGATCTTATCAACCGGTTGTTAATAAAATTAGAATGCTATTAAATGCGAGGAATATTTTTATCAATGAAATAGTTGATGGCGTGGTGTGACAATTAGATTTTGTACAACAAACATTTTCGATATCCGGTTATTAAAAGAAAAGAGAGAGGTGATTATATATTTTTAAAAAAATAATTATGAAGAGGTGGTTGTATAAGTTTTAAAAGTTTTTTTGTTTTGTTTAATCAGCTAATTGAGCCTGTGCTAATCTAGCCTCCAAATTACGTAAAGCCTCTTCTTTACTCATGAGTTCAGCTCTCTTTTCTTGAATTTCACGTTGAACCTTTAATTCGATTTCACGAAGCTAAAAACAGTGTAATTAAGTATAACATTAAAAAAAAAAGATAAGCTAAATTTTTGTGGTTACCTTCTCTTCTTCCTTTCTTAATTGTTCCTCCTTCAATCGGACGCTTTGGGATGCCATATCTTCAGCATTTAATGAAGCATCTTCTTGATCGCCACCATTGACAGTACGACTAAGCTTCTCAGTACGGTAATTTTCATAGAGGAAATCGTGAGTAATTTCCTTAAGATCTTGTAAGTGGGAGCTAAAATTCCACCATTTAGTTAATATTTTTTTTTATACATGTATATGCATTAGTTTTACCTCAATAAGGCAGATCTCAAACGACCAAAGTCAGAGTGCTTAGGATTGTCAACCTCGACAGCACCCCAGGGGTATTGACGACCGCGAACAGTACGACCATTCACAGTGATTTCTTCTTCTGAACCAATGATGGAAAAGGGTAAAAGTGCTCTTAATTCGCTATTCTCTTCAATGGTATCTTCCTCATCTTCCTCGACATCATAGGGGAAATTGTAAATAGGAATGTTGTAATGCTCAATATCCTCCATAATCTAATATTTGTGAATTTTTAATATATAAAAAAAAAAAAAAGTTTAAAAATAGTTTATATACGTACACGTCTCTTGAAATCTTTAAGCTCGCCAGGTGTGAGTGAATCAGCACGACCAACTACAGGAATGACATTGACACGGGGACTAAGTCTACGCATCAATTCGATATCGATCTCACGAAGACTAAAGAAAAATTAATATTTAGATCGTATTTATGTGGATCGTCTATTTTCTTACGCATGGCCAGTGGGTGAAATAAAGTATAAGAGAGCATGTACACGGTTATCGCGGAATCTAGGATTACGTTTAATTCTGGATTCTTCAGCAAGAATATCATCGTATTGCTTTTCCAAATAGGCAACAATCTCATGGAAACTAATTAAATTTGATAAGAAATGTTGTCAATAAACCAAGTGCGTTGTCATGGGCACTATAACTCACCATGCTTCGTTATCGATGTTATCACCAAAGCCTGGTGTATCAACAATTGTTAAAGAAATTCTATGTGATTTGAAAAAATAAATAAATAAAAATAATTGTTAACTCCCTGTTTACCCCCTTATAAATCTCCTTATTTACCTAACACCGTCTTCATCCAATTCTAAAAAAGAGATAGTCAATAATTATGTACATATATGAGAATTATAAAGTTCTTTTTGGTTATTTTACCAACAGAAACGGGTTTAATATTAATTCCTTCTTCATTGTGTGCATCTTCTGGGTTGTCAGATTCCTTTTTTGCAAGAACGTGGTCATCACAAAGGGTATTAACAAAGGTAGTACGTCCAGTACCAGAAGCGCCTATCAATATAATTAACTATTAGTCCACCTCATCATCATCATCATCATCATCTTGTAACTTTACCAACTACCATCAAGGTGAATTGAAACCCTTTCTTTACGTTCTTTCTACGTCCACCAAGTCTCTAATGTATATGTCAACTGATTAGAAAAAAAGGGACTGTAATCACTTGCTTGATTAAACTTACGTGTGCCATTGTATTATATTAAAAAAAAAAAGTGTTATTAAAAAGTGAGAGAGTTGTAAAATAAAAAAATGAAAGAAATTATTGAACAAAAAGAGAGGAAGGGAAGGGGGCAAAAAGAAAGGGGGGAGAGAGAGAGAGGAGCGGGGTCAATCATTTTACAACAACAAATTCTTATCCAATAGAATGCAAATTTTATTAAAAATTACACGCGCCATATTCCCTTTTAATTTCTTGGTACTCACTCTTCACTCTAAATAAATAAAAAAACGTGCATCCCTTTTGCCATGCCCTTTTGTGTCATGGTGTATGTAGCCCGTAGTTTACAACTCAGTTCCTATTGTGTGTTGCACTGCAAAAATGCCTTAAAACCTCCTCCTCTTTTTATCCAAGCATGAGTGAAGACAATAATTTCTCTTCGGCCATTCATTATTGGAAAGGCATACAACTTTCAAACCTACAAAAAGAACTGGACCAGCAGGGTCTTGCCATTGTAGAGAAACAAAAAGATGGTCTAGTTTCCAGAAAGAAACTAGCAGAACAAACTAGAGGTAATGCTTGCATGTCGCCTTTTCCCACATAAAAAAAAAAAACTCACTCGTTTTATAGAATTTAAAAAGATTCCTGACGAAGAAAAGCTTCAGAAATTCAAAACTCTTTTAAAAGGCATGCTCTTTATCTAACACGCTTTTTAAAGCATTCACTGACAATATTAAATGCAGGCTATCAATCCGAAATCGATAACATTACAAAACGCACAAAATATGCAGAGAGTTCCTTCTTGACAGTCTACAAATTATTAGCCGATGCACCTGACCCTGCTCCGTTGTTTGAAGCTGCTGTTGTAAAGCAACCATCTTTTTTTTTACTAGCAAACACACACACTCATGCTATTATATAGGATCAAAGCGCTAAAATGGTAGACCATACTGCGCTTGCCAATGAAAATAGCGCTTTAAGAGAACAGCTAGAAAAAGCAAATCAATCCATCAAACACTATGAAGCTGTCGAAAAGACCAATCTAGAACTTGTACAAAAGATATCTACCATGGAAGCTTCGGTAAAAGACCCCCTTTTATTAGTCTAGTAAAACTGCATGAAAATTAATATTTTTTGTAACAGTTGACAGAAAGAAAGTCAAAGGATACTAGCAATTTGGAGCAAGAAATGAAAGATCAATACAGTGATAAAATCAGACAATATAAAGAACGGTACCAAAGAATTACTCCAAAATCATTTATCCCACCTTTACATTTTACTGAATGGATTTAAAATGTATAGTGAGCATGACCTTCAAAAAAGATTAAATCAAGCGTTGGATCAATTGACTGACCTCCGTCAATCTCATGATGATACGCAAGCACAACTAATTGGTCATGATCAAAAATATGGTAAGCTAAAAAAATAACACACTCTAGTCCTACTCCTAACACTTTTTCATGCAATAGATGAGGAAGTCATTGGTAAATTGGCTGAATTGGATATGGTCACGATGGACCTGGAACGAGCCAATGGAAGAATCATTCAATTAGAAAAGAAAGTGGTAAGTCAAATTTTATACATTTGTCTACGCATAGTAATCTAATCCCGGACTATCTATTTATAAAAGGATGATTTAAAGGAAGAGAATTCAAAGTTACAGGAAACAAGAGATACAATCGAAGGGTAAAAATATACACATAAAAAAAAAAGGGAACTTGCATACTTATCAACAGTGTAGCAATACATTAGCAAACGAATCCTATCAACACGATGCAGAAATCTCCAAGCTGATAAAGGATGTGGAAACATACAAGGATTTGTTTAAAAAGACGGAAATCAGACTTTCTAAAAAAATTAAAGATTTGACACTGGAAGTTAAATCATTAGCAGAAGAAAGAGATAGTCTTAAAAAGAAGGTCAAGGGATTTGAGGATTATGATGAGATTAAGCGAGAGTTACAGATCATGAAGGTATAATTATTTAGGCTCCCTGTTTATTATTAACTTAAACTCTCTTTCCCGTTGCCACAGTATGTCGAATTTTCTACAGGTGACGATGATGATGATTTTGACGCCAACGATGTTCTTAAAAGAGACGACCTTGAAGATAGTTTGGAAGTTCGACTTATGGAGAAAAACAAGAAGCTCGAAAATGAATATACCCAGATCAAAGTATCTTTTGCAGATCTTCAAAAGAATTACGAGACCAAATCAAAATCACTTGTTGATTTAACAAACAAACTCAATGACAAGATCGCATTGATCCAACGACTGGAAGAAGATTTACTTCGTATCGGTCAACAATCAAAGGAGTCTAATATTGTGGATTCACTTGGTAGAAATTCATCTTCCTCCAACTTTAGTGCCATGATTTCTAGCCCTCGTACTCCTGATGGTGCCATGACACCTCATATGGATAAAAATGGTAAAGAAGACAAGAGCATTTTACCCATTGTTATGAGCCAACGAGATCGTTTCAGACAGAGAAACGCTGAGCTAGAAGAACGTACTCGTTCATTAGAGACAACCTTGCAAGATACTAGAGCAGAGGTTCAAAACCTAAAAGCTGATAACCTCAAGCTATTTGAGCGTCTCAAGTTTGTTCATGTTTGGAAAGAGCAACAACAAGAGAATCCTAGTTTGGTGGTAATTTGTTTAGATCATTTTTGAATGTGTACATTGTTAATTCTTTTTTTTTTCGTATGATAGAACCGTTCTGTTGCCTTAAATATGGATACAGCGGAAACATCTACCCGCAGTTTTAAGAAATCCAATAAGTCAGACGATCCATCCGACAAATACGGAAAGATATATGAGGAAACTATGAATCCATTCACACAGTTCCATCGAAAGGAAGAGAACCGCCGTTACAATGCACTGAATCCAGCAGAAAAATTAACGCTCAACCTCACGCGTATTTTGTTCTCGCATAAATGGTCTCGGTACTTTTTCATTGTATACTCTTTACTACTTCACCTTTTGGTGGTGGTTACCTTGTATCAACTTAGCTTATGGGAGTGCAGACATGATCACGATGCTATTCAATTCCCCACTAATAATGATGATGCGACCATTATCCTGAAGAACGAACCTTTTGTACAATAAAAAAAACATTGTTTTGAGACCCAGCTTATTTATATTAGCCATGACAATTTTAGATCATTTAATAATACGCCCATGCTTTCTAAGCTGTGACAACTAATATGCATAGATCAGCATCGAAACTCTCCCGAAAGTGGTTAAAAAAGACGCCTTCTTTTGATTAAATTTCTGTCCATCCAATATAGGCGATAAAGTTCAACATCAGCTAGTTTTAAATCTCAATTTTGGGAATATTAAGTTGAGCCCCAAAATTAACCTCAATTTCTTCACTCCTCTTTTATTTAAACATTTTTATTTAATTAGCATGGTGTTTTGTACAAAGTTAAGCAAGCCCATTCAAAGAAAAGTAGTTGTTGTAGGTGATGGTGCCTGTGGGAAAACATCTCTTTTGAACGTATTCACTCGAGGCTATTTTCCTCAGGTTTACGAACCAACCGTATTCGAGAATTACATTCAGGATGTGATTGTTGACGGTAAGACAATCGAATTATCAATCTGGGATACAGCAGGTATATGGCAAAATAACAAGTAAAATAAAGTTTTTTTTGCATTTATTGACAACTTTTTCTCTATTTACAAAGGTCAAGAAGAGTTTGATCGTTTAAGATCTTTATCCTACAATGATACACATGTCATTATTGTATGTTTTTCGATCGATAATAAAGATTCCTTGGAAAATATACCAAACAAATGGATCGAAGAATTGCAAGAGGGATGTCCACAAGCAAAGACAATATTGGTGGCTCTTAAATGTGATTTAAGAGATGATGAAGTCGCATTAAAAAAAATAAGACCCATTTTGTATGAAGAGGTAAAGAGTCTTTCCATTTTGCTTTTTTGTTACATTTTTTGATTTTTATTGTTATTTTTTTTTTTCAGGGCTTGGAAGTAGCTAAAAGCATCCATGCGATCCGATACCTTGAATGTTCTGCAAAACATAATCGTGGTGTAAAAGAATGCTTTGAACAAGCTGCTAAAGTCTCGACTTCAGGTAAATTTTCATCACACTATTTATATGCCCTGTAAAATAACCCGATGTTTTTTTTGTGTGTGTGTGAATAGTACATTTAAATGAAGATTCCGAAAAACAATCTTGCATCATACTTTAAGAAACGATTTTCTTTTATCACTATACCCCTCCTCTCTTAATAATAATAAAAAAAAACCTCTTTTCTTCCATGTAATGTAATGTGGGTATGTTGCATGGCAACTAAATAATGATGTAACCAAATCCTTCTAAATTTTTCATGTGGTTGTACATTGATTAATTTGTTCATACATCACAAACAAGCTTTTAGTGTTCACACCTATTGACCAAATAAACCCTTACACAAAAACCAATCTGTTTGACACTCTCAATTGCCTAATTGGGTGATATCACATCTTTTTAATATACATTTTCATCCTCAAAAGCGATTATAAAATTAAATTCTTTTCCAGGGTAATGACCAATATTGCTTATACACAGTTAACAATAAAAGTACCACAGATTGTGAACTCAAAAATGTTTGTCATCCCACACTATCTCTGGCAACGACCATTGTAATTTGGCGCGCCTTTTTTTTTTTTTTTCCTGTCATCTTTTAGCAACCCCCTTTATTTTACATAATGTGATTTTATTGGCTTAAAATTAAAACACAAATAAGCAGTAATGAGCATGAATTGTTGAAATGTCGCAGACATTGTACGGTAAATGGTGGCTTTCAATGAGTTTTTCAGTTGAGTAATCTCATCAAATTTTACTATGAACCAACTTAAGGGTGATTTTCATTTACGGATTTTGACGCCATATCCCCTCTTTTTTTAAAAGGATATTCTAAACTGGGGAGAATTTGCAACATTATGAAAAAGACTGTTTCAGAACAATCGATTTTAAAATGATGCAGAGGCATATTCTGGGTATGACGTGCTTTGAGCACACAAAGTTCAGTTTTCTGGTTTCTTTACAAACACTCAAAAACCAAGAAACAACTATTGGGCGTGTTTAAACAAACCAAACTAATTCAATTCAATTATAGGATGACAACCTGTCCTGTGTGTGTGTAACCAACATTTAACGCGCTTTTCAGTGACCACATAAGCGTCTAGAGGGGCAAAGAGCTTGCGGTTTGTATGAGCCTACATAATTATACCTTTGGCATCATAAAAAAAGCCTTTTTACACGATCAATATTTAACTCGGGATGATAAATACCAAACTTACTGAACGAATAAGTTAGAGAATACCATAAACGTACGAACTTCACCTAAAAACGGGTATGTGTTAAGATAGTCAGAAAATTATTGCCTGAGTATTACTTATGGAAATGTCTAGACCTCCGCATTTTTTTTCAGACATACATAAGTCTAAGAAAAATGTTTATGTCAATTGACCTGCCATATCATCTTAACTTTTTAGGATGATAGATTTTTTGTTCTTTTCATAATGTATGCTTCACTATCAGTACATGCTATTACTAAAAAGCTGATAAACAACTACCCAGTTACGACTTACTTAGGGGGGTGGGGAGGGCTGCAAGTGTTTCTATTTTAAGTAAAGGCCCAAAAATTATAGATGATGAAACAAACAATTAAATTATTCTGACATAAGCTCTTGTTTATCAGCTTACAAATAAATCTCGTTCACACACTTTTTTTTCCCTTTTCTTTTTCCTTAACATCCATACTTCTCTCTTCTTCTTCTTTTTTTTTTGAATTAAAGTAATTGATACGGTAAAAAGTTTAGTTTATAATGACTTTTGTTTTTTCAAGAAATACTAACTTATTAGTTCCTTTTTTTTTGAAAAGAGATACGTTACCATTTTTGCGATATTATGGCTACGGCTAGTCTTTGCTATAGGATGGTCCCTTCCTAGGCTGAGTCCTTGGGTTTTAGAGCTCACTAAAAGGGCAGACTGTGAATAGCAGGGTCACATTTGAAATGGGTGTGATGATACTGGTTTGCTGATCTTGCCCGGATTTCTGTAAGAGTCATATAATTTCTATGTTGATTTGTTATGAATTATTTTTAGGGTTTTTAAAAATGGAGCGTATTGTATATAATTTAAAGAATAAGCGTTGCTTTAAAATCTTAAAAGCAAGTCATATAATAAATCAATGTAAATGTGACTCTGAGGGCCCTCGCAAGCACATCAAACTATTTATAAAGACCTTAATCGGGTTCTTTAAAAAATAGTTCGATGTGCTTGCGAGGGCCCTAAAAGAGACGAACTGACGTGCTCTCAAGAATTTCTACACAAGAAAGTAACAATTGATCCCGTCGTAAATGACCATTGTTTTTTCGGGATAGCCAAATTTTCTTAGGGACAGCCGGGGTGCACGTAGTCGTAATGTTGGGATTATGATACTTTAATAGATATCAAGAGGTCAATAGAACTTAATAACTTGAAATATATACACATTTATCACAACTAACATAGTTTAAACTAGTATATGTATTTTAAAGCTAACTTTCAGCTTCTCGTTAGGACTTAACATTAATATTTCTGCGTAAGATTTAATTCAAACGAGCTCAAAGGCGAAAGAGTGATAATAGAATTATCAAAATAAGTATAAATCGTTTGATGTACATTTATTTGTAATTTTTACATTGTTTTTGATTGTATATCCTTGTTCCCATGTCTACAGAACATCCAAACCATAGATCTTACGTTGCGACTACGTGCACTTTGGCTGTCCCTAAGGAAAAATTGGCTGTCCCTAAGAAAAGCATTGTTTTTCAGCAATATCACGCCAAGTGAATGGACCTTTGAATATTATGTGAGCGAAGTGAATTTTAATGATCCATATTATGACAGTATCGCTTTTCTTCTAAGGCAATATAAACAAAGTTGACATTTACTAGGAAGAATGATAAGCCTAGACAGAAACATCAAGTCGTATGTAGGCGTCTTAAAGAACAAGGAAGTACATAGGATACGATATTACATGTATATATTTTTTATTTTTATTTAATGTTGTCTATTATTTAAGTATATGAAAACTATGCTGCTGAAAATTAATGAAGTAGACTCGGATTTAAATGATATACTTGGTAGTGATGTCGTGGAGGAAATAAGAAAGAAAGTGAATGAGAGGATTTTTTTTTTGAGGAGTTCCCAGGACTACTGGAAAGGGAATTCAAAGATATTGTAAAAGTAAGCTATTATTATCTTTTTTGATAATTAAGATTACTGAACAGTACTTGTATAGAATGTCATTGGCTTTTATCAATTGTCCTTGACTTTTATATAATTTCTATGACTTTTATAATTGTCCTTGGCTTTCACATATTGTCCTTGACTCTCATAAATTGTCCTTGACTCTCATAGATTGTCCTTGACTTTTATAAAATGTCACAGATTTTTAAAGAATGACATTCTGTGGTGAAGTGACATTGACTGATATGTGTGACTCAGCCCATCCAATGGGTATAACAACCAGTAACAAAGCGCAGAAGAGCCTCTACCAATTAAGCCACACCATCCTCATATCAAAATATAATCACTTGCACATGGTTTCAGAAAATCAAATATAAATTAAGCAAGTTCAAAATAAATAAAATATAAGTCCTCTTACACCTCAATTTCTACGTTTTGTAATACTTTCCTTGTTAGTTGGAAAGTAGATTACAGTCAAAGAAGGTGCCCAGATAGTTTTATTTATTAGAATCCCGTTACAACAATTCAAAAAAAAAAAGAAAAAAAAAAACTGAGTCCAGGAAAAGCCAGAATAGACGTCATGTCGAAGTGTTCTGAATACATCAATATCCCCATCAGTGATGCGTGGGTTGTTGTCAGAAATTTGTTAGTACATACTTTTGTTTTTTATTATTAACTTGTTTTATATGATATTATGTAGTATTAAACGTAACTTTACATAACTATCAAGAGGTATTTATTTACAATTCAAAGATATCCACGGGCAAGATATTAACAGTGACCAACACCAGGGAAATTTTTATACAAAGAGAAGACTAAATTAGTTGACATTCTTCTTTTAATGCTGAAAATCATTATCCATTTTAGTTTTAACACTGGTATTTGAATCAAGTCCAAACATCACGATGCCGACAAGCCTACTGACAAGGTCGAGGCATATATCTTAGATACCAAGCTTCTTCTTCAATTACGCTGTGAAAAGAGAGGTAAGAAGTTTTTGTTAACGTTTTAGTCGGCACTACTACAAATGGTGCCAAACACAATTTGCTAGACCGCAAACTCTTCGCTTTTAAACTCATTGTAGAGCACTCTGGGCATCCTGTCACCTTCAATCAGCTGCTACCAACCACTGAATGGTAAAGTAATTGTAAGACTCTACAAGAACAAGGAAGCGGTGATGTTTACGATGTGGTATTTAAGCATCTCTCAACGGAACTTGGCAGAGCTAGGATTATTAGTCTACACGATGAAGGTCCTAATGAGACTAAAACGTTGCAAGAGACACGGTTTAATATGCCAAGAACGATGAAGGATTTTTGTGGTCGATCGCTTGACCAGTTTATAACAGCAAGTGCCGATCATATCGTTCATGTTGGATTTACAATTAGTGGTAAGTTTTGACACTTATATTATTTACGCTGTAAATATAGGCATCTACATTCAAGGCTTAAAATTAACATAATCAATAAACACGTATTTTATCATCTTTAGCTTTTTATATGATGGTTCTTTCTCGATAATGACAGCTTGTCTTTTTTAAAACCCGAGTTACTAGGACAATCTTAAGAAGTCTATATACATATATATATAAAAAAAAAGGCATGGTTGTACTGAATAGGCTTTTTCTATTTTAGCATTTATTTTGAACATCGATTTTGTGTATGAAAGTGGATTTCGCCATTATTAATTATAGATTTTTTTTTATTTATTTAAAAATAAGATTTAATATAAATAAGGGATGCCCGAGATGGGAAGTACACGGACCAGAGAACAAAAACAGTATCGGCTTTTCTATAATCACATTGCATAATTTAAATAAACTTGTTCTAAATTAAAAATGTCTCGGAGCCTTCGTACGGTTGGGCGAATACGTGCCTGAAGTTTTGCACATGTTATGGGGGGAGGGAGGGCGGAAAGGGGGAGTAGAATAACTTGTATCACATTTATATATTTTTGTTTCCGCCAAGCCCAGTTTCCATGATTCCCTTTCAAAAAAAAAAATAAAATAATAATGCACCATCATGTAACGTGGTACAACCTACCCTCCATTTAACACTCAGTTCATTTCTTTTCTTTTCTTTTTTTAGATTTCTTTATATTAATGCTAATTGCAGTTTCCCTACATTGCATGAATGAAGGCAATGACTTGTAAAGAGTACCATTCAATTGATTTAAATAATCCATATGTTTTGACATTATTTGTAGAGTGTAATCACTTGGTTTTTTTGCAACCCGAGAATCATTGTAAATAATAATGTAAGGGGAGAGGTAGCCTCAGTTTTATTTTTAACAAGTGTTTATCACTGCTTGCTACTGTTATGTGTGTGAAAAGAGCCAAAAAATGATTATCCGAATCTACTGAGTTTTTTTTTTTTTTTTTTTTTTTTTTTTTTTTTTCTTCCTCTTCTTCTTCTTGTTAGTATAAAAAGGGGGGAAAGGGTTTAAAATGAGAACAAAGAGCCATACCAAACACACCAAGTAAAAAAAAAAAAGAAAAAAATAGTTTGCTGTTTATGTATTCACCCCCTCACCCTTTTTAATACCTTTGTAGAAGACTTTTCTCTCCCATTGACAACCAAATAACTAGAAACTTTCAATCAATACAACCTTCCAAGGTTCATAGTCCATCCAAGGAAAACGGACGTAATCGTCATGCGTTTGTGACATGTGCCTACGATCATCCTCAAACTCCCTCGCATCCCACCTTACCAAAGACCTTTAAACATGTACCACAGACATTCACTACCGACATTACTCACGACAGAGCCTTACCCACACAACGTCCTACCATGGGCGGTAAGACTATTTCAGCTATTCGACCTACACAACAGCAGCATCCCATCATGTCTAGCCATGATCTCTTGTTACTCAGTCGTCGTATCGATCCTCAAGAGTTATTAACTTCCTCGCCCCATACCTCGCCTTCCAAACCTCCTCTCCCGCAGCAGCAGCAGCATAAGCAACATAAGCAACAGGAGCCACTGTCTAAAAAGCGACCCAAGATGACGAAACAGAGCGATCGTGGTGATGATGTGGTACAATTTGTATGTGAGCCTTGTAATAAACGGTACAAGACTCGAAATGGATACAGCTATCATATCGAACGATGTAAATCCCGACGACAACGCCTCCACCGTCAGCCCATCGAGGGTCCAGCTGTGACGATCCAATGTGTGTGTTCAGAGAGCGGATTAGAAAAGGGTACGATGATAGAATGTAATACCTGTCATACATGGCTTCATTTGCAATGCGTAGGACCTATCGTGGATGAATCTAGCTTTGCATGTACACGATGTTGTCCCCGGGAAAGCAATGTCAGATTATCCATGTTATGTGCAGCAAGAGATCAGGATTTTAATTTTATGCAATTGTTGGGTCAAAAAGAAGATGATGTATTAAGTAATACACAGTGGGAAGACGAATTTACACAACAAGAATCAACAACATCGACAACAGCAAGCTTTCTTCAGGAATGTTGTTGGACACCGATGGCAGATCCTCCTTCCTTATTGTTTTCAGATAACCTGTCACTTTTGGATGATTTTCCTTCGTCTGATCTGTTGTCTCCCAGTTTACCTCAGTCGGACTGGCTCCACTTTGCTAACTTTGAAGTTGATTTTCAACGGGAGGATGACATTGTATTATAAATAAATAATAATAATAATAATAAAAAAACGCGTAGTTTTAAAAAAATAACCATTCAAAAAAAAAAAAAAAAAAAAAAAAAAATAGAAAAAAAGCTTTTTTCTTCTTCTTTTTTTTTACTTTCCCTTTGCATTCAACATTTCACACATACATACATATTATGAAAGATCTTGGTAATAAAAGAAAATAAAAGAGGCTTGCATAAAAACACACAGTGTGGATCGAGAACTAATCTTTTTTTTGTGTGTGTGTATATATAGGAAAAGATGGCACAGAAGAACAACATCGAAACGCGACCCCACTTAAACTCTCAAAACGAGCGTTAATGATTGAAGAAAAATTAAAACGAAAGACGCAAGTGTCTCTTTTCGACACCGATGGGGATTTAAGTCGACACAACATCATTGAGGGTGGACGTCGTAAACGTACGGTCTCCATGGAAGAAGGAAAGAAAAAACCCACCAAAAAGACCAAGCTCGTAGCCCATGCCAAAGAAAAGCTTATGCCAACTCCTCGTCATGTCTTGGACAAGGCAAGGAACCAAGCCATCCTGTCTCGTGTACAGAAAATGGAAAGCTTGAAACAATGTCACGATGCTTCTATCAAGGAACTTTATCATTTGGAAATGTTTCAAAATATGTTGGATTATAACCCGTCTTCTTTTATCAATGATGTTCGCTACAACAAGGTAAAAAAAAAAAAAAAAGAGAGAGAGTAACCACTCTATATATATATAAAAAAAAAAAATGAACTCACATGGATTAGTACATGCAAGATTATGATTTATGGGAACACGTCAAACACCATACACGAGTTGACAATGGACTTTTAGATCTCGTCTCTAGCGTGATTTACGAATCTACGCATATACCCACCCACGCTACCACCACCACCGCTACTGGCACCACCGTAGCTGACACCATCACCCTTCATTCCGGCACAGGCTTACGTCGTCACAACCGACAATTTATCACGTTACAAGCCTATTTAGATTCCTTTGTGGCCGGTGAGGAAGGAGGGGAAGATATCACCCCACAACAACGTCAAGCTCTCATCGAAAAGGAACGCGGTATCCGACAACGACTTTGGAACCTACAACAACGAGGTGGGTTCTCCACCCATCTACAATCTTTGGCCCATCGTCGACCACAACAACCCACCGTCAAGACAGATTTTCACAAGGATGTGATGATACGACACATGCAGGCATCGTCGAAACTGATCCAACATCATGCCAAATACAAACGAAATGCAGCACGTAAATGTGCCAAGGCCGTTGAACGCTATTGGGAGAATATCAAGACGCGTGATGAACGCATGGAACGAGACGAACAAAAACGCTTAAAGAAGTTGGCTAAATGGACCGGACAACAGGTCAAGAAGAAATGGAAGATCGTCGAACGTGTGTGTGAAGCGAGGTTAAAGGAGGTGCAAAAGGAACAACAGGCAAAAGAAGGGAGAAGGCATTTGGAATTGATTTTGGAGCATTCAGAGCATATGTTGGGTGTTCGAAAAGACGAGCTGAGGCAGCACGATGAAGAGGATCGTACAGCGGATGAAGAGGACGACGACGAAGAGGATCATACAGCAGATGAAGAAGAGGATGAAAGAGATCACATCATTGATGAAGAGGACGACGATGACGACGATGACGATGAATTGAGAGAGCTCGAACAAGATCAGAATGTATCCGTACAAGATTTAATGAAGAAATATCAACGTATGCAATCCGAGACATCAGACCATACATCCTCTCCTTCCTCTTCCTCCTTGGAAGACGATGCTGAATTCTCCATGCTTTCCGATGATGATGAGGATGTCGTGATGGAAGAGGATGGACAAAGTGAAGATGATGATACTGAATTAAACGCCTTGAATGAAGAAGCCAATTTATCCGTTGAAGAACTCTTATTGAAATACAAGACGGATACAACCCACATGGATGATGAACGCACCGTCACGGATTACGGATCTTCCTCACCTATCGCCGATGATGCTGTCACCGAACACGAGGTACCTGCCATGAACAACAGTAAAATTCATACCAGGATACCTTTCTTGTTACGTGGTACATTACGTGAATATCAACATGTAGGGTTGGATTGGTTGGCTAGTTTATATAATAACGGATTAAATGGTATCTTGGCAGATGAGATGGGTTTAGGCAAGACGATCCAAACGATTGCGTTGTTAGCGTATCTTGCTTGTGAAAAGGGTGTATGGGGACCTCATTTGATTGTGGTACCCACCAGTGTCATTTTGAATTGGGAAATGGAGCTCAAGAAATGGTTACCAGGGTTTAAGATCATGACCTATTATGGTACCCCCAAGGAACGTAAAGAGAAACGATGGGGATGGTCCAAGGAAAATGCCTTTCATGTGTGTATCACCTCCTATCAACTGGTATTGCAAGATCAAAACGCATTTCGACGCAAGCAATGGCAATACCTGATTCTGGATGAAGCGCATCATATCAAGAACTTTCGATCCCAAAGGTGGCAAGTGTTATTGAACTTTAATTCAAAGCGAAGGCTCTTGTTGACAGGTACACCTTTACAGAATAATCTGATGGAGCTTTGGTCTTTACTGTATTTCTTGATGCCGAACGGTGTATCGCAAGATATGCCTATTGGCTTTGCAAACCTCAAGGAGTTCCAGGAATGGTTCTCCAACCCTGTGGATCGTATGATTGAAAACGGACATGGAGGAGAAAAGAGTGAAGAGTCTCGCGCCGCCATTCGTAAATTGCATACGGTTTTACGGCCTTACCTCTTGCGTCGATTAAAAGCAGACGTGGAGAAACAAATGCCAGAGAAACACGAGCATATTGTCTATTGTCGACTTTCGAAGCGTCAACGGTACCTCTATGATGATTTCATGGGTCGTGGTAAAACAAAGGAGACATTGGCCAGTGGTAATTTTCTCAGCATCATTAATTGTCTCATGCAATTACGAAAAGTGTGTAATCATCCGGATCTATTTGAGGAACGACCGATTTTAACAAGTTTTGGGATGCATGATGAAGTGTATTATGTAGGTCAACAGATCGAACAGAAAACACGCATACAACCGGATGTGATGAAGAAGGTGGATCTGGGCTTTTTAAATTTGGTCTTTCTGGATGAAGCGCATCAGCGCGTGCAAAGTGAGGGAGTGGCGCAAGACACGATGCGATTAGAGGCTACAACCGAGATGCTTAAAACCATAGCTCGACATCAGAAACGTATCACGTTGGCAGAATCTCGTGGAGTCACTCATCGAGACTATCATGACCTCAAGAAATATGCAAAGTATCGAGAAATGCAAATGCACATTCATGCTGTGAATAGATGGAAAATGATTCACTATGTAAATGGCTTTCGATGTGCAAGAAAACCCATGTACGACGCCAATCTTGTTTCCATGTTGCAAACACCAAAGAAGAACCATCATCCTAGGGTCGTTGTCTTTTCGTACAAGCAACGTTTAGAGGCGAATTTAGCCATGATGAATCAAGTGGGTTGTATTACACCTAAAGTGGTGGTCATGGTGGCGACGGGCAGAACAAATGGTTCCAAATGGGGGAAAGTGGATGTACCGGAATTCATAAGAGAAGCGATGGATGTGGAAAACGACATCTTTCATCCTATTCGGTCTAGACTATCGATTGCGTTCCCGGATAAACGTCTTTTGCAATACGATTGTGGTAAATTGCAAAAGCTAGATAGACTGTTACGAGAATTAGCTAGCGGAGGTCATCGTGCTTTGATTTTCACACAAATGACTCGGGTACTGGATGTATTGGAGACCTTTCTCAATATGCATGGACATCGCTATCTGCGACTGGATGGAGCTACCAAAGTAGAGCAACGACAGATGATGACGGAACATTTCAATAACGATAAACGTATTCTGTGTTTTATTCTTTCAACACGTAGTGGAGGATTGGGTATTAATCTCACGGGAGCTGATACGGTGATCTTTTATGATTCCGATTGGAACCCATCGATGGATAAACAATGTCAAGATAGAGCGCATCGTATTGGACAAACCAGAGATGTCCATATTTATCGATTTGTGACCGAGTTCACCATTGAAGAAAATATCTTTAAAAAAGCCAATCAGAAACGTATGCTGGATAATGTGATTATTCAAGAAGGCGATTTTACAGATGATTATTTCACCAAGAAGAATACGGATGCGTGGTGGAAGGAATTACCAGAGGTAACGGGAGAAGAATATGAACGAGCGTTATTGGAAGCGGAAGATGATGAGAATGATGCAGCGGCAGCTATTGCGGCACGGAAAGAAATGAATATGGATCATCATGAATTCCAAGAGGAGGAAGAAGAGAAGGAAGAAATGGATAGAAATGGTAATGAACCTCGTTGTCAAGGAGTAGGCGAGGAGGAGGAGGAGGAGGAAGGGAATACACCAATCGTAAGTGACACTGAAGAGGCTGCTGTATCAGATATGCAATCGGGAGTAGGACATGTGGATAACTACATGTTACAGTTTTGGTCGAGTCAAATGTTGGGAATAGATCTTGGATTTGGACCTGCTGTATAAAATAATAAAGTGTCCGCGCACACTGGACTTTTAACCTAATTAGGACATGTTTTGTGCATTAATTAAAGGGCATGCTTTTTTTATGCCTTTTTTAAAAAAAAAAAATCAAAAAGTTTAAAATTACTAAAACATGAATGCATGGGTATCGCAATGTACTACTTTTCTGTCATTCAAACACGCCTGGAAATAGTAACTCTACATGCACTTTTTTTATTCTTTTCTTTTTTTTTATCTATGGGAGATGATGACGGGGGAAACGTACACAACAATCATCATCATCATAGATACATCATACATCTATAAAAAAAAAAAGGTGGCGTTTTTCTTTTGCGCTGTATCAATTTTATTTAGAAACACCGTGTTTCCAATGTAGATGTGATTATAAAAAAAACTTTTGCCGGGGCGTAAAAATAAAAAAAAAAAACTTTTTTTTTTTTAGTTGCTGATCATTTATTATCATGTACTACTCCCCCCACAGAAAAAAAAAAGTATATAAATACCATGGCAAAGGTTTCATTTCCCTCCCCCATCTTCTTTTTCTTCTTTTTCTTTCTTTTCTTCTATCCCATATTAAAATAATAAAATTAAAATAAATCAATAAAAAAAAAAAAAAAAGAAAATATTATGCCTTCCGAAAAATTCAGAATTACCACCAATGGACAATCGTTACGTAATCCTAACAATGGGTTTTTTGGTAATAAAACGCATTCTTTTTTTATTATGGAACTAGTTGACTAAATACATCTTTTATAGGCATGACTCTTTCAGCCAACATGACACTCGACGAAAGGTAAAATACAAGCACTATCTTTGATGCGATGAAATAAAACTAACCCAAAGTTTGTCATAAAATAGTAGCGATACATCAGCTCATAATGACAGACGATCTGCTCATAACGCTCTGGAACGACAACGCCGAGAGCATTTGAACGTTAAATTCCAACAGTTGGCACACGCATTACCTGCGCTCTCCACGGTGCGTCGACCTAGCAAAACTATGATTGTAGCCAAATCACTCGAGTTTGGTAAATACCTTTTTTAATACATCATACAATAATACCATGCATTGTGCCCTAACATTCCCCCTTTTCAATATATATATATAGTCTCGTCTAGCTTGAAGCGAGAATCGACATTCATGACAGAAATCCAAAAGCTGCGCGTAGAGAATGAAAAGCTACGAAAGCAAGCAGAAGCCAACTCGATACAGTTAAAGAAGCAAATGGAGGAAGACGAGACCAACAAGAATAAGAAGAGAAAGGCCAGTGTAGATATACAAAATCAGCAAGAGATTTCGCCACCATGCACGCCTGAAAAGAAGCGAAAGAAGATGACGATGGTGAAACAAACCAAGTCACCACTTGCAGTGAAAAGAGAAGAAAGCAACATATTATTATCATCCACCACAACAGCAACCACATCACCATGGACACCTGTCCTTGACACTACATTGAATTCATACCCATCTTCATCCCCACCTAATTATTTTGATACAACTTATACCACATCCCCCACAAGTCAAAATATGCTTTATATGACACCTCAGCATGTCGATCTTTATGAAAATAACATGTCGGTTTATCACAACATGATGAATCCCATGTTACTCTCTCCTTACTTTGTCCCTACAAGCGACAACACTACAGAAGGTAATAATCATAAAAAAAAAAAAAGCCTCTTTTTTTATTTTTTTATATATGTTTACAATACGATTTTCTAATCTCTCTCTTTTTATTTTTAATAATAGCAGCCTGTTACTACCAAAATCAAACTGATAACTTTTACTTGTCTTCCTAATTCTCTTTTACATGCTTTTTTTTTTTATTGTTTGTTTTGTTTATAAAATTACTGGTAACATTATTCTCAACTCAAACATGTATTACTTTCCATTGTATATAATAAATATATATATATTTTTCTTTAAAAATGACTTGACCCCCCCCCCCTTCTTTTTTTTTTCACCCACCCCTTAAAATAATTTTTTTTGTGTAATCTTCTTTCTATTTTTTTTCACCCTGTTTGCAGGCAAAAATTCCGATCGATCGAGAAACAATGAATTTTTTTTTTTTTTTTTTGTGAATTTGACGGTTGTAAAAGTGTTGCGTGGGGGGGGGAGAAAGAAATAATGACAATTAATTGTTGCTAAGCGGATAACATCATTCTCTTTGGTGTTACAGTTTCAAAATAATAGAAAACAAAGATTTCTGCAAATATCATCGATTCCTTAGCGTCAGGACGATCTTTGGAACCCACTCTAAACTTTTTTTGATTGTCCGGTCCTCACCCAAAAAACCAAATTATACTAATTTAGAAAATTACAAACAAGCACACTTTTACCATGCTTTTTTTTTTGGGATTAAGTCCGCGCAAGTAAAAGCAATCAAATCAATCTTTTGTTGAACCCAATTTGTGGGGGGGCGGGATATATACTTTTTTTTTTTTTTTTAATTTCGCAAAATGAATGAAAAAAAAAGAATACATGTATTTTGGTTCACTTTGGCCGTGCACAACCCATATTTAGAAATTTATTGTGTGATTGTACACAATATTTTCCAACCCTGTTGACTTTTTTTTTTCCGCCTCAGGGCCCTCTCTCTTTTTTTTTTTTTACAAGTGCGCGGGTCGGGGTTTGGAAACAGCAAAAAGAACCCTTTTGGCTTACCCACCTTTGCGGCGCGCGCGGATTTATCACTCTTTCATTATCACTTTTCAAAATGTCGCGGATTTACCTTTTAATCATTGTAAAATTTGTCGCGGATTTACCCTTCCCTTTATTATCGTTTATTAATTAATCTGTGTTTCTTTGTCATTCCTCCCTCCCCCCCCCCTTTTTTTTTTATTATTATCCATAGAAAAAAAAAAAAAATAGAGATTCGGCATTTTCACAGTTTTGGAAAAGTCTTTATTCTTTTGTACAACACTTCTATTTTAAAAAAAAAAAAAAAAAAGAAAAGAAAAAAGGGCTTCTAACCAGATTTTCCTAAAAAGAAAAAAAAAAGTTTCGTGTTGGTAAAATGGATACGCGTGGCTTTTCCTTTTTTCACAACTTAACGCGAAACTTTTTTTTTTTTTCTTCATAAAGTAATTTCTTCTTTATTTGTTGGCTTTCTCTTTTTTTTTTTTTTTTGCATGAATAAGATGAGTTTTTCCCAGTGAGCATTCATCCCCCATCATGTGATTGTTACAAAGAAAAAAGCAGTTACGGGATGAAACACGCATCCTAAGAAAAAAACAAAATAAAAAAAAAAAGAGACAACCAATGAAAACGAATCGGGGATTGAAATCAACCCAAGGCGAACAAATATACCCGGCACACGAGAGGGGAAACCTGTTCGTACCCCCTCTCTCCTTTCGCAATGGTAAAGTATACAACTATTTTGGATGAGGGACTGTGCATGATGAAAATAGAGAAATTCCTATCACAACAACAACTATACACATACAAAAAAAAAAAAAAGAGCGTGTGGGGGATGGATGGATGGATGGACGGATGGACGGATGGATGTGATGGGATTGATTGAAAAAAAAAAATATTAACATAAGACATGGTAGGTCAACATTCCTAAGACCCGTAACACCTACTGTAAGGGTTCCAAGTGCAGAAAGCACACACCCCACAAGGTCACTCAATACAAGGCTGGTAAGGCTTCTCTCTTCGCTCAAGGTAAGAGACGTTATGACCGTAAGCAAGCCGGTTATGGTGGTCAAACCAAGCCCGTCTTCCACAAGAAGGCCAAGACTACCAAGAAGATTGTCCTCCGTCTCGAGTGTACTGGTAAAGTTATATCCCTACTCACTTGGAAAGCATTCTTGTTCATTCATTTTAACTTTTTTTATTTATTATTATTATTAGCCTGTAAGTACAAGATGCAACTCGCCATCAAGAGATGTAAGCACTTCGAGTTGGGTGGTGACAAGAAGACCAAGGGTGCTGCTCTTGTTTTCTAAGCGTGTCGTTACTTCACTTTTTTTTTTATATATATATGCAATCACTTTTGCACTTCATTAAAAAAAAAAAATTTACATTCATGTCTTGTAATAAATGTCTTTCTTTTTTTTTTTAAATGTAATATATGATTATTATTTATGCATTTACCTGGTGTGGCTTATCCCTATTTTTCTTTTTTCTTTTTTAAAAATTTATATATATTTGAACCTGAGTTTTCTTGTTTTTTTTTGTTTTTTGGCAGCTCTTTTATATCAATGGATTTAGAGGAACAGAAGGCACGTTTAGTAGACACTGAGGTATATGCGAAAAAGACATCACATACACACACACAAAAAAAAGCTCACAAACCCTCATAGACCCCTGATAAAAAGTTGACAAATAAAGAAGCCAAGAAACGTAAAATGGCAGACATGTTGGAAAACCCTCATTATCTTGCTGCCAAACAACGTGAAATTCCTCCCGAGAAGAGACTACGTCGTAGAAAAGACGGCGATTTTAGAGACGTCGACGATATGCATACGGCCAATTACTACTTTGAAGACGGTAAAAAAAAAAAAAAAAAAAAAGAAACACACCATGCATGTTCTTAATTAACATGAAATATTAGAAATGCGAAAAGTGAAGCCGTATTACTTTGAATACAAGTCGTTTGCCAAGGGCCGTTGGTTTGGTAGAACCATTCTGGAAGTGTTTTCCTCTGAATTCCGCGATCGCAGTATTGATTATTATGTAATGGGCTCTCCCCTCCTTTTTTTTCCCTCTTTAATATATATGTACATGTGCTAACTACCTTATGGTAGCGGTATGCGATTGAAAGAGGCTTATTGACAGTGAATGACAAGCAAGTGACGGTAGAGTACCTGATTAAAAATGGAGATACGATCGGCCACAAGATTCATCGCCATGAGCCTCCATGCACCGATCAAGCCATCAAGATTGTGCATGAGGATCAGGATTTATTTGTGATTGATAAACCGGGAGGTATCCCCGTTCATCCTGCGGGAAGATACCGACATAATTCCATCATTCATGTCCTCAAGAAAGAACTGAATATTCCTCGCTTATTCCGTAAGTATTCGATTCCACCCTCCTTTTTTTTTTGTATGTAGTTGGCATAACAATAGGGGTTCTTAGCTTGTAATAGGTTGGATTTGCCTACATCGGGTTTAATGTTGATTGCAAGAAATTCCTCACGCGCACAAAAGATTGAACGGGAAATGTCGTCTGGGCAGATCCAAAAGGAATACATTTGTCGAGTGGACGGTCGATTCCCAGAGTAAGCTAAACCCCATTTCTTGAAGAAGAAGAAGAAAAACTGACCGTTTGAAAATTCAAAAAAAAAAAAAGTGGGGAGATTGTGTGTGACGCACCTATTAAATGCATCTCGCATAAAATGTCTGTCAATTACGTGCATGAGGATGGCAAGTCGTCTGTGACGAAATTCGAGCGATTGAGTTATAATGGCAAGACGAGTACGGTGCGTTGTAAACCCATGACGGGAAGAACACATCAGATTCGAGTGCATTTGCGGTACCTGGGGTATCCTATTTCCAATGATCCGTTGTATGGACATGGCACGTCTTGGTCGCCCTTTATTCGACCTGGTGAAAGAATGGAGGAAAAAGATGCGAGATTATTGGTGGATAAATTGTTTGAGTATTCACCCATGGAAGATTGGGATGAGCCTGAACCGCCTACGATGAAATTTGACGATGTGGAGGATGATACCAAATGCTCCGAGTGCAGTTGTTCCTTGATCTTGGGGAAAAACTATGATCAATTATGTATTTATTTACACGCTTGGCGATACAAGACAAAAGATTGGGAGTACGAGACTGAACTTCCGTTTTGGGCAAAAGAAGATTTTGATGATGCCAATGCGCCTCTCAAATATAAAAATACGCTGGCTTCAGAGTAAACATAGAAATGTATTTTTTTTTTTTGTATTGTTTTTTTCTCTTTTATTTTTCTTTTTTTTTTTTTAATTAAATCACGATTCAGCAAGCGTCATCTTTTTCTCCATGTCTTGTACTAATCCTTCATTCACCATGGTGGAAGACGGTACCGGTGCTGTTACTGGTACTGGATGCTGTACGACTTGATGATGGTATTGAAGCATACTTGGGTCTGGATAATAATGAGACGAAGGGGCAATACCCAACATGGTCTCTGGCGTGATCGGCATCATGGGTCTCACAGAGAAACTAGGCATCGGTTGAAAATCCCGTGTAGGTCGAATCATTCTTTTACGAGCAGTTTGATTCTTTAATTTCTTTTGCGCAGGTGAATCAGCAAAACGTACTTGTAAAGGTGCAGACGAGCCTTCAATGCTATGTCCATTAAATCGGTCAATGATGGCTGAAGCTGCCTCACGATCTGTCAATCTTTTATTTTTCCAACATTAGTATTCTCTACTTCTTGCTTTTTTTTTTTTGTTATCATTATTTCTCTCTTACCGTGCAAACCCGACACCGCGACTCATACCGGATTGTGGATCACGTAAAATTCGGTTGGAGATTGTTTGGTATGGATGGAATAACTCTTCTAGTTTCTATATACGGCAAAAAAAAAAAAAAAAAGAGATAGGTTAAGCTCCCAACGTATGGTTGTGATATTTTGTTATTATTGCTTACCTGTTCAGAGGTATCCAAAGGTAAATTAGAAATATAGATATTGGTAGATGTCTCATCCTGAAGATGTCTCAAACGAGAACTGAACGATTCCTAGACGCAAAAAAAAAAAAAAAAAAAAAAAAAAAAAAATCAGCCTGTGATAACATAAGAGAGAGAGAGAGAGAAGCGTGTAATTTACACCTACTTGTCCGACTCTTGCAAAGGAAGCTTGAAGACCAGCTTTATTTAAACCGTCAATGGCATCTTCGGATTCTTGTTCATTGTCAAACATTGCAAAACCATAGCCTTTGCACTCACCCGACTTTTGGTCGATAATGGCTTTTGATGAAGCAACACTACCGTAACTAATTAATTAAAATAGAGTTAGTGAAAAAAAGAAAAAGATATATATATGTACATATAATAAAAAAAAAAAAGCTCTTTCTTTACACTTGGCACATTTCCAAAAATGATTCATCAGTAGTGGAAGTGGATAAGCCGCGCACATAGATATTATGAGTGTGAAATGAGTTTAATTCGAGTTCGAGTTGTTGTTGTAATTGTAATTGTTGTTGATGATGAATTTCTTGCTGAGTATGTTGTTGTTGTTGTTGTTGCTGATGATGTCTCTTATTTCTATGGTCTGTAGTGATAATATAAGGACCGGGAAGATATTGATGAGGAGGAGAACCGGGTATAGATGATGTACCGGTCAAGACAGGAGAGGAGATATGAAGAGGAGGAAAAGGCTGTGAATGAGGAAGCATGTATGCATGAGTAGGAGGAGATAAAGCGATGCCTTGTTGGTATCCAAAACTGGGGCTGAAAGGTGGACTGGTGGGATTAATAGGTGGTGATTGAGGGTGTAATGCAGGTGAGCCAGGATAGCTTTGATAACCGTTGGAATAGTCTGGATAATACTGAACAGAAAATTGAGGGCTTAAAGGATATACATAGGCGTAATTAACTGACGATTCACCCGTCACTTCGTATCCATTGCTATCGATATAATAAGGTGGATAAGAAGGTGAAGTAGGTACATGTTGTAAAGGTGGCGTTGACTGCTTCTCCTTCTTTTTACCATCTGGTGTCCCAACATGACTCGTTCCTTCTAAACTCGTCATCTATTTTATATATATTATAAAAAAAAACAAAAAAAAAGGGGGGTGGGAGGAGAGAATAATAATAAAAAATAAAAAAAAATCCCAACTTTGTATGGATGACCCAACCAAACAGCGTCATCAGTTGGTTTTGTCACACTTTTAGATGATTCCCCGCTATAAACATAAGGTAGCTTACCTCGTTTCTTCTTTTTAAAAAGTAACAAACTCTTGCAAAAATTAAAAATTGTCGGTTGTTGAATCACGCTTTCTTTTCATTGAATGATTAAAAGAGAACATGCTTTTTGTTATTTTCAAAAAAAAAAAAAAAAAAAAGAGAGAGACATGATGACACGTGGTCACACAAGATCAACTTGGCCTTTGGTTGTTTGCGTTTTTACTGCATAAATATCTCTCTCTCTCTCTTCGTGTCCTCCTCAGGGGCGATCTCCATGGTTACCTTGTGTACCTGTCCACTAATTTTTTTTTTATCAATACGGTCGTCTATCGCGAGGACAAATAACTCATGTCGGTCATGAAACCCTGCTTTCATTCACATCAATGTCTAATTGAGTCACAAAAGACGTGAAATAAAAAAAAAGTGATGCATCTTTTTTTCAAAAACACACACAATGGATGTTAATTCTAGTGACAAAATAAACAATTGAAACTATAGATAAAAGATAAAATGATTACCTGAAGAGATTATAAAAAACGTTGCTCAATGAACCTATCTCACGTTTTTTTTTTTTTTTTGGGATATGCATGTATATACTCTCTTATTTAGGGTTGACAGGCCCTGTTTTTTCCATAACAGGAGTGATATCTTTCTTTCTTTTTTTCTTTTTTTTTTTTCAGCCATGGCTCAAGGGAAGGTGGTATAATTGCTTTAAAGCTCTACGATTTGTCAAGATTTTTTCTTTTAGTGAAACTATCTATTCTATACAAAATCGCCTAATCAGGGCTTACAAAAAGAAAAAGAGAATGAGCTTTGACTTTCCTTTTTTAGTAATGAACCGTTTTATCAACAATACAAGGCATTCTTTTTCTCTTAAATATAAATGTCACACTAATTTTTTTTTTTTTTTTGTGTACGTTCTAATCAGGCTGTGTATTATTTGGCAGTCTTGGATCAAAATGTGTTTATTTAATTACGTTTATGCGAAAGCGGGTAATAGTATACATGTATTGTTCACAACTATAAAAAAAAAAAAAAAAAAAAAAAAAAAAAACTTTTATGCACCAGCAATGGTTGCAAGTCAATGCAAATGGGATCTATTAAATTTAGTCTGCTACAAAGAACTTTATTGTCAGTTGATGACAAACAATGTTTTTTTAAAAAAAAATTGCAAAGCTTTGCATGCTTCATATGCCAGTTGACCCAAAGATGGACCCAAATTGTGTCAGAAAAAAAAAAAGGGACATAAAACCACTCGCGACTTTTAAATAACTATTTTTTTTTTTTCACAGTTGTAGAAAACAAAGTGTCTGACATTAGTACTTAGGTACTGCGCGATACCCTCCATCAAAGTAATTGTCGGTTGATATACGTAGTAAAAAGCTAACAAACATTTATTTCTTATGCTTTTTTGTCACATGTAAGACTTTCTTTCCAAGTACTTTTATCCGTACAGGAATTTTTTTCAGGAATAGGTCACCCGTATACCAATGAGCAACATGATGTAAGGTACGTTAACAACCCTGAGAAAGTATGATTGTGAGTATGACGGCCTGAAATACAAACAGAGGTTCCACTGTTGTTATTATTATTTTTGTACTGATGAATCATATTCGTAAAAAGTATAAATGGGTTCCCTCCCTCAACTATCGGCTATAGTTGAGAGAAGATGAACGGTTTGTAGGCTGCTATGACTGGATGGCTAATTTTATCAGACGGAATAAAAAAAAAAAAAAATACATCTATGAGAGACCACCCACTATCTTTATAAAGAGACTACAGTTCGCACTGAAATCAATTCTTGATTCCCGTTAGCGCGATAGTGTACATACACCTTGGAGATTTCTTTATATGCGCCTCCCCCGACGAAAAAAAAAAAAAAGAAGAGGGAAAGAAACAGTTTCAAACTCTTATAAAAGGATGGAAACTGATAAACAAGGACTGTTTAATCTATGACTTGTAAAATATTGGGTTAGGGTTCTTGTGAGTTGGTCTAAAGCGCCTTTTTAAATTGGGTACAACAAACAACACTGGTGTAATGAAGTGTCAATCAAGAAATGAACGCATTTAGCTTCTCGATAAATTAGGCCTTAAATTTTTGATGAAGTCTCTGCTTTTATAAAGTATTGTGTTCTTCCATGTTGTGTGGGACCCTAGAAGGGGTCTGCATGAGATTGTTACACGACAACATACTCGAGTAAAAAAAAAAAAAAAATGTTGTACGCTCAAAGAATTCTTCCCCACACATACACACACACCTTCATTCATTCGCATATCACACTGCATTGGCTGTCAAAATAAAATGAACAAGTGTGAAACGTAGTAAAAATCATTCGAACAAAGGAGAGTTCAGACTGGGCGGATATTTAATGATAGGTGGTGCGTGTAAAAACGTCACAGTTACAGCTAGGGCATAAATGAAATAATTTATTTCTCTCTCTCTCTCTTTTTTTTTTTTTTATAATAAAAAAAAAAACATTCACCATGGCAGCCATTAACGATAGTGTTTATGCACGAGTACGTGAAAAAGTAAAGGAGCAAAACCTCAGCGAACAAGAATTAAAAGCCGTGGATACGGCTAGAGAACAACTTCAAACTCACAGTAAAGTCACAATGGGACCCAGTTATACATTAATTCTAAAACATTTTGCGTAGCTTATACTGGTGGTTTAGTTGGTGCCACAACTGCATTTTTCTTGGGTATGTAGAGAGAATGTATCGGTGAGACATGCTGACATTGAGTTTTTTTTTTTTTTTTTTTAAAAAAAAAGGTAAAAAGAAGAAATTCAACCCAATTCAGTTACTTGCCTTAACAGGTGGTGGGTTTCTCATGGGCACACAAATGGGCGTGATATCAGGCGCTTTGGCAGGTGTAAAAACCATCCAGAGTTTACCGGATCCTAAGCGTCTTATCGGTGTAGTGAGAGAAGTTCAGTAAGTAGAAAATCGATCAACAGAGGAGGGAATGAAACAATTTAATAAAAAAAGGTGAATAGAATAGAAGCAATGAAAGGAAGACAATCTGGTGGAGGAGGAGGAGCACCTCCTACTATTAGTCCTCACCAAATGACACCTCAAGAGCTTCATGAAGCACAAAGTCCACAAGATCAATTCTTCCCTGATCACGCTGAAAATCAACAAGGAGGTGGCAAGAGCGGTAAGGGAAAAGAGAGAGAGAGAGAGAGAGAGAGTTATATTTAGCATTGCAGAATATGTAATTAAATATTTCAAAAATAGCCTGGAATAATAAGAGAAGTTTAAGTCATACTGGTGAGCTTGATATGACGGATGAGACAGACCCACTCTCTCGTCAAGAGGCAACAGCAACGACACGTCACTTGAAGCAACAACAGCAACAGAGTGCCTGGGATAAGATTCGAGCTGAGAGTTTACCCAATAATACATGGTCAAAGATCCGTATGCAAGCCCAAAAGAACCCTGAGGATGAAGAAGAAATTGCCAAAGCAAAGGCTGCTAGAGCTAGTCGACTTCGTGAAAATGCAGAGTTTAGTTATAATAATGTAGAGGAACTACCACGTACAAGAGAGGAAGACATGCAAAGAGGCACTTCGAGAAAAAATCAATGGGGTGATCCATTATAATATATAATATAATAATAATAATAATAAAAGGCACATATTTCTTGTATATTAATAAATGAGTATTAATTTTTTTTTTTTACCTTATTGCAAAAACTACCAAGTACTTCGGAATCCCGCAGAACTTAAAGAGCAACATAACTGAGGACAAACATATCTCTAATAACTATAAAAGAGGGGTGGGAAAACGAACAAAAAAAAAAAAAAAAAAGATTCCGATTAATTCATTTTCGCTTCACTAATAGTTTAAGAATGTTTCTGAAGAAAATTACTCTAGGTTTAACTTGCGTTGCATCCATTTCCTTGTCCGTTTTCGCTTTAGAAGAGAACCTTGTCAATGAAGATTACCGAGCTGATATAATTAAGGGAGCCTTCAAGCATGCATGGAAAGGTTATTCAACGTTCGCCTATGGTCATGACGAGTTACGACCCATTACCAATGGTACGACGGATTCCAGGTAATAGTTTAACAATCCAAATTTCTTGCAATCTTTTTTTTTAATCATTTCATTTTTCTCATAGAAATGGATGGGGAGGTAAATGTTTTTTTTTTTTTTTCATGCATGAGTATAATTCAATTTAACAAGGAATGATCAATATTTGTAGCTTCTATTTTTGACGCGCTTGATACTATGATTATTATGGGTCTAGAGGACGATTACCTGCGTGCCCTTGATCATATCAAAAGTGTTGATTGGAAGCAGAGTCTGGAGCCTTCAAAAACATTCGAAACAAATATTCGTTATTTAGGTGGACTTTTATCTGCTTATGATTTGAAAGGTGATAAAATCTTGTTAAATAAGGCAAAAGAATTGGCTGAGAATGTCATTATGCCCGCATTCAGAACAAGTAACGGTATCCCGTCTGCCTACGTCGATGTTGAACTGCAAGTAGATCTTATAAGAACCCAAAGAGAGAAAAATCAAAATTAACGCGTCTTCTTTTCTTTTCATATATATATATATATATCATTTTACAGTGGTGAGCCTGTGGGAGGAGAAGAGATTGTTTTGGCTGAATTTGGCTCGCTTCAATTGGAACTTGTACGTTTATCCCAACTTACTGGCGACCCAAAGTATGAAAATGTAGGCAATAGTATCCTTGAAAAAATCTCCAAGGTTCCTTCCAGAATCCCTGGCTTGTACCCCATGATTTGGAATTTGGACCCTTTCATGCCTGAAAATACCTACATCACCATCTCCGGAGGCTCAGATAGTTACTATGAGTACCTTTTAAAGACTCATATTCTGATGGAAGGCAAAGAAGAACTTCAATTGGATATGTGGAAAACCGCTGTGGGTAGTATGCACCGTTACCTACGTTCAGAGACGCACGGAGGTAAAGTATACCTTGCTGAATTTGAAGAGCATTACAAGTTGTTGCAGTCAGGTGAATTAGTCTGCTTTATGCCTGGTAACTTGCTGCTTGGTGGTCGTTATTTACAGAATAAGAAAGTGGAGGCCTTTGCGCTTGAATTGATGAACTCTTGTTATGATGTCTGGGATACACCAACTGGATTGGCTCCAGAGACATGGAGCTGGATAGATAAATCACAAAATATCTCATTTTATTCTGAAAAAATGCAGCTTACAATGAGTGAGGCTGGATTCCTATCGCAGGATACTGGATATGATTTAAGACCAGGTACATGAAAATTGTCAGGATATCATCAAGTACTAATTTTATGTCTTTTTCCCCGCAAAAAAAAAAAAAAAATAGAAACAATCGAAAGTTTATTCTATTTCTATCGTATTACCGGTGACAAAACATATCAGGTAAACTATAAATGTCTGTAATATTTATAATACAACTGACACGAATGAGAAATGTAGGACAAGGCTTGGAAGATATTTGAAGCGATTGAAAAGTATTGTAAAACAACTTCAGGTTATACTCGTATTGCTGATGTGACCAATCAGGAAGATGTCCAGCCATTAAATTTTGAAGAAAGGTTTGGATATAAACTAAAACGTAACATTTTCGATTTACTATATTTATTTAACTCTTCCCCTCCACACACACACACATTTTAGTTATTTCTTTGCTGAAACTTTGAAATACCTGTACTTGATGTTTACCGACCCAAGCTACATCTCACTGGATGAGTATGTATTCAATACCGAGGCTCATCCTTTCAAGCTTTCAACACCTATTCAAGTTCAAGCCAAAGAGTTCTCTTAAAAAAAAAAAGAGAGATCGAAAAGAGAGAGGTTGAACCCAAAATACCATTATAGAAATTGACATTTAATTTATCTCACACTATCCTCCTACATTTTTTTTATTTATATATATATTGATACGTCTTTGAATAATAAAAGAAATACTCCCATTTTAAAAATAATAAAAAAATTGCTCGTATTAAACAGGTACAATTGTAAGGAATGAAGAATTATACTTTGTTATAAACATTTTCTCTGCGGTATTTTATTTCAGGTATACAGTATCTTGGGGTTATTGTTATAAATTACATTGTCTGGTTAAAATAGGACAACAAGTTGGTACTACGAAGGCTCAACCATTCCTTTATGCCCAAGTTATTTGAAACATTAGTAGGCCCATTGACAGCACTTACAAAGTCAATATCGGTCGAGGTAGTGTTTGAATCCGCACTGCTTACTCCACCACCCGAGGAGGAGGAAGAACCGACACGAGCACACGACTTGTCCCAAGCAACATCTTCTGTAATCATAGCGGCAATCTGATCAATACGTGTTTCCAAGATTTCAAGATTGACAAGCTCTTTTGTGATATTCACAAGTAAATTTTCAAAATCTTGCTTGAATTGTGGTACTTGAAGCATTCTTGTCATCAAAGGACGGGTAGAGAATCCGGGGTACTCTGTGTAGTTTGCTCCATTCATCAATGTGACGTTGTACATGGTATGACCCATGGATAAATCAAAATCTTGGCCACTGAATAACAAGCGTTCATTTTCTAAGTCGTCGTACAAAATATAGTTATTAGCCATCGTGAAGTATGCATCTGAGTTGGAGATGACAATCTCAAGAGCCAGGCCGCGAAGAAAACTATCTGTATCCATCTTTTCTTGCCAGAGAGAAATAGCAGAGTCGTCTGATGTGGTGTTGGATTGTTCCGAGATAAATTTAGTCAAGTCCATGATACGTGTGTAGTTGGCTGTTCCTGTTGAAGGGTCTTCTTTAAGAGAATACTGACCGGCGCTATATAAGGTAACATTGTCCCCAAGATAAGATAAATCAGAAGTACTTGCACTGCTAACTAAATCTCCTCCCCCACCGCCGCCACCGCCCATCCCACCATCAGTTTGATTTTGTGGAGGAGAGCCACCATTTGTTTGATTTCCCATTGCACCAGTAGCTTGATGATCCATTGTGTTGGTAGTTTGATTGCCCATGACTTGACCACCACCCGTTGATTGACCTCCTGAAACATCTGTAACAAATAAAGTGCCTCGTACGTATTTCTTGGACCCAGCTGCAAACTCATTCTTGATCCATGGATTCTTGAGATTTTCTGAAAATCCGAAAAGTCCAAGTGGTTGGTCGTTTATGTAAAGACGCGCATAACTATATCTTGATGAAGGGATACCGATAGACTCAGCAATGTCGTATGCCAGCTCTTCTCGCATGTAGGAGGAATCGGTAGCCATTGATCTCAGTTTCAATTGACGGTAGTGGTACAGGTCGTCGTCCTTTTGAAGTTTTAGCTTGTAAGACAACTTTGCATAAGATCTTGTACTATGCCCCGAAATAGCCACTGAAATGTTTTGATAGCTTTTCACAGCGTTTGGGCTAAAAAGATGGGTTATTTTTGTTAGTACTTCTTTTTTTTTTATAATTTCATACACATTTATGAGTCTCTTTTTTTTTTTTACCTTATATACGTCATATTTAAGTAGATATCAATATCTTTACTTTCTTGATTGGCATGCATATAATCAATAGCTGTTTGGTTTCCGGTTAAATGGATAGTAGGAATTTCACCGTCGATATGAAGTTTAGATTCGATACGATCAATAATAGGAAGAGGTGGAAGTATTGTAGGAATTTTATCCAACGCCCAAGAGTTCCAAGATCTGCCATAGTATTCGTTTAATGTGTCTTCATTGGTACCATTACGAGCGAAGCTTTCGGTTTCAATGATGGTGGTGTTTTCCTTGAAAAGTAAAGCATACTTGTAGGTATCAGCCGCGGGAGCTTGACCGATATGAAGTAGAGCAGAGTCGTCGCTGACGGTACTTAAAGGGTATACCTGGCTATCAATAATAACACCCACTGTGGTGTTATTAGGGACCAAAGAGATCACATTGTAGGTGATGTTGGATGAGGCTATCACTGATGTCATAAAGACAGCAGGAAGAATACAAATGGCTAATAAACCGTGTTAGTAAATTGACTCAATGTTTTACCGATTTTTTTTTTTTTTTTTTTTTTTTTACCAGCAGATAATGTCAGCATTTGAAAGAATATCAGTTACTACGATATCAAGAAGAAACTATGGTCTTTATATATATACACTCATATGCATCCTAAATGTTTAATTGTTCACAATTCCACGGCAGTTAATTATTTTAATATCGGTATGAACAGTGATTCGTCCTTCCAATGAGTTGTTTTCGACTCCGAATGTGCCAAGTTAAAATGTACTACCTACTCATAGAACCCACTGAGTCGGATTTCTCTAGACTATACATAACGATGATGTAGTTTGGCTTGGCTTTTTTTCGTTTTTTTTTTATTATTATCTGGGAAATACAGATGGCGGAGTAGCAGACTCTTGTCAATAACAAAGGTCTGGACAATAGTATACTAAACACGATATAAAGCACTAAGTATGAACAGACAATTTTCATAGACGGTAGCTTTGTGCCGATTGAAGATATAATTGGACTTACAAAAGATAAAACTAAACATCGTTCTCAACAAAACAACAACTGCTGAGTTTTGATATCTCGGGTTTGGGACGCAAACTGTCAACCTGACTTTCATACCTGCAATTCATATATAGATGCGAATTCAACTTTGGTGACATTACACTCATAGAAAGTTTCTTTGTTACGGTTAGATACTGTTATGTGTCTCTGTATTTCAACGTAAAAGTAACTGTAATATCTTTCATAGCCCACTTTTTAACGCTATTGTGTAACTCGCAGAAAAACAAAACTGAGCTGTGTACCCATTTTGACACATGTACGATATCTTATTAGCTGATCCACCTGAAGTAGTATTAGAACTTGATCCCAAAATGAGAAATCAAAATCAAAATTTAAAGTATTCTATGTTAATACACTTGTTGTGCTATTAACACTTGTTGACAAGTTAACATTTAATTAGGCGGAAAAAATGTACATAGTAACGTACACTCCAAATTACTCTATAGGAAAATGCTTTGCCAAGTGATTTTGGGCTGGTTTGTAATGCGAGTGTGATCAAAAGTTTCTTTTTTTGTAGTTGAGCTGCATGAAGCAAAAAAAAAAAAAAAAAAAAAAAAAAAAAAAAAAAAAAAAAAAAAAAAAAAAAAAAAAAAAAAAAAAAAAGGGTTGACACATTTAAGCCTCGCAGTTGTCAATAAAATAAGCGATCGTATTAATGCATGCCTATACACCATAGATCAATCTCGCTTAAATGTTAATGGATAAAACTTTAACGCGGTACACGCTTTCAGTCTAAAGTACATATGCCAAGTTTTAATGCAACGAGAGCAATCAAATGACGAGGATATCGTGTGTTTGGGTCACGGTCACTTGTAATGTAACCAACTGTTGGTAATAGTATTTGAGTTTCGTGTCTGTAACACACTTCGGTTTCTATCGAGTAAGGATAACAGGAACGTGCCATATGTCTGCGCAGGTGATTGGGGCTTTTTGAAAAGGTGTGAGTGCTGTACTTTTTTTTTTGTTCAGGGCCACCATGTATATGATCTCCTAAAAAAAAAAAAAATTGCCACGGATTAAGCATATAGCTGATCTCTGTAACTTTTGTTGTATGTAAAATTTTACCGTTCTCTGGAGGTACAGAGATTCCACTTTTATTTTACACCATAATGTAATGAGTGATGAATTGGTTTTCCGGTCTAATAACTGTAAACATTCTTGATCTCAACTCTATTAAGCAATTTTGGGAGGTTTTGAAAGTTGGAGCTATAAAAAGTCAACTGAAAGACACAGGGGCACGCCTTTCAGAGTAAGATGCATTAAACAAGGGACGCTTATAACTTGATTTAACCAGAAACTGGTGAAGCTATGTGTAAAAACTGGTGAATTCCTTTCCTAGAAGAAGGTCAAATTGATTTCAAATCAACATTTTTAAGTAAGGGCAATTTAACCTCAAACATGTGGGCTATGATGATATTGACATCCGCTATATGTCTAAATATGGTAAATTGTTACAAAAACGAAATCTGCGGAATATGGTAAATAGCGCATCATTGGTAAAAAAATAAAAAATAAAAAAAAAGGGGAGGGGGGAGGCAAAATTATGGATCGTCTGTTTTATGTATCGATATCGACGAGGTATAGATATTATTTATGAGACAGATTACTGGTTGAAAAAGTCTAAAATATTAGCACTACGAAGAGCAAACCACTCCTTCACACCCAAGTTACTGTTAACATTTGTTGGGCCATTCACTGCAAGTAAAAAGTCCATTTCATTTATAAAGGAAGCAGCACCAACTGTCTTATCGGATTCATCAGTATTGGTTGCGTTGGCAGGTGCTTTGATCAATTTAGGTCCTCTTCTGATCTCTTTACCCATACGAGCGCAAGTCTTATCCCAGGCAACATCTTCAATGAGCATATCAGCAAGTTGATCAATACGATTTCCCAATACATCAAGATTGACAAGATCTTTTGTCATTTTTACAATCAACGCCTCAAACTCTTTCTTAAATTGGGGTACCTGAAGCATCTTGGGCATCAAGGGGCGAGTCATAAAGAAGGGAAATTCGGTGTAGTTACCACCATTCATCAAAGTATGATTAAATATCGTATGACCCAAAGATAAATCAAAATCTTGTCCTGTGAAGAAAATACGCTTGTGCTTCAAGTCATCATACAAGACATAATTGTTGGCCATGGTAAAATAACCATCAGCATTCGAAATAACAACTTCATGAGCTAAACCACGAAGGAAACTGTCGGTATCCATTTTTTCTTTCCAAAGAGGGACAACAGAATCGTCAACACCAGAGGCGGGTTGGTCATGAATAAATTGAATCATGTCCATGATACGGGTGTAGTTGGCTTGGCCCTTGGAAGGGTTTTCTCTGAGTGAATATTGACCAGCACTGTAACGAGAAACATCGTCTCCGAGATACGATAAATCAGAAATACAGTTACCAGGTCTACCAGGTCCTCCTCCTCCGCCACCAGGTCCTCCTTCATTACCGTTACCACCCGGTCCGCCGGGTCCTCCAGGTCCGCCAGGTCCTCCAGGCCCATCAAGGTGCTTAATCTCTCGACCACCAGATAAATCTGCAACATATAATGCACCTTGTTTAAACTTCTTTGATCCATTTGCAAATTCATTTCTGATCCAGGGATTTTTGAGCATCTCAGCTAGACCAAAAAGACCGATTGGTTGGTCGTTAATGTAAAGACGAGCAAAGCTGTAACCGGTTGCAGGAATACCAACGGATTCGGCAATACCATAAGCTAGTTCGTCTCTGATGTAGGATGCATCGGTAGCCAAGGATCGCAGCTTGAATCGACGGTATTTGAAAAGATTTTCACCTTTTGGGATATTCAATTTGTAGGATAATTTAGAAAGAGAACGTGTGCTATGTCCGGAGATTCCGATTGTAATATTGTGAAAGCTCTTTACAACATTAGGACTATACGGATTTAAAAGGTAAGTATTTTGGGTTTCCATGTGACGAATGGTATGTATTACCTGATGTAGGTCATTTTCAGATGAACGTCGATATCGGTTCGTTGATTGGCATGCATATAGTCAATTTCTGTTTGATTACCAATAAAGTGAATGGTAGGGATCTCGCCAGCGATATGAAGATCGGTTTTGAGGCGGTTAACAATTGGAAGAGGTGGAAGAATAGCAGGTATCTTATCAATTTTGCGGGAGTTCCATGACCTGCCGTAGTATTCATTCAATGTGTTTTCTTTGGAGCCCTTACGGGTAAAATTTTCGGTTTCGATAATTGAATTATCGTCCTTAAGAAGCAGTACATATTGATAAGATGTAGATGCAGGGGCTTCACCCGAGTGCAGTAAATGTGAGTCCTCACTAATTGTCGTTAAAGGGTAGATTTGGTTATCTACAATGACACCAACAGTTGTGTTACTAGGAACTAATGATACAACATTATAAGTAATATTTGGTGAGGCAACAATAGCTGCTGAGAAGAAAGTCTGGAAAAGACTGATAGCTATGAATAAGTGTATAGTCAGTATAAATGCTAGCTTAACTTTTTTTTTTTTTTTTTTTTTTTTATTATTACCTTTTGATACCAGCATTTTTAAATGAGAACAATTAAAAAGAAATTTGAAAATTTATCGAAAAAGAAAAATTAAAATACATCTTCCTATTTGTACTACCAAGTGATTCGGTTGTTAAATGTATACGAATGATACAAAAGTTAATCTTGATTCGTCAGTTATCTGATTGTTTCTTTATTTGGAAAACAATATGTAGGCCAATCATTTATTACTCAAGCTGAGGACTGTTGTAACGAGATCTACTTTATCTTCAGGACTAATAAATATCAATAGCCGTAGCTTTCCTAATTACACGGAATTACTATCAGCGCTTGAGTAGATACAATTAACTTTTAAAACGATTTATAGTAGAGACACTTTTTTTTTATTAATATGCGATGTTTTACTTAAAATATTTTTATATACCGTCACTGTAATACATAGTATCACCCACATGATTACTATCTCGTATTTTCTTCATCCTCTCACTAACCGCCACTAATACTGAGAGGATATTAAACAAATATCATATTCAATAACCGTCAGAATCGCCTCACAGCAGAACCTTTAAAACTGAGCTAATAATAATGTGAAACAAAAAGTGATGAAATTACATATTAAATACCAATCCTAAAAAACTTTCAACTATAATGTCTTTAGTAAGAAGCGAACAAACGAGTTATAAATCATAAAATCTAGTACTGTAAGAAATCTTTAATAACAGAATATTATAAGCAGCGAATCCTGACATACCAATCGACTATAATATGTATAATGACGAAATTGATCATTTCAGGTTAAAATGAAGAAGATGAAGTGGAGACAAACAAGAAGAATATACCAAGTTGTATAGGAGTTGTTAATAGAAAGCTCATTTAGGTGTATAACCCGAACCAATTGGGTTGGCATGCTTTAATATACTCTGCGCGCCAAAGTTTCACGTAATAAAAGGGTAACATATTGCCAAATAGTGAGTCGGTAAGTTGTTCTTTTCATTATGACACTGGGCACCTAGCTAGCTTTAGCAGCAAAGCAGTTTTTCAGAAACAAAAATATAAGACAGATAATATTTAGGGGACGCTCTTCGATTTGCAATGTCATTTCCAATATGTTACCCTCTCTGTGTTCACAACATTTCCCTTCGTTTCAGGTTTGCTTCGAACTTGTATAGCTTATACTTGTATGACATTTAATCGGGAAAAGCATCAGATTCTTCTTTTTGCCAGAAGCTAAATTTAATTTTATTGGCTTATTTTTGCTTCAATCAAGATAATAACCTACATAAATGCCAAGTAATAAGGTTATAAAAGAAATTAAGTAGCATCAATATCATTTAATACCCATTTGTGGGAGCCAATTTTGACATGCGGGACTGCAAATCGTGTAGACGGGTGGCTTTTTTGAATTTTTCGATTCAAGTTCAGTTGAGAACAAGGACTCATCGAAGAACCAGGAAAAAAAAAATTGCTTTAACATAATTCAATAAATATGGTTTTGCAAGTTACCACTGCCAATAACGTAAAAGTATATACCGTTTCAGGTGGTCTTGGTTCAAGATCTATTCCCGATTGGCTCGTACGTCAAAAGAAGAAGGCCTTAAAGAAGGATTTCGGTACACTTATATAATTAACTTTTTCCTAAACTTTTGCTAATTTTCCACCTAGATTTCCGTACAAGAGTCGAACTTATTCAGGATTTTGAGTTTCCCGAAGCTTCTAATCGTCTCAAAACAACAAGAGATGGTAAATTTGTTGTCGCTACTGGTACTTACAAACCTCAAATGAGAGTTTTTGAGTTTGCTGACATGTCAATGAAGTTTGAGCGTCACACCGATGCCGAGACTCTTAATTTCGAGGTAGGGTTTCTTAAGCCGAGTAGAATACTAAATTAGCTGCTTACAATTTAGAATAGATTTTATCCGATGACTGGACTAAACAAGCACTTTTACAAAACGATCGTTCCGTCGAACTTCATTCTCAAGGCGGTATTCATTATCGTACTCGTATTCCCAAGTTTGGCCGAGATCTCGCTTACCATTTTCCTTCTTGTGATCTCATGGTTAGTGGATCTGGTTCCGAAGTTTATCGTTTGAATTTAGATCAAGGACGATTCTTGAATTCGATCCAAACTGATTCCGAAGAAGGTGTTAACTGCATTGAGATTAACCCTGCCCATCAATTGTTTGGTATGGGTACAGCTAAGGGTACAGTGGAATTATGGGATCCTAGATCCAAATCTCGTGTAGGTCTTTTATCTCAATTAGACGTACCCGCACAATTTGGTAGAGATGATAATACAGCTTTGGAAGTATCTGCATTGAAGTTCCGTGATGATGGTCTTACTATGGGTGTAGGTACCACTACAGGTCATACATTATTATACGATTTACGTTCTACTGTTCCTACTCTTGTTAAAGATCATCAATATGGTTTCCCTATCAAGACCATTCATTTCCATAAGGGCTCTCCTGGAGCCAATGATTCAGAAACTGGTGGTGATAAGGTTATCGTTGCAGATTGTAAGATTGTCAAGATTTGGGATCGTGCAAGTGGCAAACATTTCACATCCATTGAACCCGAAACAGATATCAATGACGTGACAACAGTGGATGATAGCGGTTTGATTTTCACCGCCAATGAAGGTATCCAAATGGGTTCTTACTTCATTCCTCAATTGGGCCCTGCCCCTCGCTGGGCATCCTTCTTGGAAAATCTTACAGAAGAGATGGAAGAAAACCCCAACCGCGATATCTACGACGAATACAAATTTATCACTCGCAAAGAACTTACAGCACTTGGTTTGGAACATCTTATGGGTACCAATGTACTCAAGGCTTATATGCATGGTTTCTTTGTCGATTTACGTTTGTATGAAAAGGCTAGATTGATTGCCAATCCTTTCGCCTATGATGAATACCGTGATCGTGCTGTCAAGGATAAGATTGAGAAGGAACGTGGTTCTCGTATCCGTGCTGTTAAACAATTGCCTAGTGTCAACAAGGCACTTGCTAAACAACTTATGGCCGAGAAATCCAGTGGTGCTAAGAAGGGTGATGTTATGGGCGACAACCGTTTCGCCGATCTCTTTGAAGATCCCGACTTCCAAGTTGATGAAAGATCAAAGGAATTCCAATTGTTACATCCTTCAGTCAAGCATAAAAATCATCGTGATGACGAAGACGAGTCTGAAGAAGAGATTGTACAAGAAGCTACACCAATGGATGAAGATATGGGCAGTGGATCGGAAAGTGAAGACGATATTGTTACAAAGATTCGTAAGGGTAGAGGATTAGAAGTACGTGATAGAAAGCAAACGTCAACATCTATTCGTACTGGAGGACAAAAGAAGCGTGGGCCTGAGATGCGTATGGGCACAGCTGGTGGTAGAATGACTGGTAAGAGTGATACTAAGAAATCATTCGGATCAAGATTAGAAACGCAAGACAGCCGTCGTAAGAATGAGGGCCATAAGATGTCTCGTACTGCTATGGGTGGTATGGAAATGTCTTTCACACCTCAATCTGGAAAAAGTAAAAACAAGAAAGATCAAGGTGGCGATAACAAGGACAAGTACAAGAATAAGCGTCGTGCATAATTTTGTTCTCAATTTATTATTTTTATTTTCAATTATTCATTTCCCATTTTTCACCTAGACTTACCCTTTTCAACACCCACACACACACACACACACACACTTTCTCGCCGTTTTTTCTTCAATTATATCATTTCCCTGTATTATTTTTTTATAACATTTTCTTTTTTTTTTTTTTAACTTTTTGAATATAAACCGTGACTTGCTTGTACATTTTTTTTTTAAACTTTTTCTCTCTTTTGCTAATATGAATTTTCAAGAACAGGTACTAAATAAAGTCTATTAAACCATGTCTTCTGTTCATCTAAAACCATACAGTTAAATGATATAAAATCAAAATCAGTCAACTTTCCTCCATCCAACATTTTGTTATCCCAAAAAATCTATTCCGACCTTGTGCTTGCTAAAAAGTGGAAAAATGTTGAATACAAACCAGTAAATGGATTGGAAATTTGCGTATTTTTAGCAAATGAACCCGAGCTTTCCACACCATCCATCCATAAATTGATCATTCTGCCTATATTTCAGGATACAGAACAACTGTCGTTAAAGCGGTATGCCAAATGAATTTATTTTTAATCTATTTTACTAACTTTAATTGATGAAGCATTTCAAACATATTCGAAGTGTTATCTACAAGTCAAGTTATTGATACTCCAATTGAGTAAGTTATAATAAAAATGGGTTTTATTTGATGTATTAAATTCTTTGCTTAGGAAGTTCACAATTGCCATTTATTCTACAGATTCCACAATCGTGTACTATCACATAAGCAAAGGATTGATCAAAGCAACACAGCGTAATAAATAACTCCTCTTTTTCAAATAAGTTTTCCCGTTCTTTTTACAGTTTTTGATAAGGCAATAAGACTAATTAAGGTGATAAATATGTTAGAAGACCCAACTTCCTTCAGAGCCTTGTATGTATATTGTGAGCCTGTGTGTTTCCAATAGGCATCAAAATGAGCCCATGTCTGACCAATCGCTGAAAGTGTTAATACTAATAAAGCCGATCTTTCCGTTGATTGTCGTCTGTCCTTTAAAGCCAAGGCCGATGCCACACCCAATGCTAAGTGAAGCACACCAAGTGATCTAAAAGAGTCGGTTGCGATAGCTGTTGTTTGTTCGATTTGATATCTTAATGGAGAGGATGATGTTGATAATGTAGGCGGTATGAATACATAACGAACTACAGTCTTAGATGGTTTCAAAATAAGCGATCTTGCGGCAATAAGATGGTAAACAACATTTATAAGTAAAGGCAAATTGTTATCCTTGAATATGAAGCGTAAACTTGTTTTTGCAAAATATCTGGCGTGTCCCACAATAAATGCCCAGGTCGGTGGTGCTTTATCCGTTGTATTATCCATGATGGGCAAAGGTTTTAAAATGGCTGGAGTCTTCTCTCCCTCAATTGGCTCTTTTCGTGTTAATGGAGGTGAATCAATTATAGATTTCGGTAACGATGGTGGGGAGGAACTGTCTGAGCTATCACTCGTCTGCGATTGTGATAAATTGGATATCATGGAAGCTGTAGACATGTCCAAAGATTCAGACATTTCATAAAATGAAGAAAAAAAAAGATTTACAGTTTTTTTTTTTATCTTTGTTTGTCTCTTCAGGGTGGGAACTAGGATATTTTCACATGTAATTTGGTAAGGTATTTTATCCCCAATTGAGTAAATATCCACCCAATCATATGTCTTCACTGTACATAACATTTAAATGTTTATTTCGTTTTTATTAGAATCAAATAAATCAACTGTTCACGAAGACAAGAATATTAATCAAGATGGGAAAAACCATCAAAATCTTGAAACATGTCCGATCGTGGGTTGCTCTCTCTGCCGTACAATCCCCCTCAACCGTTGGTTTTTTATTTGGTTAAAAAGGAAATATTCCCCCACAAGGAGGGAAACAGATTGTAAAGAAGTCCTGCTTCGAGCAAATTTTATGGACTGGCTCGGCTTGAAATGACTGCTAAACTTGTGGTTGGGTTTTTTTTATTTTTTCAAAAAAAAAAACCATTAATAACTGCTTAAAAAGCAACTTAATGATCATTATAAGAAAGATTCCAAGTCGATTATGTAAAGACATAAGTATCAATTGTTTTTTCTCCGTTAATTAACCGGCTAGCAACGTCTGTATCTTACTTCATTTTACACTACTATCAAAGCTTTGATAACTCGAATGTTATCATGTAGCCATTTTGTGTTTAGTTAGATGCTTCAACAGCATGTAAATGTTGGTTCCTGTTGATTTTCATTGAGATTATGTGTGAAGTACATTAACAATGTACATAGTAATTTATGTAATTTGGCGGTTGTTCAAGTGTTGCGCACTGACTCCGGCATGTTAAACCCAGTCCACATTTACAGGATCTATTAAGACAGCTTAGCCAATATTGCTCTTAATAGTTTCAATATGTTTAAATCTTCAATTTAAGAGACATGAGAACAATATCTCGTTACATCAACTCTGATACAAATAAACTTTGTTACTCACAAAAATTTAACAAATGACAATAAATTCTACGATAAGCAGGATTTTACGGGATCAAATGCAGGATAGAAAAAAACTAATAAGTAAATTGCGCGCTGTATTATGAGGTGAAAAAAATAGAAGGGTTCTTATTCATCAGATCGTCAAGTGTAAAAACTTTTCATTTAATGTCTAGCGGTAAGTTAAGCCAATCAGAAACGCTTACTATTAGAGGATGATGATGATTTAATTGGATGAACACAAAAAAAAAACCTTATAAAATACATTTAATTTCTCGTACCTGTTGAGCCCTCTCTCTTTTCCTTGTAGGTTGCAATGGCAAACAATAAAATTGTAAATCACAATTACTCTAAGCGTTCTGAACCCAATGGTGGTTTTAAAACATTGGAAGCATTTTATCCTTTTTATTTGGGCGAGCATTGTAATACGATCAATAGAAGACTTCACATTTTAGGTACGTTATTGCGTATTTGTTTATATATTTATTGTTCTCACACCGCTAACACAGGAACTTCAATTTCGCTCATCATATTCTTAATGGCTATTATCAAATCTCGACCAAAGTTATTGGCAACTGGATTAATTCAAGGTTACACCTTTGCCTGGGTTGGGCATTTCTTTTTTGAGAAAAAGTGAGATCATACTTTGCCAACAGCCAAATAACCAAACTAACCAGCCTTCCTATTTAATTATATATTTATACTTTTTATAGTAAACCAGCTACATTTAGATACCCTGTATGGTCGTTTATTTGTGATTTAAAAATGTGGCACGAAGTAATTACTCAAAAGCGAGCACTTTAAACAAATAAAAACTAGGCCTAGTTACCAAGCAATCGCCGATTTCAACATTCTGTCCTATTTTTTTTAAAAAACATACAGTATATGGTGAACTATGATGAATTTTTTTTCACCAGGAAAGAACTTGCCAAAATAAGGCAAAAAAACGGTTAGAAATACAAATTACGCTGAAAATGTAAAGGGGGGTGTCCAGGCCCACATTTATGACTACAGAGGCCAACCATCCATTTTTATTAGCATGATTTATATGCATCAATTGTAGAGGTGTTGCATCTATATATTACTAAAATTGTGTGTTATATGTATGATGGAATACATGCGTTTGGACGCTTTGATTTATTCGATGATGCAAGATGGTTGTTATGATGTGGTACTCCTCGCTCTGATTATATCTGATGAAAATCTACCCACACAAGAAATCGAAACGCTCAATTCGGACTTTGACTCGTGGACATGAGTTTAATTGCAAGAATTATATATTTTGGAACCATCGGTTTATATCACTATATTTATTTATTATTATTCATTATAGTTTGGGAATTATAAATGGGTCGAATATTTATATATAGGTATACCGAGAACTGCAATAAAAAGATAGATGGTGTACTATTTTCATGATTTGGTCATACGTATCGTGTCATACTTTTTGTAAGGTTACAGACTGCATGAATTGCATAACATGTGCTCAAACTCCTTCACTCTTACTATCTACGTAGTTTAACCCTATTCCCTACCAGGTTATAAATTTACTATTGTTAAGACAAAAAAAAAAGAAAAACAAGCAGAAAAATAATACATATTAACAAATACAGATCTGAACTGATGTTTTCCCTTTTTTTTTTTTCATTTGTGTGTATATAAATTATGCAAACTGTCCATTTTCCTTCTTTCTTTTTATTCTCTCTCTAAAACTTTGAACTTTTTTAATGAGTGTATTAAGACAGCAAGAAAGCCACTTTTCATCTTCTATTCATGGCATACAATCAATAGCTAATGGCGACGAGCCTATTGCCACTTACTTATCACAGCTAAATGAAGCGTCAAAAAGAACCACATTAGAAGGCACAATATCTACGGGTTACAATCATAGCACCACAACTGTCCAAAAAAGAAAAAGCGTCGGTGGTGTCATCGATAAACTAATTAGTAAGTGATGCATAAATATATAAAAGCTTATTTCTGATATTAATCACTTGCTATTAGAAATGATTTTTAATAATAAAAAGAAGCACACTGAAAATAGAGATTCAATGATAATTTCGTGGCCATATGATGCTATACATAAGACACACATTCATTTTAACAATGATACGGGCGAAATGACACTTGGAAAAGCTCCAGACTGGGAAATATGTAATGCAAATGCATAAAGAAATAATAGTACGTAACTAAATATATATTTTTTATTTGTAGCTGGATTAGGTTGCAAACAGCAAGATATATTACTATCTTCTTTCATTAAGCGTGTCTATGCCGAAATCAAAAAAAGTGATGATCCTGACGAAAGAGATAATTCACCAGGCGAACCTTCTTGTAGAGAAGTAGCACAAGTCCGTCAAAGAGTTCCTAAAAAAGCTATGACTACACCTGAAGCCATTGTGGAATTAAAGAAGCTTTGCAAAGAATACGACCCTTGTTTGATTTATACGGATATGGTAAAAGTTGGAGAAGGGTAAAGTTTCAAAATTAACTACGCTCCCTTTTTACATAAAAACTTATCTCCTTATCATAGAGCATCTGGGTCTGTTTATAAAGCCAGGAAAAAGTGTGACGGAGAGCAAGTTGAAGAAGACGTACCGGTTGCAATTAAACAAATACATCTCAGACGCCAGGTCAGAAAAGATTTAATTGTAGATGAAGTTAGAATGGGCAAAGATAATCAATCACATAAAAACATGGTTCAACATGTTGAGTCGTATATTTGGAAAAATGATGTTTGGATTGTCATGGAGTATATGGAAGGTGGTAGCTTAACAGATATAGTCACACAGATATTTATGGCCGAAAGAGAAATTGCAACCGTTTGTCTTGAAGTATTAACAGGTCTCGAATATCTCCATTCAAAAGGAATCATTCACAGAGATATCAAGAGTGATAACATCTTGATTGGAATGCAAGGACAAGTCAAACTTTGTAAGTCACTAACCCATTATAATAAGTCTTTATCTAAAGTTATCTTCTTGTAGCTGATTTTGGTTACTGTGCTCAGGTTGATAAACGCCAATCTAAACGTACAACACTTGCTGGTACTCCTTGCTGGGTAATATTACAAGTTAATCATTTGGTAGAATAGCAATTAATTTCTCTCTTTCTTAATTAGATGGCACCAGAAATAGTTTTAAGAAAAGAATATGGACCAAGTGTAGACATATGGTCCCTTGGTATTACAGCTATAGAGATGGTAGAAGGAAGTCCACCCCATCTTGAGAACCCTGAACATGCGATTCGAATGCTAACAACACAAAACGTTTCTCCCACTTTAAAGGATCCAGATCAGTTGTCACTACACTTTCGTGATTTTTTGGGAAAATGTTTACAATTTAATGCCGAAAATCGACCAACCGCTACCGAGTTATTACAACACCCTTTCTTGACGAGAGCAGCACCTCAAAGTTCGCTTCTACCGCTGATTGAGTCAGCTAAAAAGAGTGCTGCTTTGGATGAATTTTCCTAAGTTAATTATTTATTTTTTATGTATTATGTATATTTTATAAACCCATATTCGATTTTTTCTTTTCTTTTTGTGCACGCGTGCAAAATATAAAGATGAAAAAGATGATTATAATTTTATTTTTTTAAAATAACAGGGAGGGAATTGGTTTATAGAAAAATATCTACATAATATAAATACATGTGCTTGTTCTTTATTCCTCCTGTTTGATCTTTTGACGTTGTTCTTTGACGGCATTTGTCACTTGTTCTAAATTGCTTTCTGCTTTCAAAATCATTTGACTTAATTCAGCCATGTGTCTGTCAAGCTTATCCTTGGCAGCCTTAGAAGATTGAATAGCCGAGTCCCAGATGACCTCTTGCTCTGCTGAGTCACTTGCTGGATGCATTACTCTTTCTTTAACCGGAGATGACTTATCGGGATCAACACGTCCAAGCCAATCCCATAGATCTTCTTCTTCTTGGCGATTGTATTCACGGCGATAAGGTTGATTCGCTTCAGGTGGATATTGAATCGCGGCAACATCGGCCTCTTCTATGTAATCCGAGGCATGATTTAGACTATTAAGTTGTTGTTCTACAAAGGCCATCTTTTTCGCAATAAATACATTGATACACACCATCGCAACCAGACATAATAACGTCAAATGGGATGAGGTAGGTGAGCGGACTATATCAATAAAACCTGTAATTGCATCGGCCAGCATATTAGAAAATGACCCCAAAACTCGGTGTACAGCATCCACTTGTTCCTCTTTCACTTCTTTCACTTCATGCTTAGATGAACTTCGGTGGTGTCTAGACTTTCTTCCCTTCTTTTTTCTTTTACCATCGTGTCGATTGCCCTGGTTTTCTTCATTTTCTTTCAAATAAGCACGTAGTGCAACGTCAAGGTCTTTATAATACGTTTGCTGGCCATCAATACTAGCTTTTTCAATAGTAGCTATAAAAAGATACAACATTGAGTTAAAAACAAAACACAGAGCAGTAATCATCCAAACTTACATTTTAGCCATGAAGATTTAGTGAAATCAACCAAGACAGTGACCAGAATTCTTACTTTTCCTTTACCAGACCAGGTAAGACAAGTTCTTGTTTTACAGGTAAACGACCCACCAGAAGGGACATCTGGTGTAGCTGTCGTAGTCATAACCGTGATATATTTATCAAAATCTTTATAAAGCACCTCTTCTGTTATTATACATTTGGTCGACTTCGGACCAATAGATCCATTCAGCTGTTTGATATAAGAGGACTCTCTAACTAATTCCACGTTTCCTTCACCATTCTTCCAATCGCCAATAGTCAGTTCTAAAACGTGTGCGTGTGAATTGCAATTTTACATAAAACAATGTATGTCATACATATACATCAACTAATATGTATATATTTTACCTGTGCTTTTTTGGTTTTCTACTAAGAACTTCTTCATAAATCCACTATGATACAGTAAGTTATATAAACTTTCTAATGATCCGCTATAGACTTGATCCATGACAGTTGTTTGGAAATGGTCAGGGGTACAGTCACAATCCGTAGTATCATGCAATTGAGGTTTTTCGACTGGTTTATCGGATACATCGCCCGATGTCTTGTCGACTGCTTGGGTAGCAGACTTTTGTGTGGTATTGTCATTTGTTGGTTTGCTCTCTGTTTGAAAAGTTGGTTTCGGCACTTCTGACATGGCTCTACGTCGAGCAGCAGCATCCATGCTTCGCGTATTTTTTGCTGCAGGTAAGGAAGTTAATGATTCTTGTCTTGAGCGGTTTAAGGAAGTCGTCGAGTCTAAAAAAAAAGAATATTAATTTAGTATAAATGGATACCAGCTGCATAGCTATAGTTAGTACCTTTAGTTGCTACTTCTGAATTTCCTGAATCGGAACCGCTAAAGGAATCTTCTGTATCGCTATCATAATATGAGTCGCTATCTTCTTCTGAAGAAGGACTGACTTCATCCGTACACTCAATGCTTTCAGCATCTTTACAAGGTATAAGGTCAGGTCTTGCGGTTCTCCAAAGATCTACCATTAAATCGTGGGCTTGGTCACGCGACAAAAAGGAAGCGAAAAAATGCTATCGGAACAAAAATGAGTTAATTACAGAAAAGTGGATTGGGTCGTTGTATTTTTTTTTTACCTTTGCATTATCCGTAGAAACCTGAATTGCATTAGGAATAAAATAGGCCGTTGATTTCTTTTCAATGTCAATTATATCAGCAAAAGCAATGACAAGCTAATAATTAATAAATTTAAGTATGAATATAAATATAAAAATGCTTGTTATATACAAGTTACGTTAGTGACCCAACCAAAAATGTTGGCGTTAAAGCACAGATAATTTTCAGACACGTAAATACGGCCTTGAAGCAAAATTTCTTTTTGTAATGCACAACCAAAATCTAGTGTAAAACAAAACAAAACAAAACCGAGACTTAATTTTTTTTTTTTTTTTTTTTTTTTTTTGGGTGTCAGATATTTATAATTACCTTCAATTAGGCAATCGTCTTCTGGCACGCTTCTAAATAGGGCATGGAAGTCTTGGTTTCTTTTAGTGTTTGCTAATGAAGAGCTAGCAACACTGGGAGGAGCACTTGCAACAGCTTCAAACGAATTTCGCTCGGTTTCTTCAGACGAATGCCGAGATTTTATCTTGTTTGATAAATGTTGCATGGTGGAGCTTTCCTTAAACTCATTGATTAGGTTGGAAGTAATACTCGAAGCTCTTGATCGAGATTTGCTTTTGGGTTTGGGCGAGTCAAGTAATGTACCGGCAGGTGCTGTGGAAGAAGATTGTGGCAAAGGACCTGGTGGAGGAGGACTAGCGTTATCAGAGTTGGGTGAGGCTGGTCTGCTACTATTGTTTGACTTATCATTAAAGAATTTAAAATTTTTGGATGGTTCTACAGGTGTGGGTTCAGACACACAAATTGGTGGAGGCAAGCCTGGCGAGCCTTCGGAATTTCTTCGAACAAAGGTGGGTCGACTAATTTCAATATCTAAAGCAGGTGGTCGTCCACCTGATACTGTATTTGAATGGGATCGACGCTTGGTATCATTCACTTGTAGAGAATTGTTATTCATTATTTCTGGGGGGAAAAGAAAAAAAAAGTGTATTGAGAGAAAAAGAAGGACACTTCTGGTGTAATGAACACATTTATTATTATTATTTTCTCAGAATTACCCCATTTGGATGTGTTCACAAGAAAATACTTTGTCATTTTGGCTCCGCATGAAACTAACAACACTTTTGGGCATATTCAGAGTCATGTCTCAACGTTCTGCAGGCAAACATAAAGTTCAACGTATTATTTTTTTTATTCAGTAAAATCATCATGATGTAATCTGAGCAACCAGAGTTTCAATTGGGTGAAATATAATATGGCTATATGGCAAAACTATTTATCCTGTCAATTTAAAGTTTTTTTTGATTGATCTCATCAATCACTTTTTGAAAGACATCTGCTGGCGCAGTGGTAAACATGGTTGATGGATAAATATAACTATACCATGTTGGATGTAATAAAATATGACAACAACCAACATTTTGAACATCAAATCTTGGGGCAAGCATGTGTGTGCCTTGGACATCAGGATATGGACTTGGCCCACTTTCACCAAAGACCTGTTTATAACTTTATAAGTCTTCATCGTCTATTTAATATCGATACTTAATACTTACAGGGAATCCAGATGCTGGATCCATTATTTCTGCCCACATTCCAATTGATTTAATACGGTCTACTACTAGTTTACCCCATTCGACAAACTATAGTTTTGTAAGTTATACTATATGATCAAGGCCAAATTGTGCTTATATATTACCAATTCCAGTTTGACGTCTCTTTCTTTATTGACAACTTCAGAAAATCCTACCATATCATTCACACACTTCTGAACTACGGGTATAACTAGTAGCTGCTCTCGCGTTTTAGCACTGAGACTAGGAAAGATAGTGTCGAAATCCTTTAGGAATCGCGATGAAGGTTTGTAGACGGAGTATTCAAAGGTAGAATCCTTGAATTGAAACAGGGCAGGTGCTATCATGCAAGTTGAAAGCTTTGACTTTTCTACGCCTGGCTGTACAATTTCCGAGGTTTGACTGATTCCGGTCACCATGATGTCAAAAACAGCTTTTAAGGATGAAAGGAGAATAAAAAAAGGGGGGACTCACACGACATATATAAAGCGGGGTGTATGTAGAATACAACTAATTTTTAGAGTCACGGAAATGGGGTTCGCGTTTTCCACGAAATAAAAATTTCTCTTTTTTCTTCCACCATTGTATCGATACTGTAAACCACTAAAATGACCACATTCATTGTTGAGTTACGTATTTTACTCGACCAAGTATGCGATGCCAGACAGGACGATTCAATGGCTGCCGTTATGGCTTTGGAAGACAGTTTAAACATGAAAAAAGAACGCATGATCAACCTTCTAGACGATGCACCCCAAAACGCTGAGCATCGAACTTTATTAAAGTCAGGTAAATAATAAACAACACCTGTCAGCTAGTTTCAAGTCCATATTAACCTTCATTACAGGCAAACCAGTCATTAACGGAAAGGAATTCAGAGTCAATGAAGACTTTATCAAACAAGCAATATTCCTTTCTGATCAATTAAACCTGGATGAGTATGAAGCCGCAAGGTTATTACTTGAAGGTATTAGTGAATCTTCGAATGTCAACTCTACGCCTTTAGACACCGCAGTATACATGTACCATTCCGAAAGAGGACATGTCTTGGCTATTTTAAACGTTTTATTGGAAGCAATTAAGGACTCTTCATTCAATACCAATGTTCGCGGTGTCTTTTCTAACTTCATTGGAGGCATTGTGTCAGAAAAACCAGCCAACGGTAGCTTTGTTGAAAGGGTTGTCAAATCAACAAGAGATTTATCAGTCAAGATAAGTGAAATCACAAAACTTGGCATGCTGGAATCTGCTCACGACATATATAAGAGACAAAAGCAACTTGAAGACCTGCACCATCAACATCACAATCAGCCTTTTTCAGAAGTAAAGCACTTTCCTTCTGAGCTGCTGCATCTCTTACCAGAAACCACCAAGTTGCGTATCGATCGATTAAACGAAGAGCGTATCTCTCTTGCCCAAATTTTATATCATATTGCATCTCTTCATTGGCTGCCTGAAAACGATTTGGTTGTAATGTTGACAAAGGTACAATCCATCAATTTGGCTGATGGTATTGCGCCTTATATCTTGACCGCCTTTCTCGCTGCCATCTCCTTTGATTGCTCATACCCGAGTGGACGCCAGGGAATCGAATTTTCAGCAAACGACGCATTTCTCAAGAAAATGCATGATCAGATCACCGGAAATAATTGGAGAGTAAACACATTAAAGACAGTCGTTCAAATCCAATGGGCTTTATTCATCAACATCATCTCACACAGTAGACCTTCTGTTGACAAAGAGCTTTCATTCGATAAGGAACAAAGACTGCGACTTGTCAAATCTGCCATCGCTTTAGATGCATTTGGATTTATGAACAATTACCTTTTATATTTCAAGCAGGAAAAACCAGAGGATGAAAAGAAGAAGATAGAGACGGATGATGTCGACATGGATACCGCTATGATACTGGATGGGTTAATTGTGGACCCTGACGATTATACTAAATTTGATGTCTTTATCAGCAAAGATTTTCAAATTTTTGTTGTTCATGAGATGGAATATTTAACACAATCTTTCATCCTCAACATGTCTGAAATTTTCCAGGCTATCAAGTCCGACGTTGTCGATAGAGAGATCAGTGCTGAAAAAAAGGAAGAGATCAACAATAGTTTGACAAAGTTTTTAACTTTACTTGCTAGTATCTATAGAGATCGTATGGATGCTGGATTAAAGTTTTGGAATAGCACCAATAATGCCCTTTACAGATTTTTGGGTTTTCTTGTTGATTACAGGTTACCACAAAGTCTCGCGGCTACATTTGATTTCTTCGGCGCCATCTCTACAGGCATTGAAAGTGCAACCAATTCTCACACAATGCTCAAGATTGGAACAAACAAACAGGATATTTCTAATAGCAACTTATTCTCTTGGGGAAAGCTTTTCGCTACAATCCAATTCTTCACTAACTTAATTCGTGAGAACTCCGCAGATGGGCAACCACCCGCATTTCCACCAGAAGAGGAGGACTCCCTATGCAAGTTTTTATATCTTTGTCAGCAAGTGGTACAATATTCCGTGGAAGCTAGGCTAGAAATTTGGTCCGACCCACTTCTTCGCGCACATGAAAGTATTGTATTAATGATTAGCTGTCAAACTTCACATCGTCTTCGTGCCAGTCTATATAACCTCTTGACAGCATTCTGTTCAAACTGGGGTGGTGGAATCAATGATGTAGGAAGGGACATCGCTCTCGAAGTTTGGAAAACTTTGGAACATTCTGACATGATCATTCCTGACAAGGTTATGGTTACCAAACCAACAAAAGTTGTTGCCACCTCATCTAACAACTCTCAGGCACCACAAAACACCTTGTTCAAATGGTATAACGCAGAGCAACCAAAAATACCCACCGTAGTAGATACACCAAAGCCATCACATCAACTCTACTTGCCAGAAAAACCTCCCGGAATTTTACGTGAATTTGAAGAAGGAAAAACCATGAAATCGTATACAGAGACACTTGCGGTGTTAAAATTGGTGTCTTCATTAATTCACACACCTAGTAAACGAGACAAATTGATTGCTGGATTTTCTTCTATCAGCACATCCATTCCCAATCTCTTAGGTTCTGATAATAACCGTTCACCCGGTACTGCACCTTATATCTCTCTTGTAGTAGACCACATTTTCTTGAATATCAAGAATTTGAAATTTTCTCATCCTGATGTTCGCTGGCAACTGACCGAATCTTGTTTAACCATTGTTGAAAATAGTCTTATGGCATTCGACATCGAACCTCTTACGGATTATATCAAGTACAACACGCCTGCCAACGAAATTTCACATATGAATTTTCTTAGTGCTTTAAAAGGTATAAATGCAGAATCAGATAAATCCTACACCTCACACATTCGATCTGCTTTATTGGCATTTATTACTTTGCCTGGTTATGATATTCTTCTGCGTATTCTCTCGGGTGGTGCATTGATTCATGAGATTTTCAAGATCGTAGAATTGGGCAAAGATGCCGTTACAAAAACCAAGAACGAAAAGAACGATTATTTTACAAGATCGATGACTCGTTGTTTGCGTATTTTTTCAAGGGTGTTCAAAATTCAAAATGCATTCGTCAATGTCTTTATGCCTCAACTAAATATCCTCGTCGAAGCACAACCTGGCGGTGTGTTTAAATTGGATCAGTATACTTTCCCTATCCCTCCTCCATCCTACCGCTCATTGGGCAGTTTGATGATGTATAACACAAAGGTGATTGTTCAAATTGCTTTAATGGTGAACTGTGATGCTTTTGAAACTCTATGCAATCTCAGTGCTGCAACTCTTGCTAACTTAGCGTCGCAACCTGACGATAACTTTGACAAGTTCACTTTCCCCAATCATATCAATGTTCCTATGGGTGGTATCGGTTCCAAGCTTGCGGGTATTTTAGCATCTAGTCCTGATGCATCTTCTATTGTTCTTGGGTTTAGTGAACGTCTTCAAATCGAAAATTCAGAAATCCTTACATACGATGACTACGAGTACGATATGAACATCATTCCATTCTGGCTTGCTGAGAAGACACTCGGTAATATTTATCGATTTGACAATTTTGATGACAATGATCAGCACTCGCCCTCCATTCGAATCACCATCTTGGATATGTTACTCAATAACATGGCCAAGGAAATCCAATCACCTACTATCAGTGAATTTTTACTAGGATATGATGTGAAGGAATTGGAAACAAGTGGTACCCAACATAAGTCTTTGCCCACCGATGTGAAACACAAGTCCCAACTTGCTTGTTTGTTGTCGATTTTAGAATTGGTAAATACTGGTATTAACAACGATGTAGATGATGTTGAAGAACCTTTGATTCGCACGCACCCTGTTTTAGCTGAAAAATGTTATCAATTGATTTTTGAGCTATGTGTGAGACAATCCACCTCAAATGCCACTTTACACTATCTGCGAAACAACACTGATAAGTTTTTGGTCAACCAATTTAAGGCGATTGCTTGTCGTTTGGAATCTTGTGTCAGTGTATCCGAACACTACTTTATCGGTGAATTGGAATCCGCTGATAAAACAATAATTACAGCAGACTACTTTACGTTAGTCAGTATTTTGAATCAGCGTGCTTGGTTGTTGAAGTTGGTTGCTTTGGATCTCCTGAAGACAGATTCAAACAAGACCGGAACACTCGATTTATTGGAGTTGCTCTATGGTATCGAAGAGAGCCAGTCTCACGGTAATTCTGAAAAGCAGCTTATTCGCAACATGGAAAAGATGCAATTGAAGTTAGATGCCAATTATCAACAGCCTCTTTGGAACATGCTTGAGATTGTTAACTCTTTAGAATTTACCTGGACCGATGGATTAGACGAAGGACCATTACCACCTACTGTCTATTTTAAAAATTTCCACCCCGATAAGTATGTGATTCAAAAGGATGGCTACACTATCTATGATATTCGCAATATCTTCAAGATTATTCGCCAATATCAGTTAAAGGATCCAGTCTGTCAAAACTTATCTGATGTCGAGCGTAACGCAATGGAATTAGAGATGGGAAGTTTACTGAAGTACTTGATGGCACAAAATCGATACAACGAAATATCTTTCGCAAGATTGCATTGTCTTCGCGCTTGGAAACAAGTGGTTGAAGTGACCATCGCTGATTGCTTTGACTTATTAACCTTTGAAGCTCGTCAAAAGGTCATTTATGATCTGCTCTCTGTCTTGTTGCCCAAGCTGGAAAACGGTGCAAGCCTTCATTTGGAGATTTTGAAGGGGTTAGGTGAGGTCACTTTAAGTTTGTTGACTCGCTTGAGAGAAGATAAGCGTAAACATTCGATTCTTCAAGTTGGCTCCGATGCCAGTGTGTCTCGCCTGCCTGATGAGAAGCTTCGTTCGGTTTTCAATTCGATTATCAACACTATTCTTAGAGATTCAACTGCGATCGAGGTGCGTAGCGCCATGTACTCTGCCTTGGTAAATCTGATTCAATACATTACCCCTGATAAAGATTTAGACGATGCTTCACCCAATGTTATCCATAATCAGGTCATCAATATCATCGGTGGTGGGTATAAAGAACAACTCTTTGATATCATCTGCAATGATGCAAGTCAAGGTTTAGACATATACAAGACATCCGCATATAAAGCTCTTGAAGCATTATATGTCCTGACCAAAAAATCCAAAAGTACTGTCATTCATAGTTACTTTCTCAAAAAGAACTTCTTGAAATACAATATTGCCATGATTGAAAGATCTGATTTGGAGTTAGTCAAGATTATCAATGAACGTGATGGTAATATACACATTATATATATGTATATACACTTTTTATGAATTATTATTAAGACAAACTTTCTTAGCTTCCTTGATTCCTTTGTACAACCACGAAGCTAAAATTTCTCTGTTCATTCAAATTGCAATGACAAGAGAGGGCTCCGCATTGTTGTTAAGCAATGACATTATGAACAGCATTGTTAATTGCAAATTTTTCAATATGAGCTACAATCGCAGTAAACCTTTAGGTATTATAATATGTTCCTGCCCGCCGATTGCCAATTACTAATGAATCTTTTTTATAGACGCAGACAGTACTCACAAAGTAGATCGTCACCAACGATTACTAACATCTATTCTTGTACTTATCAATGCACTTTTGATGAGCAGTGGTGGTCAAGGCGATAATTTGGAACAGTTCGAATCCTGGGTCAAGAAACAAGATGTTCTAGTAAATATATTAAAAGATGATACTACGGAGCCAACTCTTGCATCACTTCACATCTTACATTTGACTGTAGCATTTTTATACCAATTAAGCAAGCAACCATTCTATTTTGTGGACTTGGAGAAGAACGGTTTGGCCGAACTTGATTCTTTATTGATGAGCCTTATTCCCAAATACTGCATCCCAAATGACTGGACTTCTTTGGTCAAACCATCAGAGCTTAAAGAGATTGGTTGGCCTTTAATGGCCGTATCTGGTAAGTATTACCTGTGGTTCATATACAAGAATATATAATTTATCTTCTTTTTTTTTTTTCAGCAGAAACTGTGGATGGACATGCCTCTTTACTTGCTACCATGAATGCATATATCACTAAAATTAGAAATAACCTCTTAGCCTATGCTCAAGCCTCTACATTTAGACGATCTTTAGGTATTTTTTTCAAGAAAAAGAACGAAGTATAACGTTACTCATTATCTCGCCTTCATAGATTCGAAACCAGCTTTCAAGCCAATTTTTGCCAATACGCTTGTGCCCATCAAGGAATACGTTTCAGCTACACAAACTCGAGGTTAGTATATACGTATACATAAAAACAGGGATAAGGATACAAACTTTTAATACATTAGGTTCTTCCACAACAAGTTCCCTGACAACGCTTGTGACATGTCTGCTATACACCAGTAAGAAATTCAGTAAAAAAATTGCAGATTATGAGATCTTGTGTGCACAAAAAGAAAACATTGGGTCACTAAAGTATGAGGAAATCCTCGAGATAGTCGATACAGCTATCCCCGAGAGATTCGGCATCAGATACGATAGTCTAAACCCTACTCAGCAATTCCAAGTGTTAGCTACAGAAATCGACCATCGTATTAAATTGAAAGAAAAAGAGATTCGTGATTTAGTTTTCACAATGGAGACCTCAGTATTCATTCTTTGGCGTCATTTAGAATTTTATTTCAAGAATCAGACCTCTACCTCAACCGCATACAGTCCCTGTGAAAGATACGCTAATGAAAATGTCGTATTGCTTCAACAGGCTTTATTCCAAACATCCCCTCAAGTCATTAACAAATTAAGATCCGCTTGTCTGACTGTGCTGGAACCCACTATCAAGAGCATAGAGGCTATCCCATCGGTAAGTTAGGCCGCACATTTTAATATAATAATTACTTAAAACTAACTTGTTGTCTCTTTTGAAGATATCACGCTATTCATCATCACTCCCCGAGATGTTTGAACGAATCCGAAAACGCTTCATTTAATCCATCAATTGTATCATCCTTACAAACACATCTGAATTTCAATACATATTATTATAAACAATAAAACACACACACACACATATTTAAATTTAGGAATGTCTTTAGTTGTTTAATCTTTGTAGATTATCATTACGCCCATTATCATGCAATCTAGCGTGCTTATTTTTTGCAGGAAACTTCTTGAAAGCATTAACCAATCATATTTCCCCAATGTTAGATAAACCAATATACTATTGAAAAGTCTGGTCAATCTGTTCAGCCGATGCTAAAATGCACGTCTATTCTGCATAGTATCATGCTCAATATTGATGCAGGTTTCAGATTTTAAAAAAATATTGCGATTTTTTAAGAGATTGATGTTATGCGCAATTAAATTTATTCTAAACCAAGACATATTCGTTGATAGACCCTACGTCGTGATTGCCTTTACAGTAAACAGTAAGTCCGCTATCTAATTAAGCCGAAACACAGCCAGTATTCGTGTTCCTCGGAAATCAAGCTAAAGCTTTGTATTAATCATCATTCTGACAGGCACTTGTATAAAAAGCCACCTCATTTCATTTCCTTCCTCTCTTAATTTATTTCATTTAGATATAACTTTAATCAATTAAATTAAATATGAGTAATAAAGCTATTTTCACTCCCATCAAGGTCGGTAACAGCTTACTCCAACATCGTGTCGTCCTTGCTCCTTTGACCCGACGCAGAGCTACTACTGAGGCCGTACCTACCGATCTCCTTGTAGAATACTACAAGCAAAGAACCAGTGAAGGTGGTCTTTTAATTACTGAAGCCACCTTGATCGATTGCCTTGCTGGTGGATTTCCTAAAGTTCCTGGTATTTACCGCCAGGAGCAAATCGAAGGCTGGAAGAAGGTCACTTCCACTGTTCATGAAAAGAAAGGAACTATTTTCCTGCAACTCTGGCACAATGGCCGTGCTGCCTCAAAGTTATTCAACCCCAACCAAGAACAAATTGTCTCAGCATCAGCTATTGCCATTACAGGTACACCTGTCCTTGGAGGCGAATATGAAGTTCCTCGTGCTCTTGAAGTCGATGAAATTAAAACGATCGTTGAACAATACAAGCGTGCTGCATTATACGCCATCGAAGCTGGTTTTGATGGTGTTGAAATTCATGGTTCCAACGGTTACCTCCTTGATCAATTTATCAACTCGGGTAGCAACAAACGTACTGATAACTATGGTGGATCTATTGAGAACCGTAGTCGTTTTGCTCTTGAAGTTGTTGACGCTGTTGTTGAAGCTGTTGGTGCTGAGCGCGTTGCTATTCGTTTCTCACCTGGTGGTAGCTTCCAAGACATGCAAGATGATACTGTTGTCGAAACCTGGACTTATTTGACCACCGAGATTCAAAAGAGGCATGCCAACTTGGCATATCTTCATTTCATTGAAGCTCGTTCCAATTTCTTTGTAGACACTGATGTGCCTGCTCCCGATTCTCTTGAAACTTATCGTAAAATTTGGAAGGGTCCTTTTGTTACTGCTGGTGGGTTCTCTAACACCACTCAACATGCAATTAACTTAGCTGAAAAGACTGGTGATTTGATTGCCTTTGGTCGTGCATTCATTGCTAACCCTGATCTTCCTGCTCGTCTTGCTAACGATTGGGAATTAAATAATTATGATAGAAGTTCCTTTTATGGAGGTGATGCTCATGGATATACTGACTACCCTTTCTACGATGAAACCAAGAGCTAAAGCAAATTATACTCACTATAACTTTACCCTTTGTATATTATTAATAAATTAAACTTTTAATCCAACATTTTAAAATAGTTAGCATAGCACTAGTTTGAGAGTTAGCTTGTGTGCGACATTTGTGCAGTAAGTTCAGCTCTCGATATAGATTTAATTACCTTTCAATGTATATAGGCACTTTTGATAGGAAGAAAAACCTATTCATTTCAGCTTTGTAAAATTTTAAGTATATGCAGCTAATATGCCAAGCTTTGTAATAAGTAATGGTGAGGCAGGTCAAAGATGTATACAATCTTACGTCATATACATGCATGTTGCAATACGTTGACATCATTAGTGATCACCTCAAACTATTTGAGTAATAAAGTAATAAAGTTCTATCAACAGTCCATCCAATCGACATAATGGACTCGTGTATTATTTGTGCCAATGATAGTGATAACTTACCTGGCTTTGTCAGATCCTTTAAATAGACTAAAAAAGCATAGGAAATAACCCTATTTCTTTTTACATAAACTACATATTAATAGCAAAACAAATGATACTTGGACCATAAAAGATTAATCACAGGATTCAATATGGATTAAATGTGAAGGTGTTTAGAGTATTGATACATATATATGAAATCATTAAACCAGCTTTATCTTTCGACTTTTACAATGTAGTTAAAGATATAGCCTTTTGCTATCAACGCTGTCATGCTACAAATTTGGATGCGAAAAGTAAGATAGAAATTAAAAATAAAAAGTAAACTCACCCAGTTAGTATGAAAAAGTAGCAATGACAAGTGCTAATTCCAGACTTCGTTTTCATGTCACATGCAATTTTATAGCTACTGGCCATGAGCAGTGTCTGTTTTTTTGTCCCAAACACGGTTCTGATGTTACACATAAATAAGGAGACCATGTTGCATAAGGACATATCGCGCGAAAACATTCGCGCCCTTTCAAAGAATTCATTCCAATTGCTCCTCTTCCTTCCTCTCCCCTCTTTTTTTTTGTGTTTCTTTCTTTTATAATCACAATGACCACAACCAATGACCAAACTAACGAACAACACGATGTGGATGAGCAGCTTATCTATTCGGCACAGCAATATGAAGAAGAATATGATAATACGACGCCAGACGCTATTCCTCAAATACTAGAGCTGGACTTACGTGGAGTTCGTGTCAAATTAGATAGAGACACTCTAGTTAGTTTACCAGAGAGCTTATTAATTGCCATGTTTCCTAATGGACTTGTGTTGGGTAGATCTGATCCTAATACCGTCGACAGTGAAGAGGAAGAGCATGTTGGCTCTGAAGACGAAGTATTGACGACATATGTCGACTTTGACTCCGCATGTTTAGAGTATGTGTTACAGTTTTACCAATATGCACTGGAAACAAGAGACGAGCACGAGTTGCAAAATGAAGGCTCTATATTTTCTTCTTCACCAGCCGCACAATACTATCCCTCCCTTTTAGATAAACAGCCGATCATAGTACTTCGTGAAGAGTTAGAGTACTACTGTGTGGTATCCAAATCAAAAGCCAATTTATCTAGTATCAAATTGGCATCAGGGGACTATTTGAAGGTACAGAATAAAGTCTTTGCTGCCCTCCAGAAGAACATTGCTAGGGAGAATAATGTGGCCGAGCAGCATTTGATTGATATGCTATGTGATGCTGGGTTTACAAGACAAGACGTATGGGGTCATCGTGAAGTCGAACCCAACAGGACTTGTATTATTAGCATGAGTTTAGTGTTGTTACAAACATCAGGGCCTGATAATCACATGGCGACGGCACAGAAGCTGTTATTGTTTTGGAGAAAGCCTGCGGTAAGTGACCGTAATTTTGATTTTAATCATGCAAACTAAGCATTCTTTAAAAAATAATAGAGAAAATGCTGGTGGGATGGAAATACAGTGGATATTAATGGGGAATCGATTAGGCTTTGGGCAAGGCGTACTTGGACTTTAGAATTGGCATTAATTTAAGCCTTCTATTTCCTTTTTCTCTTTTCGTTTTCTTTTCTTTTTTTTTATTATTATTATTATTAATATTCATATCCAAATCTTTTCAACTCATCACAACTATACAACTTCATGTTTACTGCCTCCTGGTATAGCTTTTCGTTACGTACAAATCCAAATACACCACGGGCATTATTTAATTTGACTTGTCGTTCTTTACGTTCCTCTAAGCATAATTGTTGTAAAGAGCGAACCCAATCCACCTCTACTTGCTGTTCAACTTTTGATAATTTATATTTGTTGGCTAGATATGGCTTGAAAGCATTTGGATCAACATAAAATGGTACATTGTGAGATGCTGTAGTTCTGGGTTGTGAATAAACTGAAGTGGGTTGGAAAGAGAAGACGGGTGTTTCATCTGTTAATAAACTAGAAAATACTGTATAGCCAAATAGCAGGATCAAAGGTAAGATTTGCAGTAAAAGTGAAGCCAATGATCTTTGTTGTTGGGGTTGGGCATGTTGAGCTTGTTGTCCAAATGATCTGGTGCGAAAACCTGGTCCAACAAAGGTTGCACTGCTGAATCCATTACCACCAAATGAAAAGGTCTGCCCGCCCTGTCTCATATTTGCCATGTTTACTCCTTGTCCTCCACCGAAGAACATGTTGAACAAATCTTCAGGCGATACTTCATCACCAAATGGTGAAGCTCCATAACTCTGTGCTCTAAATCCGGAAAATCCTGGGTGTCCACCTCCACCACCACGCTGTTCTGGATCAGAACCGCCAGCATCGTGAATGGCTCTCTTTTGAGGATCAGACAAAATTGTGAATGCTTTCGAGATGACTGACAACAAACAAAGTTAGTTAAAATAGTCTTTTTTTTTTTCACGAAGTGTAAAATATTTACGTTTAAACGCTTCGTCGGCACCAGGTGTCGTGTTTTTATCGGGATGGAATTTGAGTGCAAGCTAGAGTAAATGCGTGAGGGTTTATTCATCATCATGTGCCACTCTCAATTACCTTTCTGTAAGACTTTTTGATGTCGACCTCCGTACAGTTCTTACTCACTTTCAAAACCTTATAGTAATCAGTACCACAAGCCAGTATTTCTCTTACTTCAGCTGACTGTTGTTTAGAAGAAGGTTTATCGGCTTGCTTCTTTTTTTCTTGTTCTTGCTGCTGCTGCTGCTGCTGAGGAATGCTTGTGGAAGAACCTGACGATTCACCACTGGCAGCCTTCTCCTTGGCCTTTGTCAAAAACTCTTGTGCTTCTTGTGTTGTGTACAAGGCCAACGATTTCTTGGTCAAACGAACAGCTGCCTCATAATTCTTTGAGCCAAACTGGTTCTTTGCGATTTTCAAACAACGTAAAGCCTCTTCTTTATTCGTCTCGTCCATTGGAGAAGTATTATGAGAAACAATATTAAAAAAAAAAGAACGTGTGACACCAAATTTCAAGAAATCGAGGTTTTTTGAATACAGGAATTCCTGGCTTTCATGATTGGCTATGATGCAAGCATTACCCTTTAAATTACAGCAGTGTAAAAAAAAAAAAAAAGAAATGTTACACTTGATACACTTGATACATTCAAATGAATGATCCTGATTTGTGCTTGATCGGTATTCGTATAAACATTATATAACTGACAGCGATACGCTTTTTAAAGAGACGTATTATTAAGGAGAATTTGAAATTAATAGTTTTTTGTGTAATGCAGAATGAGTAAATAAATTAACTTGGAAAGTATATGTTTTTTCATTTTAAATCCATAGGTGCTGCTGTCCTGATAGCCGTGTTTTTTTTGTAGGCCTGATAAGATAATTCACAATTGTCCACCAATTTTTGGGCAGTGCTGCGATCATAATTCTCTACAGGCGTAGCACAAACGTATGTTTTGCCCCAACGATTAGATAAGGAGCCGTAGCGGTACAAGAAATTCATTTTTTTGAGAGGTTCGAGTGCTGCATAAACATCCGCTAAAGCGCCATTGTAGGCCGTGATGGTTTGTGAGGCAACACCCATTATACGAAACTATATTTTATCTCCCTGTTAATACAAATATGTATATATATAATTGCCCCTTTTATCTTACCATATAATGTGCAACAATTCTGGCATTGGTTACCCAACGAGGTAATTCGCCGATTTCGCTGGCAACTACACCAGGAGAAGTAGTAAAGGATGATATTTGAGTAGACTCCTTTGCAAAACGCTCACTGAGAGCAATTGAAATAATATCACAAGCCCATTTTGACGATTCATAGGGTTCGATACTATATACATTTATGTCAATAAAATTACGGATGGGTGGTACATAATATCTTTACCTCTTGATGCCTTGCCAATCATCAATGTCAAATGAAGTGCAAGCGGCTGTAATTGAACTTGTCCAAATAATGCGACCGTCACCCGAGTTGGATAATAACTTTTCCAATTCACGCATCTAAGTATAAAAAACAATTATTACGTGACTAATAAAAGTAATTGCTCTTTTTTTGTTTTTGTTTTTTTTTTTTTTTTACCATGACATAGTGCCCAAAGACGTTACAAGCAAACACTTTGCCCATGCCATCTTCGTTAATCTCACCCACAGGTTGAATGGTAGCATCTGCACGTTCGAGTAATCCAACAGGATCGGTGAACAATAAATAAAACACTTGCTTCCAATTGACACCGAGAGTACTCAAAATACCTGCGTTACAAAACAAGTAATTGACTTGGGTGTACCTGAAAAATAAAAAGGTAAACGTCAAAATAACAAAACGACAAACAATAAGAACCTTTACTTGTTTATGATGGCCTCAGAAAAAGTCAAGACACTTTGAACACTACCCACATCAACTAGTTCAATGTCGATATGAGCAAGTGGAAATTCCAATAATAATCTTTCTCGAGCGTTATTTGCCCTTGCTGGATTACGACAAGCCATGACAAGAATTAAATTATCGCATTCAGACTCTAACAAGTGTTGACAAATGCCGTAACCTACGCCACCGTTAGCACCTGTAACAATGGCAACTTTCTTGTTTTCGAATCCCATTTCTTTAGTTTTTTCTGAAGAAAAGGTCAAAAAGGGAAATAGAAAGAAAGGTCGAAATTTAAATTCAGAATATCCACAACTTTTTTTTTTTTTTTCACATGTTCCTTGATAGCTTGTGTAATGATGAAGAATGTATACCTCAATGCATGCAAGATGCAACCATAGAGAAATTATAGAATTGAGTGAATAGATGGGTGTATTAAGGGTAAAAAAGCAATTTCAATCCAATTTTCTTAAATCATACAGTGCTGCCGAGAGCTCCGTCGTATCTTTTAAATTTTACGCTCAATTAAAATGAATTAGCATGTGTCTGTCTCTCTTTGTACTCATCCAAATACACTTTTCCGTACACTTTTGAAATAAATTTTTTAAAACACGTATATACTTATGATAAGAATGATATTAAACGCTAAATGTTAAATTCACCCGTTAAGTATGTCTTGACACTCTATGTTTATGTTTTACAACTATATTTAGCCAAGATTCTGAAAGTATACCTGAATCCTTTTATACCGAGCATGGTCTTTTAACTGGCAGTAAAATCATCTCGAGCTTCATAAAAAAAGGGCTTATTTACTAAAGGATAGAAGTAGGACAAGCAAATAATTATCTACAATTAAATTATGTAACTACAGTTATGTCAATATGACTAAGATTTCCCAAAATGTGATTTTCATATAACAAGTCAAAACACAGGATAAAAATTAGGATGTTGAGATATGTTACCATTTGTCTTCTTTGGCAGCAATATCTAACTAGCTGGAAAGAATTAACCAAGTAATGGAATCGAACAAAATTTGCGCCAATATAAGCACTTGTTCATTTGAAAGAGAGGATTGTGGCATAAGCGTCACAATACCCAACGTTGAGAAACACAGATGAGTAACTGCCACGTACCTAATCCTTCTTGTATTTTTATTCGTTAAGCAGATTTTTTTTTTTTTTTTTTTTTTTTTTTTTTGTGGATTTTTATATATAATATACATGTACTGGTTTGTAATTTTTATTTTCATCTATTGTGTAGATATTTTACGTGAACATTATTTCAAGAAAAAAGAATTTTCTTATCATAAATTGACGATGGTAGTCGGATCGACATCACTTCCTATATTACATGAAGCCTTCCCGAAGTCAAGCCGAAAAAAATTTTAGGTAATACCAGGTCTGTAACGCCCTTAAATGTTCTGAGTCGAAAGTAACGTCGTTACATACATTATTACTTGAAAGCTTGTTTAATATAAGTTAATCAACTAATCCATATATTTTACCCCAACCCAAGTACTTACCGACCAAATGTATGCCTAGAACCCCTTTTATTTGAGTACGCGTTGATCACGTCGGCACTAAAGCACTCAATCTTGATCAGGTCACAGAGTGTAGCATGGGTATCATGGACACGGCCTTCACCTTTGACCTCACAGACACAGACAATGTTATTGGATTGGTTGTTTGCCAAAACCGTACCAGAGATGTCCGGTCTATCATGACACTCCTCATGTACTTTCAAATTTAACCTGTAGTAAATAATCAGTAATCATAGACATTACAGTTAAAATTAAAAAGACAATACATAAAATAAGCTGACATATGCTGACTTACCATATCAAAAAGATATCTTCGTCTGGGTATTCGACCAAAGGCCTGACGAGAGTATCGGCGTAAGTGAAAGATAAATTGCTCTCTTGGACTATGTGGAATACGTCCAATGCTAAATAATACCATATAAAACAAGTTAAAAATAAACAATCAAAATAAAAGTATACACCAACAAATTTCAGGACGACAACCCACGCATCAATGATGGGGGGGAGTCGATGTATGCAAAACACTTCGACATGACGTCTATGCCGGTTTTTCTTAAACTCAGTTTTATTTGAATGACATTCTTTAAAAGTCGGCGACTATCTATAAAAGTCAAGGACGACCCACATTACTCAAAGACAAACAAAATGTATTTATCTTTGAGCTTCTGGCTAATGCGCCAACATTGTCAAAAGAATTTAGAGATATACAGATCACCCCGCAGATCAAGGGAGAATCACATCAAGAAGAAGTGTCGCCTAACCTACAAGCGTATCATTCCTAGATATTATGGCAGGAACAAGGATGCAGCTGTTGCCAATAGACGAGATGAGGTATAGAGGATGTTACCGCTAGTTTCATATAAAATAATATCCGAAGGCCTTAACTCTCTTCCAGCTTTATGGTTGAGGGACATAGAAAATAAATTTGTTTTTTTATATCTTAAGCCAATGTTGGTACTTTTTAAAAATTATGTCAGACTACTGGAGTAAAATCTCTTTTCAATCTAGGTAGTTATTCTTTAGTCTTTCTTATCAGCCAAGTTACTAATGTCATCTTTCTCTTTCGAATGACTTAATCATAAAAAAAAGGGTCTAAAAAATCCAATAAATTAATCACATATCTTCATATTGTTTTTACACATGACGCCACTTCTTTAACCTAACATATTATTCTGTACAACACCTCACCTTTTTGTATTAGTTTAGTATGCTATTATGCAGTATTTGATATATAGAAGTATTTACCTGAAATAAGAATTGCATATAACTCTGTTAGCCAGTTTAGCCAAGCGGGTTACTCTTTATTGGCTTGTTGGCACGCATAAGCCAAGAGACTTAATGATGAACACAAGAGTGGGCTAATAAGGAACCGCCTCATTGTAACAAAAGAATTCTATTAATTGAGGTTCTACTACTAAGCAATAAATAGGAAAGAGAAAATAACTTGTTAGCTCTTTTATTAATTTGTAAAAAATAAAGGTTGGAAAACATATATACTCTTGTGTATAAAAATAATCATAAAGCTGAAATGTTTTGACAGAACGAGATTTTGCTACAGGTGCACCAAAAACACAGAAGTGGACTTTGGAAAAAAGGGAAAGCACATGACGCCTATCGTAATCTCTTGGATCTACTATAATGGGATTGGTGGAGGATGATGAAAATTAAAGTTTAATTAGATGAGATTAATGTACAACCATTAATGCAAAATACGACTCTATTACACAAATGACCATTGAGAAAAAAAAAGGGAAATCATAGTACAAATTTTATTCATGTATACAGTAAAGGAGAAAAGCGGTTCATATATAGAAAGATCATATAAAGAAAAGTAAAAAAGAAAAAGAAAGAGTTGTTTTAGAAAGTATAAAATACATCCGTGTTATAGATGACACCATCAGCACGAACAAACAAGATCGGTATTTTATGTAACTTTGTCTGCTCATCCAACATGGAAGCAGGACTCTTGGTTAATTCGCTAATTTCAGGTACAGTACAAGAAATAGCATCTCGTGATTTATAGTCTGTACGAGGCGCCTTAATATCTCCAAACCATACGGTGATCTCCCTTGTAAAATTTTCGCCTGCTAAATTGAGTACTTGGGTATGCTTGTTATGATGAATCGTCTGTTGGCTGCTTAGCAATGGGAAAGGGGTGATGGCGTTTCCTTGCCCTAGATTGGAATGAAAGGGTGCGCTGAAGTCGGCAAGGGCAGAAGTGGGTGGTGTCCAGAATTTATAACTGGCACAGTCCGTACCTACAATGGTCCACACGGATGCATCGGATACATCTTCGGTCCAACAAGCACCATTCACCTGATAGATGCCTCCATCTGAACTCATACTACCGCGTCGATCATTTTGAAACTGTTGTGAAGAAATACTACTGCGACGACCCGCACCGCCAGCTTCTATCTTCACAGGCATTAATCCATCATTCAATGAATTGACTCTTCTTCGGTTATTGATCTTGTTAATGGAGTTGGTGGATGTGGATGAGGTAGGGTATTTAGGTAATGACATGGGTTTAGCCAAATTCACATCGCAAGAAACGCGACGCTTTCGTGTGATCTTTCCGTTCTCTTGCTGCGATACCACCGAAGACAAAATATCGTAACTATCAAAATCAGACCATGTCGTATCCAGCATTGGACTTTGTTGCAATGATGGTGGGATAGGACGACAAGAAACAAATTGACGTCCGGTAGTGGTTTTATGCATACCTACTACATCGCTTAAACAAGCAAGATACGTGATGGCCTGACTCGTTTGAGGTAAATTCCACTCACTATGCATCGAGTTCATGGGGCGTGGGTTGAAAGGCGCATTTTTAGACTTGTTCTTATGCGCAATGGATGGATCTTGTACGATTTGAAAGGCAATCTTATGTAACTGGGATACTGGATCCCCCAACGCTTCATCTCCACATTCTCCACCAGTGGAACCAGTCAAATCATCAAGACGGTTGCCTCCCATAATCATACTGCCTTTATCCACCTTACGGATCACCATGACCGGACTCACTAAACCGGTAGATACACACTGTAATACAATGGCCTGATTATAGTGAAGTGCAATAGGCGATTGGCCTGTCGTGGTCTGTAATGCAATAGCTGGTGCCGGAGGGAAATGTGGGTTTTCGGGATGATGATTTTGTTGTTGTGGACGATTAGCGCTGGCTGTAGAATCAGGTGCTCTCGTTGTATCCACAATCCAAATTACAAAGGGATCCCAAGAACCGGTTCTTGCCACAAAGCAAGTACTATTTTTATCTCCTCCTTCTGTTCCTGTTCCGCCAGCGCCATTAATGGAAACGCCCAGATACTTGGTTGAGACTGTTTGTGAGCGTATACGGTTAAACAAGGAAATGGTTGTGCCATGATGAATGCAAACTGTATATATATATATAAGGTGTAGTGTTTAATCATATGATTATTATTTGGGGGTCTATTAAAATTTTTAAAACTTACGTTCCATGTTCTTGACGCTTTGACGCTTTTTGGAGGGTTTACTGATAACTTTGATTCCTTTGGAATGTAACGTGCCCAGATAGATGCCATTGGCCAAATGAATTTTGACGAGGACTTCCACTCTTTTTCGCTTCTCATCAGCATCGTTAATATGCAGTTGTTTGGATACACAATTTCCCGACATGGCTGTGTTACTTTGATGACTGGCTAAACTGGTAGAAGTGGTATTATCCAGTAATGCACCTGTTGTTGTATCATACCATTCAATCACTCCATTTTGGCTCGTCTTTTCTCCAGAAATTTGCACTACTAAATTCGGTGGATGTAGAACATTGCCGTTCTTTGTCCACCAAGACGTGCCCGAAAGTAAGGTTGAAGGTGGTGGACACAAGAATCTATTTATAATGATTTTCCATTTAGTCTGTATGTACATATGAAAGGGGGGGGGGGCTCAATTCATTACCGTTTCTCTGTGCCATAACTCTTTTGAGCTACTTTACTGGTATGAATCATGACTTTTTGCTCATTTTCAAAGGTAGAAAGATATTTTTGAACAAGTGGTTTTATGGCGATGGCATTGTTTGGTACGGGTGGGATCATGCGAGAAGCGATCTCCAACCTGGTACGTTGTTTCTCGTGAGAATCCATATCTTCGTCTTCCTCTTCCGGGATCGATGGATGCTGTAAGAATGATTGGATAGGAGGACTAGGTGAGGAGTTTGTTTGGACAAGAGGAGGAGAAGAAGAGGAAGTAGTGGTATTGGGCGAATCACCATTTAAAAGCCAGTTTGTTAGATTGTTTACTTCTCCCGTGTTGATAACAGATGGTGTGATTGTTGACTGTTCCTGCTGGTTCATCATAAAGTTGTGGATGAGATCATCGGTTAAACCGTGATGATTTTCAAATGAAGTATCCATCATGATATCATCATCTTGCTTTAATGCGTCCAGGAAGCTGGGAGAAAAGAAGGCGGGTGTGGTGGGTGAAGCAGTGGAGATTGAAGCACGGTGATGCATATCCATGTGCTGTTGAATAGGCAAGTTATCGAGTCGTAGTGACATGGCACGTCGATGAATCATCGGGTTCGGATCAGAACTACTGGAAGAAGACCACGAAGATGGAAGTGAGTTTCCACTAGCATTCATCACTAAATCTTGATTATTCCAACCCATCTTATCAAACGAGTGAAAATTCATTTCTGCAACAGATACCGAGTGCCTTCTTTCATTGTTATTTCCTTGTAGAATAGAGTCAAAATCTGTCTGTTGGTGCTGTTGCTGATGATGATGTAGTTGTTGTGAGTGGTGAAGCTGTTGTTGTTGTTGCTGTTGTTGTTGTTGCTGTGGTGAATTTGGTGATGAATACACATAGTCTGTCCAACTAGTGTTGATGGTTTTTGGCTCAACAAACTCTCCCTTTCTTTTACGTGTGTTATCTGTACTTGTCATTTTTTTTTCTTGTTTTTTTTTTATATATGTATAGAAGAAAGAAAAGGGATGGAAGGGAAGAAGGGGAATATTTATTTGCTAAAAAAGAAATAATAAAAAAAAAACGCCCACTTTTTTTTTACTATATTATACATCCCCACACACACCAATCAAGCTAAACTTGAACTATTTTCTGAAACACAGCGCTTTTTTACTGGTTTATTTTTCCCTAAATAAGGTTGCACAAGTCGAAATGCGGACCGTCAAAAGTTTCTTTTTAGTTGTTTGTCCCCCACATGACATTTTTAAAACAAAAAAAAACCAAATACAGTGCTTCCCCCAGCCAGCGTCAACTAGTTATTCTAACACCTGTTTTTTTTTCATCTCTCCAAGTTTACATTAAGAATCACTTACCGCTTATGAAATGGTCTTACACCTTACTCCCAGTCAACTTGTGTTATTGGTAACAAGATTAGGTGATTGACGTTGACCAACTCAAAGAATCACCTTTTTACAGTCCGAGTCATTCTTTTATAAGTAGGTAGGGAGTAGGTTTTGAACATTACTTTTATCAAAGAATAATATTGACTGTCGTGACATCACAGCTACTCTTTAAGATGGGAACACCCCCGAGTTAATTGCTCAGCTTTAGGCTAGGTCACTTAATATATATTACGATATTGATCAAGAATATTAACAAAGACCGCGTATACATACACCCTCTGAAAATTGTAAGATGTGAGAAGAGAGACTTTAAAAATTTGCGTAATAAGATGTTAAAACACAAATATGACAACCTATCAAGAAGCTCTCTCTGGATTAGAGCAAACAAAAACAGAAAGACAGCATAATTCCGAGTAGAAGTCTAGTGATGCAAACAATTGAGAGCAATCCTGGTGTAGAGTATACAATTTGAAAGAATCGGATTTGAATTGTCATGGAATTGAAAATGTGGAAGTGTAAATGTATTATCTGCTTGTGCCTTAATGTCATAACTGATTTGACCAATAACAACTAGAACTGATTGGTGTTACATTAGCAGATCTCAATTATTTGTAACAGGAGCTAAGCGGGATTTGATAGCATCAAATAACAATGCCAAAAAAAGTAAGGCTAGTGGCATAGCATATTGCATTTAAAGCATGTACGAATAGTGAGCATGGAAAACTATGCTTCTGCAAGAATAGGTTTAAACAATATTAAAGCTCAAAATTATGCCGACAATAATGAAAGAGCGACGAAAATGTTTTACGCATATATGTAAATGGGAAATGCATCTATCTCCATCAAACTTTTATTTCTTGAATTCTAGTGAAAAATGTCATATCTTCAGTAACAATTTGGATATCATTACCTGGGAACTTGTTCGTCAATCACCGACAACTCCCTCAAAATTGTACAGGAATTTCGAGAGCATAAAAAAAAAGAATATTGGGCATAGTGGGATGGCTGATAATGCCATACAGAGTACCAGTAATAAACGGAAGAGAAAGTCAAGTGTCAATACACTTGGCATTGAGCATAAAAGCATGGTTTTATTCGTATCTCTATTGCCATTGAACACTACAACAAGCTTTTATCCAGTTTTGATATAAAGGAGACTGTACACTTTCTCTTTCTCGCAGGGGATGTAAACTTAATGAGTTCAAACACCACTGATACTCTTATTGCACATTTACAGGGTGCTCATAAAGATCTTCCCTACATGCTTACCTTTTTTGATCTGCGAAATTGGGTGTCATTTATTTTTGAAAGACTGGGTAAATTAGCTTCAAACCCATAACGTTTTTCTGAAAAATTAAACCTCGTACAAAGAATAGGTAGCATTTTTAAACAGTCGGTAAATCAAGACTGGGAATCACAGTACTGTGCTTCCAATGTCAATTGGTCACCTTACCGAAGGTTGAAAAAAGTATGGTCGAGGGGTGTTCTGCGGGAAATGTCATCATAACGGTTGACATGCCATATCGTCTAAACTTCATAGGATGCTTTCCAAGTTCTGACTTGCTTGGGGTGGGGTTTGAATATGTTTCTATTTTAAGTAAAATAGACAAATGAAATCATCCTGACATAAGCTTGTTTATCAGCTTACAAAAAAAAACTCGTTCGCACATTTTATCCCTTTTGCTTTTCCTTTAACAGAGCTCCTTTTTTCATTCATTTTTTGAATGAAAGTTAAAAGGTTAGTATGTAATAACTTTAATTTTTTTCAAGAGACACCAAATTATCAGTTCTTTTTTTTTAACAAAAAAATATAAAAGATACATGGCCATTCTTGCAATAATACGGCTACGGCTAGTCTTTGCTATAAGATGGTCACTTCATAGACTGGGTCCTTGGGTTTTTGATCCCACTGTAAGGAAAGACTGTGAATAGCAGGGGTTGCACTGTAAATGGTTGTGATTATATATTCTTGCTGGTCTTGGTCGGGATTGCTGTAAGTGGTATAAAAAACACATTTAAACAAAATACGGAGGTCTTAATATTTGCTGCCTGAATCAGAGCACGACCAACAACTCAGCCAAGACAAAGATGAATGGGATAGTGACAACCAAGAACAAGAAAATTCTGCATCTGATTTATCAATTCCTCATCATACTGGGATAAAAGGAAATTACAATTGACTCGAAGATTTTAGAAGTCCCAGAAGAAGATGAAGATACCTGTACAAGTTGACAGCGTTGAATTCCTAAATCAAGGATTGGAATCTAAAAATGATTTATATTTGATGGTTGCTAACGTGCTTCACTGAATGTAGGTAATATATACTATACAGGCTGGATCATAAAGTAGAAAACAAAAATATTGAGAAACCATCAAAACTAATGTCTCTATCGTTTAGTCTTCCTACAATCAAAATCAGTGGCTATGCTGAAGGTCGAGAAGACTCTTTCGTCCACGATGTTCTGAGTCCCCTCCTTGACGTTACTTTCTGTAGTGATATCAACATAAAGCATTCTGGTAAGCCAATACAGAATAATATCACTTGACGCACATACATTCATATACTGACCTATTTAATACTATTTGATTTTCGTTGAAAGGGCATGAAGACATAAAGCCCGATTTTGGCATTTACGCCAATGGATTGTCACACAGATTTGTTGTTTTGGTCGCTGAGGTTAAACCTATCGAAGGCCGTCAAAAGCTGGAGAATGACAAGGTCAAAATTGGAAAAGAGATGAAAATTATGATGAATGAGTTGTTTGATGTCGGGATCCATGATCCAGTAGTCTTCGGAATCTTGGTCATGGATGACCATTTATACACTTATGCAATGCATCTTGGTGGGCCCAAGGCATACATCTCGACTGAACTTTCATCCACCTCAGTGACCAAGTCATCGGGCAATCTTGTCTTAATTCTATCCATTATATCTAAACTTGTACAGCTTAGGATTATTTCAACAAAATAATGCAATCAAGAGTTAACAATTACTTATTTACTATTTTTTTTTTTAGGATTTGTCTATCGTTATGGCAGAAAAAATTCATGACCACGCTAAGGCAATTAGAGATGGAAAGGCACATAAAAAAAGTTCAGTTCCAAAAACTTGGCTAAGCAAGAAGTCATATAGAATTGAAAGAAATAACAATGAAACGAAACACAATTAAAGATGTGTGATTTCTTTTCTTTCAAGTTTAACTACCTCAACAATGTCTCTATTGTATCAGCCTTCCGATATTCATCAATCACATGTTGTTTTTACTCCAGCTTTTTATATAAACATCGATATCTCTCATTTTTCAGTAGTAAATCAAGGGTTTTATAAAACTATGTCTGTTTATTCTTTGTAAATGATGGAATTTAGCATATATTCCCTTTATTCTTTTATATAGCTGGTAGTCATATCCACAGATCTCTTCTAAAATTACGCCACATGGAAATTAACATAGAAACTGTATTCCGTTTTTTCTTGGCAGCTTCTTTGTACAAACTATTCATCTAAAAATTGATGGGAGTTTTTATTCTTAACAAATCTATACTAAACCAACCCTTAGAAAGATACATCAGACTTTTCAGGCAAGACGAATCCAGTGCTAGTGTTCAGCGGATCCGTATGACTCCCTTTCTAGTTGCTACATTGTCTAGATGAAAACAACCGAAAAATTGGCTTTCTTTTTTACATTTGTGAATCAATAATTGTAAGATTTCGTCCTCAAAACGTCATATAAGGATTTAGTATGGATTTTGAAGTGTCATAGTCTTGTAAATATATACCTTTTATTTCAGTAGTCTGATGAGATAAACATCAAAGAAGAGCAGTAGCGCCGTTAGCGAGACCAGGGCATTTTAAGACCTCCAACGCTTACCACATTGACCACAGACTAGAAGGTATGTAGAATCGTTGAACAGTCCGCTCTAATTGATGTTTGTAGGAGAACCAAATCCTGTGCTAGTCTTCAGTGGATCCGTATGACCCCCTTTCTAGTTGCTACATTGGCTAGATGAAAACAACCGAAAATGGCAGTCCATCTCCTACAGTTGAATTGACGTTCTCTTTTACATTTGTGAATCAACAATTGTAAGATTTCGTCCTCAAAACGTCATATAAGGAGTTAGCATGGATTTTGAAATGTCCTAGTCTTCTAAATATATACCTTTTATTTCAGTAGCTTAATGAGATAAACATCAAAGAAGAGCAGTAGCGCCGTTAGCGAGACCAGGGCCTTTTAAGACCTCCAACGCTTACCACATTGACCACAGACTAGAAGGTGTGTAGAATTGTTGAACAGTCCGCTCTAATTGATGTTTGTAGGCGTACCAAATCCAAAGATAGCTTTCAATGGATAAAGCTTCTTTCTCTACATTTGTGAAAATAAAACACGACAGAGGTAACGAAAGGGAATTTAAAAAGTGTGACGTGCGATTATTTGGTTCTCAAAAAGGTAAGGTGACAATCCAGGTTCTTGCACACTTTGCATGATCTAGAGGGGTGTCTCTAGGAATCACTTTTTTTTCAAAAATAACCAGCCCTTTTTTTTTGTGCACTTTTTTTGGTAGTATGGAGGATTGCCAGCAAATATTAAAAGCTTTGGGCGCATTTGATTATGTTGCTGCTACTAAACTCATATCCAAAATAACTAAAGTAACTACACACACAATTATTTAATAATTATCTCGTTAACCCTGTCTCTATGTAGGCGTATCAACCGATCGGTAATATCTTTACTCGTTTATGTAGTTGTGAAAGCTCTTTTACACAATTACAATTCTTGCGATCCAGGTGGTTTGTGATGAGAAAAGATACAGTAAAGTATGGTTTCAGACAAGCTGATAATAGACGTTGACTAACCTTAAAAAAAAGTCTGTTGAATTAGTCTATACTAACCTCGCTAGTGAATTGCCCAAAGAAATTCTTAACATCACCACTGCCACCTCACCACTTTCCAACACTGACAAAAATCATCTCATCGTGGTGATGGATGCATTGACCAAGTTATGTCACATTCGTCGAGATATGATCAACCTGTACCAAGCCATCTTGGCTCAATCCATCAAGGGGGAATTCGACGAGATCTTGAATGACATGGAAGCGCTGCAGACAAAGACGCTTAACCTCAATCTGCCCAAGGATTTATCCGTATTGGGTGTAGGCGTCGAGAAAGAAATCAAAATATTGACATGTCTACTAAGAGCAAGAACAGCCATCACCAATTATGCCTTTCAAGAAGCTTGTATCGCCTTATTTCAACTGAAAGGTGATCTGACCGAATGGAAAAGGATCTGTCAAGAGCAAGACTATCCAGAGGTAATTTTAAAATATGTGTGCGTGTATAAAAAAAGAAAGGCTTTCTCATAATTATATCTTTTAGAAATCTTCCACAAGACCAGACGATACAAAGGAGCTCTCCACTTGGCGATTTCCGTTATTTGGAACAGGACAATCCGAGGTTTTATTTTTTTTCAACTAATATGGGATAACAAACAAATAACCCAAAAAAAAATCTTAAAATTTAGTCCAAGGTTCATAAACAAGGAGATATTTGGCCCAATACAATTCGGTGGCATGCACGCGTTCTGGGAAATTTAACCTCCAAAATGACCCTATATTTTAACACCATCTTGTTAGAAAAAGAAAGTATCGTCAGTGATCAAGACCCCGAAAAGACCCTCTGGAAAGGGTTAAGAATCGATTACTATGAGCAGTAAAGTTGGATTATTTATTTATTTATGTATATAATTGATATGCTTACAATTCACTCGTAGAATTTCTACCTTTAAAAAGAAGCATAATGCGTATAGTATAGGCCTCGTATATGAAGTCACTCACGATACACCGTTTTACCCACAGGGTTACGTATGTTGTCCCAAAACCACACCCTACGAACCTCCCCAAGGCATACACTCTTTTCCCTTCATTTATTGCCATCCCAAAGAGCCTCCCAACAAACATTTACCAAGCATTATCTCCATTATTCAAGGAAGCAAACACAAACTTAGCGATCCTAGGTCCGGCCCTGTTTATTTCTACGACCACACGATTGGAAGCACATATTACATGATGCGAGTGGATAAACACGCCGTATGTGTGATTATTTATCTAGATAAACATCTGAATCGTGAACCAGCTACTGTAGAATTTATAACAAATATTGTTACTTCCTTAAGAGGTAGTACTGTCATTGAAGAATTAATTAGAGTCGATTAAAATGAATGCTGTATTGTTGTAAATAGATCCATCTAATTAATCCTTCATTCTTCACAATTTATATTCTCTTTCTGTTTTAGTATAAAAAGTGGATATAAATGAAATGATCTTTTTTTTTTTTATCCTGTATCTAAACAATGCGTGTCTCAGTTCTTGCTCTTATTATTCCTACAGCCGTATACGCTGTTGCCATTGATAAAAACAATGTGGATCAGGTAAACGGGGAAAGTCTCGTAGGTTACTTCAAAAACATGTGGCTGTCAAAGCGAGACATTTTATACCGATACCATAACAACCATGATTCCTGGGACAACAATGGAGGATCTTGGCGTGATGCACCTTGGCGCGAGGGCCCCTATGGAGGAGGTCCTTATCCCGAAGCACCTGCTTATTCTATCGGAAGTTCTCCTTCGGCCTATCAACCTTCGGCCAGTATCCAGGCGAGTGCAAGCGCTTCCTCTGTCGGTGGCTATAGCAACAGTGCTGTCGTATTTTCAACAAACGCCGCCGTGGCATCACCCAGTGCCAAACCCTCTGCCAGTAGCAGCATCAATAATGCACCATCAGCAGTAGCATCACAACAGGCTCCTGTATCTTATTCGGTCCAGATTGAGAATGGCAACTATGTTTATCGCCCGGTATATAGCCCAAGTTCAGCAAGTGTCAATGATGATGAATACCCATCGGAAAGTTTCTCGGAACCCGATCTCGCTTTATTCCCTACAAATTCTCCTTTTGCTAAACACTATCCCGAATTCCAAGAGCCTGAAGGACTCTTTGCTGGGAATTAAAATCAAAAAGAGGAATCCAGTCCAGTCTTCAATCTAAATTAATAAATAACACTGAGTTTTCTTTCTTTTTTTTTTATTATTATTATTATTATTATCGTAAATATATATGCAGAAGGTGATGTCTAAATGTTTTGAAGCTTTTTTTATAAAACAAATGTTAATTCAACAAAAATGTTTAAATTGAAAAATAAACAAAAGTACTTACGATGGCACAAATGGTATCCATGGAATGTGATATTCTGTTGTCTTCTAGTACAAAGGAAAATCGTACTTGTCTCGTTTGATCAATGATAAATGCGCCTCTTTTCACAAACCCTGTTTCATCATTTATTACATTAAAATGACGAGACACAGAACGTGTTGTATCGGCAACTGAGAGTTATGTAAAGATTAATTTAAAGATTAATGAAAAAACAAACAAATAGTTTACCAAGTGGAAATGAGGGTGTAAATCCCGATTGTGCTATAAATGCGGTATGCACCATTTCTGTGTCGGTCGACATAGCCAATGGCATTGTGTTGTACGATTGAAATCTTTCAAATTGACGACTATACGTTTGATTTTTGAATTAGCTTTCTTTTTTTTTTGGTTTTTGGTTTATCTTTTTTTTTTTTTGCCGTACTTGATCGCTTGTAAATCGTTACACGCACTTGGTGCACTAAAAATAAAAATGTTTAAAAATCATAAAAATTTCTCTGCAAATACACACATACAAATCACATTCATAAAAAAATAAAACAACCGCTTTATACTCGTGTAATAAATTCGATAATTGCAGCCGATTCACTTGGTCGTTTAATACGGCTGCACAGTTAAAATTCGGTGCAATCATGCATAACCGGTCTACTTGTTGCACTGGATTGATCGTTATCGTCGTATCTTCAAAAGAATTTGTGTCGCCTTGTTCTACTCGTCGTCTCTTTCTGGTTTCGCACTCATGGGGAATAAAATTATCTGTCATTAACATGGCCATTAAAACGAGTTTTTGTCAAAGGTTAAAAAAAATAAGGAAGAGAAAAAAAAAAACTTAAATTCGTGACCGTAAAAATTTCCCGAGGTACGGTTTAGTGTACTTCCCACACAAGCCTTCACTCATCACAAGCCCAATTCTGGCCTGATAAATTACTTGAAATATTATTACAAAGACATGATGTGAGCAGAATAAAAAAAAAAAGAATTGATCGCATGTTACTTCAAATGATTATTGTTCGATTTGAAAAATGTATTACATACGACTTATTTACTTTTTCAGTGATGAAACGCTAACATAACTGAATTACATCGTAAACTCCTTTGTGGAAGATATAATAGTCTAAATAGTATAAGCATTACCGTTTACTACCCACAATGTTTTTTTTATTCTCAACATGTCAGTTATTCGACACAATCAGTTACCAACTACTACTGATATATGTGTACCGTTTTATTAAAAGGACTAACCTTACCATGTGCAACAAATAAAAAAAAATGTTTGTTGATACCCTTTTGACACTTATCATGTTTAGATTGAAGTAAGTACTTCTATCCATCTAATAAAAAGTCAGATAGCTATATTTTTTATATGCGGCCTTTATTCTCTTAATCTTCAATAAGCAGCTTTAATTAGAGTCTCCAAAATCGAAACGAAAAGAAAACTTCAAGTGCCTTTGCAAAAACAAACACAATGTGGGTATTTTTAGGAGCTGTTAAGACAAATTAACCGAGCCCCACATAAAATCAAATATCGAAAAAAAGCCAGTCGACCCAATTTTTTAAACACATTCTATCTTTTAATTAAGACAATAAAAATGATTATTAAAAAGGATCCAACACCAAAACTATTTGACTAAAACAGTAAATGTGTATCAAATTTTTTTTTTGAACGCATAGAAAGGCTTAACGTAGATTCGATGTCATTCCCTCATTCTTGAGCTTAGAATGCAACAAATTGGTCAGTCTTATTAATTTATAAAAAAACATAACTGTAGTCGCATGAAAGAAGGTTCTAGTTTCTTGAGCAATTTGGAGATTTTATTTATCGCATTAAGTTCATGTACAATCTTAATGCAAGGAGACATGGAAGCAACTATCTGCGATGGTCTGGAGACTACAAGTAGATAACGTATTATATTAACAATGTTATGTTGAAGGATAAAGTCAGGTCATTAGAAATATGCATATAAGCTGTCATAAATTTTACTTATTATATAAAAACGCATGGAGATGCAGCATATCCTAGTTGCATATTGGTACGAATATATTGCATATCATTCCTCCAATCACGATATATTATTTATATCTGCTTCTTCTAAAGAACAAAAGACGATAAAATAGGATATAACGAGTTCTTTTCGGCATTGTACAAAAGGGGATATAAACATTAAACATTTGCATGGCCCTAAATTTCTCATACTGCTTTTAAATGAATGGTTGTCAGCTATATGCTTGCGGATTATGTGCCTGTTGCTGCCTTTATTATCCAAGAACTCTAAAGATACAACTATTAAAAATTGCAAATCAACGAGTAAGAGTTGAATCAATTGCATACAACCTCATCTCCTTTTCTCAAACTCTGTGAAACAATGTGGAATCTCCGGAATAATGACAGTACATCCATATACGGATGGTGTCTGTGTGATTTTTTTTTTTTTTTTTTTTTGAAATACTTAATAGTTCACACTCCGTAAATGCAAACTAAAGCACGTTTGTATCTGGGTCTATTACCATTTGTCATTATGCATAAAGAATAAAGATTAAAGACTTGATTTTTTGTGTTAAGATTGATGCAAGACGGGACAATAGCATTGCAGGCGCTATTCAGTTATTGCTGCTGTCGCATTGCACACTGTCGATAAAAAGAGTTCATGTGTATCAGTAACAGTGGTAAAATTTTAATAATACACAAAATCAGGTTGCTTCAGTGTGTGTGATATTATACCTGTTTTAGTTATTCCTGTACATGATGATTTTTTGTAATGTGAGACTAATTTTCGAACTTGTCCAAGTTGCCACAATTCCTGCTTATATCATGAAATATTTTTGATTTAAAATATCCATTAAACAGTTAACCAAGTGGTAATATGATGATCGCTGTATATACGTGAATACTGTATTTGCTATCAATCCACTAATATGCTTGAAGAAAAAATGGTATGGTCTTTTCAAGAACAAATATTTTGTGATACAATAGAACTGAATATGTTAATGATCCGGTAGTCTCATTACTAATCTTGTACAAATCTAGAACTTTTCATAATCCATATATCAAAACATTGTGATACTTTTTAAATTGATATGCAGCACTTCACACATGATATATGCCACCCAAAATATTGACAGTCTGACAAATTTCGGTAAGCAGCAGCAGTAACCAATTATCGGACTTGATAAAAAAAAGGGGGTCTTTTTTTTTACCTGCTTAATAAGAACTTGTGCCAATACTAACAAATTAAATACAGCGGAAAATATTGGACCATCTCGGATATCACTGTACGAATATGCAGAGTTATTAAGTTTGGTAAATTATTTCTCTAATGCACAAAAAAAAAAATTGAAAAACCTTATCGTTGTACATAACAAGTAGTCTGTACTTCTTCTTCAAAAGTAAATGTTTACAAGTGTATCTATGTCAAAAGAATATCGACAAAAAGTATGAAACTGTATTCCAGTACGCTCTAACCATAAGCAAGCAATTTACCCTAATTTGTGCAAAAAAAAAAAAAAAAAAAAAATTAAAAGTCAAGCGTTACAAGATTTTAAAATTAAATTTCAAAAGACATCCGCCATATATTAATTTGACAACCAGGGACATTTGGTTAAATTATAAGGTAACACCAATTTATCGTATAGAGAAAAAAAAGGGTTCGTTCTATTTCCGACATTGAAGTGATATTTTTATATAAAATACGGATGGTTTCTACTCAAAAAAATGAATTAAAATCAACAACTCTTTCATTTCAATCATTAATCAGCAATGGTCCAATTCCTCTCATTCGGTCTTTCGTTAATAGCCTCATTAGTTTTGGCTTCCTCCGTCACTGCTGGCCCAACCTGTGTTGTTGCTAAAAGTAGCTCTGACGATTCCATTACCATTGCTAAAGCCTTCAACGATTGTAAAAATGGTGGTACTGTCAACTTCCCCAAAGGCACCACATACAATATGAAGTCTGTCCTCAACATTCAAGGTTTGAAGGGTGTCACTGTCAACTTCCAAGGTCAGATTAATTTGCCTCCTTTCAACAAGAGCTTCAAGGGTGGTAACGCCTATATCTCCATCAAGGGTGATCACATAAACTTCTCTGGTGGTGGTACCATTGTCGGTAACGGTCAAACATGGTGGGATATCAAGGACACCACTGCACCTACTGTTCTTAGAATTGGTGCTACCAACTCTGACTTTGGTCATTTCAACATTCTTAACTCCCCCAGAGCCCATATGGGTATGACTGGCTCCAAAAACGTTGTTCTCCATGATGTTTACTTAAAGACTGTTTCTGCCAACAGCAACTTGCCCAAGAACACCGATGCCTTGGATGTTTCTTCTTCGTCTGACATTATCTTTAAGGATTCCAACTTATTCGTCGGTGATGATTGTACTGCTATTAACGGTGGTGTTACTAACATGACCATCTCCAACGTTCATTGTACCGGTGGTCACGGTTTCAGGTAATTTTTTTTTTGCATACACTCCATTATATTTCACTAAATCTTATCCTTTCTTTCCTTTTCCATAGTGTCGGAAGTCTTGGTAAGGGTGGAGCTACTGAGTACGTCAAGGATGTCACTGTTGTTAACAGTATCTGTACCAACTGTCAAAACGGTTTGAGGTAAATAACTCAAGAATGAACATGTAACGAAGAAAGATGACTGATTGTGCTTATTTCATTTAGAATTAAGACCTGGAGTGGTGGAAAGGGTTCTGTCCAAAATGTTAAGTTTAACAATGTCCAACTTATCAACACTGATAACCCAATTATTGTCACCACACATTACTGTGATAAGAACCAAATGTCTTACTGTCAAAAGAGTGATGGCTCTTCCTTGTCTATCAGTGGTGTTACTGTCAGTGGTATTTCTGGGTATGTATCTTTTTGCAGGTTTAATTTGACATATACTAAAACTATTGTTTATATAAATAGTTCTGCTTCATCTGCCGGCAAGCCTATTGTCAACATCAACTGTTCTTCTGGATCTCACTGTAGTAACTTTTCCATCTCTGGTGTCACTGTCAAGAAGGCTGCCAAAACTCCCAAGAACATCTGTACCTACCTTGATAACTCTGGTAAAATTGGAGTCTGTAGCCAATAAACAGCGTCTTGCTTGACGCATTATAGATAGTCAAATTCGCATACTGTAGAAATAAACTATAATTTACACTCTTATCTTACCATCTTTTCGGTTGTACCTAGTACCAACGAATGCCTTTTTTCTTGCACATAACCAAACTTCAGCATCTACAGCGTGAGTATCAGGATATCTACCTTAGACAAATATTTTGGTTAATTAATTTGAAAAAAAAAAAAAAAAAAAAAAAACTACTACCACCATTAAATGACTTTCGAAATAGAATCCAAAGTCCTGATTACACTTTTTTTCTTCTCTTTGCTTTTGCTTTTGGAAAATTCGTTTGATGAAACTTTGTATAAAAATTTTTCTGATTATCGTGGAGTAGTATTAATCATAAGTTTAATTCATATGCAATTCTATTGACTTATCAAGAACTAAATTACGCGTTTGAAAATTACTCTCTATCAATACATAGAAGACTACTGAAGATAATGGTAGTAATGTGTCCGGCTTAATGTTGTTAAAAAGAAAATAAACTGACTTCAACAAATAATTGTAATCCCTTTTAAAGTATCCTCCCTATTATTAGCATATATTCCTTGCTTATCCAATGCCAACCTGTTTGATTTTACAACTCCATCATTCTTCAGGCAATTTTATTGCAACTGTCGACTTAATTTCTTTACCACTTCAAAAAACAAAACTATCACTCCACAGCAACTCCCCAAAATAGAATAAATTTACATCAGATTTTATTCTGCTGCTTTCTTTTCAACGGTTTTCTTTTTGGGTGGAGGAGGGGCCTTCTTCTTCTTCTTTTTCATTGCTAATGGATTAACGCCTTTCACCTTTCTCTTTTTAGGTGTGGGTTTAGGCTCATGTACTTGTTCCTCCTCATTCGAATAAAGGGCTCTCTTCAATCTTGCAGTCTCCTTGTCCAAAGGCTTTACCTTTTCTATTTCATTCAATTTGACCATTTCTTTTGACTTTTCGGTCATTGGTTCAAGACCAAGACCATTTCCTTTCACGTTGACATAAATAAGAGGCACGCCAGGTATCTTTCTCATGCGATCTTTTAATTTAGGGTTTTGTGTAGCGACGCAGAAATGCTGATGGTTTTCGGCACCCACTAAATCTCTGATGCAGTCGTAACTAGACACTGCCTTCTCTTTATGTGGACAACGACGTGTTTCGAATCGTTTGGCTAAAATGAACGCACTTGTAAAATCATGTCCTCTACCCTTGATATCCTGCAAAATACAATCTGTCACAACTATACATGACATGTCAGCCCATTATAGTTCTTCTGGAGAAATATGTTTTATAATTACCTAAACGCGTCAAGCCTGTCATTAAAACTGGAAGCTCGTCCTTGATGTAAATTTGCTTCTCTAAAGCAGCTTTACAAAAGTCACCGTCCACTATATCAATAAGATTGGTTAATTTTATATTCTTTTCTTGGCTGGTTGTCACATACGCAAAATTTGATAAGGAGGTCTGAAACCAAAACCTACAGAGTAGGCGTGAACAATTTTCTTGTTCGAACGATGTGATTTGGGACTCATTGATTGTTTAGAAAAGAAAAGTTTTTGCTCCTTTCACAGTTAGTTTGTCCATACTTTTTTTTTTTTTGTGACTCTTTAAAAAAAAAAGAGTGCGGGGGTGAAAAATAATACGGACAGGCGCAATATGAGTCCCTTCAAAAACGTCAAGGGGCCTGTTAAAAAACAACTCTCTTTTTAACCTGTATAAAATGTCTAGTTTGTTAAAGCTTGCACGTATCTTACCTGCAGCCACAGTCGGCCGTCACATTTTACCTACTGTTGCAATCACTAAGAGATTTGCTTCCAACTTCCACCAACACAACAATACTGCCCAACCCCAAGAAGATATCCTTCAATACAGAGAGAAACCAGAGTCTTTATCTTATTTCACTGGTAATTTCAAGTATAACGATTTATTGATCGAGCTCGATGCACTCCACAAACGTTTTGTTGATTGGAAACCAACTGATGCTTTAAACGAAACTGCTGACATTCAACAAGATTTGACCGAAGATAAAGTTTATTCTTGGAAGTTACGTGATAAGATGTCAGAATTATTGAGCATTCCCTTGACCACTTCTCAATGGAGAAAGATCACTTCTCAATTGACTGCTCTCGCATCTCTCCCCCACCCTTTACCTCCTTCAGTAACCAGTATTTTGGAACCCTACCAAAGATTTGATAACACACAGAACAACCAAGTTCAATCACGCACTTTGGATGAATTCGGACGTGCTTATGCTGCTGGTCGCAGAAAGGAATCCAGTGCTAGATGTTATCTTGTTGAAGGTGAAGGCAAAATTTTGGTTAATGGTATGGAGTTGAACGAATATTTCCAGAGATCTGTAGATAGAAATGAAGTTACTTTACCACTTGACGTTACTGAACTTAAGGAAAAATATAACGCTTGGGTCGTCGTCAACGGTGGCGGAACCACAGGTAAGTCCGTTCTTGTATCTTTTTTCATCAATTCCTTCTAACCAAATTTTATGCGTCAGGTCAAGCACAAGCTATCAAACTCGGTCTTGGCAAAGCATTATTGATCCACAATGACGAATTAAAGCCTGTCTTACGTAAGGCCGGCTGTATCACACGTGATCCTAGAGTTGTAGAGAGAAAGAAGCCTGGTCTCAGAAAGGCCAGAGCAAGGTACACTTGGGTCAAACGTTAGATTGGCTAGCCAGCTCTTCATTTCATTCATCGCTGTTACAAATAACTTTGTTCTATTTTACTTTTTTTTTAACAATAAACGCCTCTCAACATGAGTTAGACTAGATATACATGTATCAATGAAGCTCACCTTATAAAATTTGATTTTTCCCTTCGAGACAGGATAGCACGATAGATTTAAGTAACATGCTTTGTTTTATTTACCCGAATCATACCACCGAATGCCTTTTAGTCATGTGACAGTAATTCTCCTTCTTTTATGGCAACTAAGCGCAGAAACAGTCAATGTCATCAACTGATCTGTCTCAATTTACCGATTTTTTGAAAACTCTGCCCATTTTTTTTCGAAAAAAATTGCTCGCCTGTGGGAGGTTAAGTTGCCCAGAAAAATAGGGCTAGTTTGACCAGATGTTTGAAGTTAATTTGACCAGCTTTTTGAGAATAAATTAACCGTTTTTTACAAATAAATTGAGCAATTTCTGTTCAAATCAATTATAAAGGTTCTTTATTTAAGCATTTAGGAAAAGAGTTGATAGAATGCTGAATAAAGTTCTGCAAATGCTCGACAGTGTTTATAATACAATAACAATATATAATAAAAGCTTGATATATTTTACTGCACAGTTTAAGATTTTTTAAAAAAAAGGTGAAGGGTTTAAACACAGGATTTAGAAATAACATTGATGAGGGACATCGGTACTAACCAAAATTGTTTAATATGCTTCCTCCAGCTACTCTACAAATATGCGTGGATGTACTTTTTAATATCATAGCTCAAGAAGGAAGCCTAGATCTCTGTTTCCAATTTTAAACAATGCTGACGCCTGTCTCCTTCGGTTTTGGCTGCGAAGCCATTACTCAAGGCTATCTTGAGACTGACGTTGGTTCTCTCGGTTTTGGTCGAGACTGTTCGTCTTCCGTCGGCTCGTCCTTGGCCTTTGGTCAAGCTTTTCCTCCTGGTGACTTTGCGGCTTCCAGTGGTAGCTTGCCTGCGGTTGCTTCCGCAATGGAGGTTGATGATGTTTCTGTCCCTGTTTCTGGGAAATCTGGTGTCTTCGACACTTTTTTTATTATTTATTATATTAAGCATGAAAGTGGTTTAGCACCGTGTTTATTTGTAACATTGAATGTATATGAATATTTGTGGTATTAGATAAAGGTAAAAGGACTGGTACAGCACATGGGACAGGATTATCGACTATTAATCTCCTTTAGCTTTTTTGTTTTTACTGGGTGAGTAATACATATTTAATGGCTCACTTACGGGTACTCTTTCAGGGCTGAGGCATACAGGAGTGGATGGGCGGCTGATCTCAACTGTTTCGTACTCACGCTTCTCTTTGAAGACGCCAAGGGCTAGCTTTTGACATTGATGTAATATACGTTGACGCCATTGATGCAAGTATTTAATGGTAGAGCGGAAATCTTCGAGCTCAATGAGGTGGACAGGCAAATGGATAGAGCTGATTTTATCAACAAGGTGTACATTCTCAAAGAGTTTCATGCCAGCGATATATCCATCGTTACCCCAAAAATCCATATAAATCGATTAAATATCATCTACATTTGTTTTGGCTATCATATCACTTAAAACGGCGCCATTGATACGGATAAATTTCGATTGTTGACATGTTAAGAGTCTCGTCTTAGCGTCTTGTCTCTTAAATTCAATACAGAAGTATTCATTGCGAATACCGTAGCAAGAATTATGAACTAGTACATCTATTCTGCGGCCGAAATCAGAGGTGGGGCGATCATTAGCAGAAGCAGAACGCGAAGTGGCGTCCGAGACAATTTCACCAGATTCTATGGAGACGTTGTTACATTAGGTGGTATAAAATGGACATTTTTACCACCTAATGTTGCGGGTTTTTACCACATAGTCCGCCACTGTGTAATTTTAGTACCCTTTTCATCTTGTTCTTCTGCATTTTGTTCGTCTTCATCTTCGTCTTGTTGGCCTTCGTCTTCATCTTGTTCTCCTTCATCCTCGTATTCATATTGTTCGTCTTCATCTTCGTTTTCATCTTGTTCGCTTTCGTATTCGCCTTCGTCTGGCTCATTAACACATAGTTAAAAGATTAATTTCGTGCAGTCAATTATGTCTCAGTTTTGGTATCGGTTGGGTCAATACCAACCAAACAATTGACATTAATCCGACAAAGTGATTTCTGTCGGGTGGAACAATACCATGCAAAGATTGACAATCGAATTTGCTTAACTTGAATATAGTGGGGGGATGGGTTGACTTTAAATCTTGTAGTAACACATTTTGTGATGTAAGCTGCAAGCAACTATTTAAAGTTATGCAAACATCACGTTCTCCGATGACAATTGTTATTTTTTTTTGTGGAACTTCAAACTTTGTACATTATGCAATTCATCAAATAAACAAACGATGCAAATCGTGGCTAAACAAATAACTTAATTACTGAATGATCTCATGTATCTGAAACTAAAAGCTTAATCTATTATTACTTTTGAGGTCTTTATAAACATTTGTATTTAACGCTTCGGGAATTGTCAGGGTTGATCCTACACTACTCGCACAAAAACACACAAAAACACACACATACACACACATATACACACATATACACACATACACAAAAGGGTAAGGTTTCATAAACGTTACTCGTTGCATATAGCAAATTATTCGATGTATAAGGGAATATTATGAGGAAAGTATATTCTATTTTATTTTATTTTATTATAGAAATAGTAGAAAAACAGCGCTATGTATCTTTTTGTCTAAGTATTTCCCGTATCAGACCTCACAGTAGAGTAAACCAGCGCAATTCGCTACGGCCAAGCATTAGAATTAATTACGCAGAGCAGTCGCGTTGTTCCTGTATTTTTACAGCTTGCATAACCTTTTGAAAAAAATTAGATACGGGTATGCTTAATAAGATATTGTTTTTGTGTACCTACTGTTAAACTGACTTAATGGTCCGGGAATAGAGGTGGTTAAGCTGATATAAAAAACATTTAAAGTGCACCTAAGAAATACGTCCAAATGATAGCCTATAATAGATATGCATGTTTGGATTTCAAAGAACTAAAATAAAGCAATATATGGTTAAAAAATTTGGCATGACAAGTATGGGAGTAAAGCATTACATTTTAGAAAGTTTGAACAAAAAGAAAGAAAAGATATTAAAAAAGCCGAAATAATTGTTTCCTTCTTTTATATTTTCTTCTACACCGGAGGCAACTGATGCTTCGTAATATGCATGAGTGGAATAATACTTAAAAGACTTGATAGTATGTTTGTCAATAAAAATCACGTTAAACCCTAAAAATTGAAAGTCCATTTATACTAGTCAGGTACCAAAGGTCATACACAGTTTCGGTCCCAATTGGAATATCACAAAAAAACATAATATTGAATGAGAGCTCATCTGTGTATATATGATTATTTCACGTTTTTCATCCAGAAATTACTTATTCTAAATATGACTAGACCTACCAACCCCTCTTCAAGATATTCTTCTTTGCCTAACAGAGCAACTAGAAGTCGTAGTAGCTCCGTCTCGTCGGTGACAGACAATATTCAACAAGAAGATATGGTATCTATTGCTCCCATGAATACGTCGCAATTAAGCAGCAGAGATGATTCAGCAACTGTTGGTGCCTTTGTAAAATGTTTTCAGATAACAGGAATTAAAAATGATCTGAACAGTATAAAAAATGAGGTCAAGGAAGCCATCGTTACCGGAGAAATTTTGAGGGCACGACTTGACATGGTGGAAGATAAAATTGACAAAATATTGTCTATTCTTTCCGGTGAAGCTGCTGTTTCTTCAGCTACCCCCGCATTGACTAATGGAAATGTACCTCCTTTCCAAATAGGGGGTGCACTTTACAATAGTTTGTCGGTATGTCACCAAGAATAGAGAACCGTTCATATATCTAATCTACCTTGTAATTATAGGCCTGGATTAAAACGTCCATTGCTAACCAGAAGGTTGGTAATCTGGAGTGGAACCTATCTAAGGCATTTATGACGGTAGAGAACACCCGTATAACTAAAAATATTATCGATTTTGTTGGTGCTCAAATCACATTGTCAACCAAAAAGAACTGGACGGAATCCATTACCTACAACGATCTTCAAAACAAGATCAGAAATGTCTTTCGCCGTAAGCAGGATAACGAAAAGCAATCTCCCGCAGCAAAGCTTTTAAAAAATAAGAAAAGTACAAGAAAGGGAAGAAGAATTTCTGTAAGTTACGAATATGCAAGGCGTTTCCAAGGTTAATATTTAATATAATTGTAGAAATGCAAGCACAGAAAAAACGTGATGGTCAACGAGGAGTATGGCAAAAAAATGAGAGATGCTTATGGTGATGACATAGAGAAGCTCTTGATAGAGCAACTCCAAAGTGACGAGGAAAGCACGGATTCGGAAATAGGGATGACCGAAAAAAACTCACGCTTGCGGGTTATGGTGCCCCATTGGCGCACAAATGAGGTATACAATATGAGTGTATTCCTATTAATAGAATACATACTAAATCAATTCGTCTTTAGGCTCGTCGCGCCTTTCAACATTTCGATGAGTATGATCTCATTTTGAGAAAAAACGCCCAAAAAGAAAAGGAGACAAAGGATACGGGACGTTTCAAGCATGTGGTGATCAAGCCCGAATTTCTAAATCAGGCACCCGACTGGGCCCGAGTTCCTGAATTGTAAATAAACAATTTTTTTCTTCTTTTTTAATCTGCTCCCCCTTTTCCAACAACAATTTTTTACATATTCATAGTGGTTTATTGAAATTAAAAAAGGGCATAGGTGAATTAGCTTAAACATATATTTTTTTTTCTTGAGGAATTATTACAATGCAGCCGTTTTGAATTCGTGGATTACTAGAATTGTCAGAACTACATGCAACCGTGATTGCGTTGTGTATTCTATGTACAGGTAAAATCGAATGAACATTTGTATTTTCATAGCCTTTGCATATTTCCATAGTTTCATTTTCTAAAATGTTGTTACCAGGGTTGACGGGGATAAACCACCGTACGAAAGCGAATGTGTGGGGGGTAACACTGCCGTTAACATTTACGACGTGTTGAAAGAAATATTGTATCTCGCCGTAAAAGCAGGCAACGGACTCCGACGAATGATTGTTTTTAAAGAATGTTTGAATATACGCACCTTTCATCGATCTTGCCATACGGCTTTTGTACATAATATCAGATTGAAATTGTTTGGATATTCTGGCGTCGGCACCAACATAAATTGAAGGAATGTTATTGGAAAGTGAATTACCATGGTTGTTGCATAGATTTGTCGTGGTTAAATGAAAGAGATTGGTGAATGAACGATTTGGGTAGCATAGAGTGTAATATTCAATAAGAAGCATATGGTGTGAAGGATCGAGCGGAGTGGATTTAATTTCATCAAAGTTAGTAGGGATAATATTCGGATGAGAGTATAGCATTTCTGATCCGGTCACCACACCTCCCGAATTGGTATATTCATAGGAAGACAATTTGTAAAAATTAATGCGATCTTGAGGACTGGAGCTTGTGTATAAGGATTGGTTGATAGCGCTGGTGTTGTGGAGAATGTGGGCTTGATCTTTAGAAATGATATTGGTGCTTGTTAATTGTTTAATGAGAGACGAGATATGAATGCTTTCCAAAAAATTTGTCATGTACGAAGTTTGAATTGATCGAAGGTTTCTATTCTCTGTCGACTGCTTTAGGACACCATTCATTCTTTCGAGAGAGAAACAAGAAGTGTTGAATGTACTGCCATAGTATTCAATATTTTCTGACAGGTGGAGGACGTAATGATAGTTAGGTTTGATTGCCTCAGGGCCGAAAAGTACCACATAGTCTTTGCAAAAACAGCGGAAGAGTTCTCGTGCTTCGAATGCCTGGGCTGTAGTAATCGCGGGTTGTACAACAATTCTACAAGCTTGCACAAATTGTAACCAGTTTGCATAATGCTTTTTATGAAATCCATCAACTAATCTATCAGAAACAATCATGTACTTTAAGACATATTCGGAATAGTGCAAGGTCCAGATTTCGAATTCGATGCCCTTCATATAAGAAAAACCTCCTTTTATTTTGGCATGTATAGAGCTGCAACCGTTGGGCGTGATGATACTTGAAGCGAGTGCGGCCATACTGGAACATTTTTACACAAGGTTAGTAATGACATTTGCGTATATATAGTGTCATAAATTTATAATACCTCTGATAGTGTTGTGGTTTAAAAAATCCAAATTCTTCATACTTTGACATAATTGATTTTGCAAGACCCAGCCAAATGCAATGTAAATGATCCTGGGTGGTAGCTTTTACAAGATCAAGGTACCTCAAACTCCTTAAAACGCTATATCTCATACCGTGGGCCCTGTCTTGGCGATGTCTTTCGGCGTTATTATGGCTATTTAACCACTTGTCGGATTGAATGTCATTCAGCTTCTTATTGGCGTTTGCAGGATAATGCACAGCATCAAAGCCGGAATAATCCAAATTAGATGTGTCAGGAAAAACTTTAAACGATCTATCACATCGGAAACATGATCGCGTAGAAGAAAATCCAGTAAATCCGCTCAATTTTCGTTGCATGGGTAAATCGCACAAGATTTGATACAAACAGGCTCTGACAGTAGCACCGTAATCTTGGCCATGTTTTCCAGAGTTGAATGTAGACATTTGAACACCAAAATACAAGGAGCGAAGTTGGTTTGTAACAATGGATAATAGGCGTTGTGTTTGACAAGTGTTGGGTTCATGCGGTCC